TACTTTTCTTTCTTCTCCTCCTCCATACCCCCACTTTCCTTGTCCTCCTCTCTTCCGATCTCTTACTCTGCCGTGCAACGAGGCTTCCTCGCTTCGCTCGCGCGCAGAATACTTTAGTATATGTTATTGCGACGCGTTACTCGCTGACGCTCGTAACCCTTTCGCAATAAAAGATTCCTCAAAGTTCTTTCTTCTCCTTCTCCATACCCCCACTTTCCTTGTCCTCCTCTCTTCCGATCTCTTACTCTGCCGTGCAACGAGGCTTCCTCGCTTCGCTCGCGCGCAGAGTACTTTAGTATATGTTATTGCGACGCGTTACTCGCTGACGCTCGTAACCCTTTCGCAATAAAAGATTCCTTAAAGTCCATTAAGTCGTGCACAACCAACTGAAGTTAAGCAATATCCGTCATTGCAAGTATTGCTGCAACAATCTCCATCAGTGGTACATACATTGCCGTCAGGAAGACAGCAGCTGCCGGCATTGCAAACTTGGTTTGTTTCTGTACATGCTGAGCAGGTGTTTTGTCCTAAATTTCCATTTGTGCAAGCAACGTCAACATTGGGGCAGGTGCATACACCATTAGAACATATTGAGTTTTGGGATGCGCCACCCTGTGTGCAGTCGGTGCAAATGCCATTATTTCTACAAGCGGTCTGGGTGTTAGGGCATATGCTGGCCGTTGATGTGGTAGTTGGCGTTATTGTAGTTTCCGAGACGGTGGATGAAGCTGAGTTAGCAATAGAGGAAGACTCAGGAGATGGAGAGGGGAAAAGTGAAGGAAATGCAATGGGAATAAAGCCGTTGACATCAACGATAGAACCGGCTCCCAAGCAGGGAATGGCATAGGTGCTAGATCCAATCAGGATGGAAACCGAACGGGTAGCACATTCATCGCTTCTGTGGCCACCTTTGCCACCCTGGCCGCCCTTGTGGTCGACTTCACCGTCGTCATCACTCTTGATTTCGGACCAAAGTTGTTGAGGTTTGGCATCCCTGACGATACCTTTCTCAACTAAAGCATTTTCTTCCTCTGAGATGAGTGTGGCGTCAGCAGCGCTAAGTGCATACAAGCAGCATATTTAGAATGGGAATGGCTGACCGCATTTGCAATATGCCGAATAAATGTTGAGAATGTGAGATTAATATCGAGCATTATATATGAAATTTGAAAGTAGGGTTGCGCAGAAGGTAACTTTATGATACCATTAGATTAATGATACAGCGAGCATCAGATGTTGCTAATTTGATATCAAGTAAACCTAGGGGTTAAACATGCAGGTAGCTTCCCCATGTCTTCCAATTGGTCGATTATTATCCTTTATTCAATGCTTTATACTTTTTTGGTAAGTGACAATGATATTGTTTGATGTGTTGTGATCAGAGTTTCTAAGTTTAATATCCATTCATCTTTAGTATAGATTCCTTAATTATATATCTTTATAGCAATCGCAAGACAATTACTACTTCATCATCATTCTCGCTCGTCATTGCAAAGGAAGTGCTTATTCTGCTTTGACGTAAATGCTAGTTGACAAAAGAACCTTGAAAAGAATTTTAGAATATCATATTCATTAATTTACGAGGCATATAAATGACAATTAATATGGTTCTAACGTTATGGGATATCACAAGGGCTAATCACCTCACATATCCAAGCGGTCCTACATATCTCAAGGAATCTGAGCGTGCCATATTTAATATATATTAGAAAGCTAAAAGTAATGTATACTTCTCTTTATTATAGGTACCTTCTAGTAAATTTAAGAAGATAATGACACTAATGACTGAACAGAGAAGGCTGTATAGTGTTATAACCTACGTTTCCAAAGATGTGACCCGCCACTACAATGCAGCTCAATCTGAACAATGGGTGTACCGCATCTTACTTTGACTCGCTGCAAATTCTTCCTTACCGCAGATAAAAAATATGGTGTTAGAATTGCCATTGTTCAATTGCCCATAGATACCGACGATTTTGCAACCATCGTATCCCTAAGAAGGAGGTTATTTGCAGATACTGTGTGTAAACAATATACCAAAAAAAAGAAAGCGCTACTAGCATGATTATCTTTCAAAGAGACTGTAAGGCTCATTATTTGTGCTAGAGGTATATACTGTGAAAATAAGTAGAACAAAATAGGAGAACAAAATTGCACAACGATTGTTTGTCGCTTCGCTGCGGTGATTAGACTGGCTTGTGCTCGCTTCTTCAGACGGTTTATCTTCTCGAAAGAATAGTTTTGATGACGCCTGCGATAACCAGACTGTCTATATGTAATATATAGGAGACGTTGAATAACAGCGTGATTCTAAAATTTTCCTGCGGCCCTCTGATATTATTCTATATGTCCCCATCCCGTTAATCACTGCATCTTTTTGCATTCTGTTCGTAGGATCAGAGTGGTCGATGACCACTCAGTAGTTCTCTCTCAGTCAGTATGTTTGTCATTATATCAGCCTACGCTTTTGAACAAATTCTTCGACAGGCTTCAAGAACGGTGAATTGGTAGTTAAGTATAGACATTTATGACCTCTAGCCTCAACTAAATCTCCAACTGCAATTGAAGCATAGATGGGGAATTGTCCGTTATCAGATAATAGCCGTTGGTATTGTTTTTATGCAACACACCCATAGCATTGCACATTATATTACTTAGTGTTCTGTACGGGTGCAAATTCTACCGTTAATGTCATACACCAACCTCCCATCCACTTTCTTCTTACTAAACGTTACAACAGCCTGTAGCTTTTTCAATGACATGTCTATGACTCTTGCTTCTGGTGAGGTACCCAATGCAATACGCTGAAAACGCCATCATTTTGCCGGTCTGCCTTTTGGGGAGGGTTTACCTAAAAAAAAGGCCATGGTGCCTTGGAGTATACGAATTAGTCTCTGCTTCATCAGTGAAAACGCATCTGGTAGAGAAAACAAGTCTGATGTCTCTTCCGCTTTTCTACTCACTCCTTTCGCATTTTTATAAATGGATCAGTAATTCTTGCTAAAGGTATTATTTCCAGCTTTTCAACGTAGGTTCGTTTTGCCCTCTCGACAAGTGCCTATGTAATGCTGAGACCAATATAGATAATCCTTCAAATGCCTCTCGTAGCTTCTGTCTGGTGTCAGCAAGCACAGACGATGGATGTCTACCGATATAGTCTATCAGAAATTGTGAATGTGCTTCTTGTCAGCTTGCCCGTATTTTCTGGATATTACCTTTTTATTGCCGAAGGTTAGATGCTGGTCTTCGTCGTCATTATACTTTAGTATTGAGCAGTTTCTATGCCTAATAACAGTGATGAAGGTAACCTCTTTGCAGTCTTACCTTGTTTTCTATAATATATGTTGATCTGCAGTAAGTGTAAAGAAAATTTGTTGTACAGAGTCGATATTTCATTTACGAATGTTAGCTGACTGATGAAATTTCAATTTCATGTTTTGAAGTTTACATTTTGCATTCTGGACACAATGAACCAAATTTGAAAGTGTTTTCTTCACACTTTCTGTAAATTTGTATTTCTGAACAATAATTCGTTGAAACCATAGATAATATGAGGTATATTTCTCTAATTTGCTGGCGTTCACACTCTTCATAGCGGATATGGTTCTAAGGATGGATGCTTTCATTTTTTCATAGATGACCATTTTTAGCCGACATTTCGAAATTCATTTGTTGAATGCGAGCATAAAGTACCGTATCTCTTTAGACATGAAGCAGCTCACTATAGCCAAGTTGGGCTTGTAAAGTTGCTTTTTATGGAAATTCACGTATTTATGTCATAAAAACAAATGGCATACGTCTTCCTGTACCTTTTACACCAAATGCTCCAATCGGCTATCCAAGGCAACAGCAGTATACTATAGAGCGCGTAGATGTCGCAGGGCGAGTTTGAGTCTATATAACTTAGGCATTCACCCGAGAAAATGAACATTAATGCTCGTCACTAAGGTCGATGTTATCATCCATAGCCGAAAGTCAGCTTACTTGGTCCTGGCGTTCAAATGAGCTATCACTGCGAAGGACAAATCGATTGGTTGAGTTGATGCCGCATAGGAATTGTCGAGTTTAAATCGATTATATCTGACGATGGCGATTATGAAATAGTGGGAAAATATGACATAAGAAAATAAAATGGTGTAGAAATGGACTGAAGGTGGAAGTAAACGGAATGGAGTTGGGTAAGGGTGGAATGTAGAACGACATTCATGTCCTTCTCGATGAATTCGAGGTTCTGAGGAATATTTGAAAGTCCGCTGGCATCAAGATTTTGCTGGCCCTGATAGCATTTAAGGAAACTTTTATTGCATAATGGAACGAACGTTAGCGAGAGACATAGCGCGGGAGGGACGATAGGATTTAAATGTAAAGGGGTTGCCGATTTAACCATTGTTACTGATGAAGCAATTGTAATGGTTCGAGAGGGACATTAGGATCATGCTTTCACAAACAGCGTAAATCCATTTATTGGTATGTTAAATCTGGCAGGACTCGGAGGTACCTAGTAAACACATCACATTCTGCGTCCACCACTGAGGCTGTGATACTGTTACTGCGCTCAGAAATAATAAAATGATCATAACTCTGATTCTACAAACAGAATGCAAAAAATTGTAGTGGTTACGGTGGAAGGAACACTTGAATAACAGTGGGAAGTGCAAAAGGATTTCAGCCGGCTCCTTCCATACAGGTTTACGGAGTTTTTTGGCAGTAAAATGTTTGAATCACGCTGTTATTCAACGTCTCCTATATTGGCTTTTCGTTTCGCTCAGGCGCAAATCATTCTAGTATATGCTATTGCGATGCGTTACTCGCTAACGCTCGTAACCCTTTTCGCAAATAAAAGTTCCTTAATCAATAGGGGATCAGTGAGATTTCGCATATCGATGCGAAGTTACTACCAAATAATATGTTGGGTGGAAATTTCCCTCTCTGTTTAGTAGAAGTAAATATAAAGAGCATACTAAATGGGAATTCATTTACGTTTCTTTGTATACGAGAATTTAGAATATCTTTTTCTATCTGCCATTAGTGCTTTATGTTTATGGAGAACTTGTATTGATGGCTTTCTTTTTCAGTAGCAAATGAGTGGATAAAATCAAGAGGAACAAATGTAATCAAGCAAAGTATGAAATAATCTGCGTAAGTAGGTTGCAAGTAATTATCCGCTAAAGAATTTGGTACAATAATATCGAAAGCGAAATGGGTTTTGGCATCGGTTTGCAACAGTCGAAATCAGCAGAAAGTGAACAGTTCCTCTGTTAATTCAAATGACTTTTGTTCGAAGAGAATACTTGCAACCCAATCTGAACATATTGAGCAGCGCAATTAGTTCTGATGACATACCAAGCTGAATTTCTTAATATCTGACCAGCTTTGACGTCCAAGTAGGTGATGCTTGAAATAAATGACGCTATCCCTTGTGCAACCGTAGCGCGCTTATGTAGCACTTACGGAGTATAAAATGTACATGACCGTCACGCAAAGTTGCTGACACAAAGCAAGTTTTGCCCATTCTGATGAGTGAGAAGAGCTTTGTGAGAAATTTCCCTCTCTACTTGTTCAATATGTCTTTGAAATTATTGTCCCCCGAACAAATTGACGCTCTTACAGCTCTTCCTGCTCCAGATTTGAGAGCCAAGCTCGCTGGCTTCCGAATGGATGCTTTGAGCAAGCTCCCACCGGCCCCACTGGATGAGCCAGCCAAAATAGAGAACTCTTCATTCAAAGGCCCTGAGACTGATATTCCTGTTCGTATCTATACTCCAGAAGGTCAGTTTTAAGAGTAGTTTGGCAGGTTAATTCAGTAATGCCCTGCTGCTTTGACTAATCAAGGATATACGACCGCTAGGCACTGGGCCTTTTCCAGCTGTTGTATATTTCCATGGCGGTGGTTGGGTTATTGGCACTCTTGACTCATACGACGGTCTGTGTCGTGAAATGTGCGTTGCTGTTGGTGCTACCATTATCTCGGTAGACTACCGTTTGGCTCCCGAAGCCAAGTTCCCTGCTGCTACAGAGGACTGCTATGCGGCCGTTGTGTAAGTATCCACTGCGACTCTTAGCGCGCAAGAAGTAACCCGCTCGATGTATTGAATGAAATCATTTGAACTAGTCATGTACAGGATAATGCTGAAAGGTACAATATCGACCCCGCTCGTATTGCTGTTGGAGGTGATTCTGCAGGCGGAAACCTTGCGCTGGTAGCTTCGATAATGGCGCGTGAACGCAAAGGTCCCAGCATCAAATATCAATCCCTTATCTACCCTTCCTGTGATATGACCATGAACGGACCACATAAGCAGTCCAATCCCAGTGCTGTCTTAATCCCACAAATAATGAACTAGTAAGTGGTGATTATTTGTCCCAGTTCACCAGAGTATCGAGCACTAAAAATTCTGCTTAGCTTCGCCGATTCCTATCTCAATGGACCCGAAGATATGGAGAATCCTCACTGCTCCCCTTTGAAGGCCGACTTGACGGGTCTTCCGCCGGCATTTGTGTTAACATGTGAGCACGATGCTTTGTTGGAGGAAGGTGCTGAGCTCGCTCGTAGATTGGAAGAAGTTGGTGTCCCATGCGAATATGTGAATGCACCGGGTTTGGACCACGGTTTCTTTCATACTAGTAGACATCACTTCCCTGCTGTTGGCCCATACCAAACAGCCGCCTATGAAGGTTTGAAGAAGGCTTTGTTCTAGATTTTTATATTATATCTGAATTAGATTATTGAAATCCACAACACGGAGACAAAGAAGTGTGCAGATTTAAAAGCTTATGTTTCCTCAATTAATGCTTATGTAGCTTTAATTATTTTACCAAAAATAAGCTTGCAGGTAGTAGTGACCTGTATATTTAATATTCACAGAAAATACAATATAAAGTCCGACAAAACCATTCCATCATCTAGAGGTAGAAATTTTGACGACTGCATTGCAACACTTCTTTCATGTCTCAAATACAGCAAAGTATTGCTAAAGAACATCCAGTAAGTAACAAATATCATTTATAATAGCATAATTTACCGTCATTCAAAAATTACGACAGGAATGGATTCTACCAAAAGTTTGCCAACAAAATGCCTATAAAACTGGGATATACAGTGGCAGTAAGCACGTTTCGAAAATGTGAAAAAGAAATAGCAAATGCCATTTCACTAACAGTCATGCAGTTTTTATGGGCATCTTGTCAGGCAAGTATACATTTAAAACCTTAGCAAATATACTCACGCATACTGATATGTGGAATACTGTTAGTTCCTATCTCGCAACGAGCAGGGCTCGATAAAAATCGCATGACACTGGCGACCATGTGTAAGTACAAATTCACATATGAATTGAGTCTACCGTGAAATGACTTACCATATGGCTCCTCAGCCGTAGCCATTATTACCGGCTACTTTGTATCCCGTTTTGCGTATCAAAGCTGCATCACTAGTGAAGGATTCTTAAGTGGCATGCGGCACATTGACACCAGTAAATCTTCAGCAGATGGCAGAGAGAAGGAACTTCACTGAAGATAAAGATGCATATATACATTTCTTGCGGTAGTGCATGTCACTAGACTTGGCATATAAATTCAGTCATTTGCTGGCTTTTTTGCCTTCCCCCATTTCGTTGTTAGAAAGTAGTTCTAAGCGGAGCATCAATTACGTTTTTCCCCTGATACTCGATTTCACTCTTGATGTCTTTGGATGCAGTGGCAGAACCTGCATCGCTAGAACATTGGCTCAATGAAGCTTCGCTACAGATTCACATTCCCAATCTTGATAAAACACACTCTAAAACGCAGCAACAGATCTTGAATACAGCTCAAAGAGAATTCGCATTTTATGGTAAGGAATGCTGATTCGGATCCATCTGCAACAACCTTAGCAGCCCATGTGGACAATCTGGCTAATATTCTATTCGCTTTCCATTCCACTTCTTCAGACGAACATCTGGACGTCTATTTAGTGGTTCGAATACCGTACACTGTGGCTGGCCGCGATCAAGCTGCCGAAGCAAAAACTCTGTTTGAACAACTCGATATTCATGTAGAAGCTGCTATTCTAGATTCTACCAACAATACATCTCCTCCCCGTACCTTCGGGATTTCATCCGATACGTCATTGCCAAAGCAGATTGCGCATAAAAGAGAATCTACCCGCGGTCCCATAGAAAACCCAGCCTACTATACACAATCCTTTAATGCTCGCCAGAAGGAAGATGGCCCCGAGATCTTATCTGACGAAGATACCCACTGCTGTCTTTACCAGATGTCTATCCCTGTTGGTATGTGATATTATAACTATTAATTCTAACGAAGAAATGGCCTCATGTTTTCTAATGTTGTACGTACACCGAATTGCTCTCTTTTGGGGTGAACTTAGTTTATATGAAGACGCGCTCTACTTCTCCATGTTTGGCCATAACAACCACTACTACATACCGGCCTTTACAAGATTCTTCGGACACAGAATCTGTCAGCGATGAGAGCGAATATGATATCGATTCATTTGCCACCATTAACTTACTGCAAGGCTTAAACGAAGGTAAGTGATGTGAAAAGCGGAAGCATCATAGTCACTTCGGATGTAAACCAAACAATGACATCTTATAACACCTAGGCTTACTGGGTAACAAAGATACATTGCAGCAGCGATTCCCCACAGAAGATCAGCTCCGACGTTCTATGAACCAAGGATTTACCCAGTCAGTCACAAGGCAAGCAAGCACTCAAGTGCTTACAGTTAAGCGAAGTGTCAGAACGTTACTACCCGTTAGAGCAGGCGTTAGTGTTAAGATGAGGACTACGAATGCCTCGATGGCCGATAAAGTCATCACAATGTCAGTAGATCTCGAAAACGAAGAAAGTTCAGGATGTCCGTTTGAAATCGAAAAGGTGGAAGTGCAAGTCGCCAATGCTGTGGTTGCGCTGGCATATACAAAAGAGGTATTTTGAATGATAGAATGATTACAGGGTATGAAGCAACAGAAATTATAATATCATTGCTCATCAAATACAACATCGACCTAGGATATTTTCCCAATGACTTTGGAAACTCTTGATCAAATGGTCTTACTCTATCGAGTCACGCTTTTGGCTGATGGAACTGCAAAGCCTGCTGAACCCACTCGAAAGTTTCAATCACGATATACACCAGGACCTGCCCCAGTTACACCACAGCAGCCTGTATTGGATGAACGTCTTCAACCGCAGCGAGTTTCGATTCATGTGCTTGGAGCACCAATCATCGACGGTGTTCGTGTAGCCACCATGCACTCTAAATGGAACACAGTTTTGGACGTGTCCAGTATGAGGCAGCGACGAGAGGACAATGTTGTTTCGGTACCAAGGCTAAGCTCTGTCTTACCGGGTAGTAGTGGAATGCAAACACCTGTGTCATCCAAAGGCACACATACACCTAAATCAAACAGTGTGTCGATTGGTGGTGTAAAATCTGATAACAGCCCAGCTCCAACGCCAATACCTGGTGGTGATGCAAGTCAACGTCGACGCATGGTGATGAGCTTACCCCCGCCAACTTCCACTGCTTCTGCCAACGTTCCACCGACGCTGCGAAGGCCGCCAGAAATTGAAGTCAGTGATGGCATTGTTGTTTCATTCACAGTAGCAGGCACCATACAAGTGGGAAGGATCTTTACTTTACAAATCTTTTTGGTTAACTTATCTAAACATACTCGCCGATTTCAAGTCATTGTGCCAAATCGCAAGCGCAATTATTCTGACGTTATGAACTTGCAGTCCCAAGGTGGACGACTAGGCAATCCATTAAAAGATTTGCCTATTGAACCGTATCTCGAAGATACAGGTAAGCAGTTTCATTCTAGAGCAGAAATGGGTGTGGTGGAAAGACGCTATACTCCATTAAATTTACATTCATTCTGTTGCAATTCTTACCTGTTCCTCTCAATAGAGTTTATACGGCAATTCCTAGAGAATGAAACGCAAGAAGCTGATATTGTTGCTGTAGAGAGCAACGTTCGATTGAGGTAGGTTTAGCTCACAGGGTGATTCCTTCCCTCTGGCCACATAAACTAACGATCTTTCAAATGATTTAGCCCTCTTGAACCGTCAACGTCGCAAACCGTGAGCATAAGGTTTATTGCAGTCAAGGATGCTTTGCACACCATTGACAATATACAACTGGTGGATCTCGATACTGGATTTGTTACAAATCTTCGTAATGTACTTGAAATTTATGTGGAGAGTTCTACGTAAACGAATAAACAAAGGCATAGGAAGGAGATGCAGAGGGAGAGTCTATATTTTTATTTTGGATTACTTTTTTGTTTTATACAAAGTTTTATGTGAGGACATTAATGGCACGAGATTTTTCTTTAATCCAACTTGTTCACATCAACATTGGAGATTCTAAGAACAGTATGAGTCTGCTTGTGGGTGACTGTACGCTTGTAATTCTTTCTTCTCTTCTTCTTGGTAATGCTGATCATCTTACTCTTGGTCTGTTCTATAACAGTAGCCTGTATGTTGAATAAGTCTTCATTGACATATGGCTGACCGCGTAGCACATAATCTTTACTGCCGATTTCTCGCACTTTATCCAAAGTAAGCACATCGCCTACTGACACATCCTTTAAACGGTGAACAGTGACAAGGTCATTCTTAGTGATGAGCAATGGGCGACCTGCCACCTCTGCTATGGCATAGAAACGAAGTTGATCTCGAAGTTTGTTGACGGCCTGTTTTGTCGCGTCATCAACGCTGTTGGTATGAACAAACCGAAGGAATGAAGCTATCAAAGAAAGAATGAGCGTGGTCGTTTAAAGTCGACAATGGCCGATATATAAGTTACTTACAGGGTTGTTGTGGTATTTGGCGTGAGATAACAGCTAAAATGAGAACAACATTAGAAGGTCGTTTCTATCACTAGTCCACAGTGACTTGACATTACGTTACCTTTTGCTAATGTTGAAGGAGTACTCAATACCCGTCGTACTAGTGAAGCGGCTAACATTTTCAAGACCTTGTCAAAAATATCAGGCAAAGACTGCTAGACTTGGTTTATCCCAACCCCCAATGCTGTGGCTTGTGAAGCATTGCCTTTCACAGGCAGTCACTATAAGTGAAGAAAAAAATTTTCTGAGCAATTATAAAAGCCTCCTGGTCAATCGTGTTGTTTTCCTTTACTTCTTCTTTAACGTAAGTTTCCACATTTCAAATACTTTTCAGTTCAATATGTAGCAATATGATGTTTGCTTGTCGCCCCAGGCGGAAGATACTATGTCGAGAAAACATACAGCAATACCCTTTTATCTGATACAGCTACATTACCTACCCTTCCTTACTATCAAATTTTTGAAAGTATACAAAGCTAACAAACTACGCGCTTTTCAACAGGTTGAAGATGGCATATGCTATTGATGTGACAATACGGTCAAGTAAGATAATGGTAAGCATATGATTCTATATTTATCAGATAGCTTGCCTGCAACAGAGTCCAGGAGGATCGTTATGATGCATCAAAATATTCTATGCTAAAACAGACAAAAACAATGGCGAAAATTACTCTCTGAACTGATCCTCCCATACTCAAGATGAAAATCGCAGCAAGCTAGCATTGTTCCTCAAATAGTTTGACTAATTGATTACTGTTTGTGTAGGTATATAATTGGGATGTTGAACATTGGTTTGTATGTGATGAAGAGGTGCTAAGTTCACTGATGTGGACTGGCCCATCTCGAATCATCTATCAATCACAATTTCACATACTTAGGGATATTTTTTTGAAGTTGAATAAAATTGGCATCTCGTACGAGTGCATCAAACTCATTTTTATGGAATTGCATTGTTATTATAGTTTGACAATTTCTGTTTAGTATACAAAAATGTGTTCAATCCCGTAGAGTGGAAGCAGTCTTTTCATGGTAAGTACGAATTCGTAATATCAGAATTGATATCGAATTGCAAGTATCTCTCATATGGACTTCACTGTTGCGCCTGCACTGGTGTTTCTTCAACCTTAGTTTGCTTCATTGTGGTAATATCCCCATTTCTTATTCCAGTTCTTTTCGTCCTAGCGCCCATCGTTATGGCCCAATCGTGCTTATCTTCCTTGTTCCAGTCCTTTCGCTGGCCATCATGGTTCAACCCTGCACATGCAATGATCAATATCTACATTTTGTATTAAATTATGCCTTTCACCTTGTCCTATGTTTTGTTGTACTCGTAATCAGTATATTTTCAGTATGAGGACAGCTTTGTAAGGAGATCTAATCTACCCACCTGTGTACACCAACCATTTCATACAGTCTAGACGTTTGAAAGATTGTGTAAATTACTAATTTCTCGCACTTTGTATGATCTGCCCTCCTTTTTTCAGCCGACCAAGGGTAAACATTTTACTAAAGTTCATTTATTCAATATTTTTTAATTCACTGTTGCTAACATCGTATATTAATGGTGGAAGTTTCTGAAAGGGAATTATCTACAGTATGGCATGTGCCCAAACTTATTGTTGTAGTGAAAAATATAAGCGAGAAGAAAATGGTTTTTTGCAGGTTACGAAAGCAACTTCCAACATAGCTGACATTAAAGTGCATATTGTGTTTACTGAAGTTGCAAGTGACCAGAACTATTATTTGTAAGTACATATCCTCAAGATAGGGCAATAAGCTATCATAGCATGGTATGACATTTTGCAATTGGCTGCTAGGTGGGCCATGTTTAGAGGGCATACCCAACTTTATATATCCATTTGTTCAAGCACATCTTGACCAACATAGTTGGATACATTTTTACAATAATACCGGCATTTCATCAGTAGAAGCCGAGCCTACGATCGACCACCAGCAGTTTGAATGCTTCGAAATTTATTAATCGATGTGAAAATGAAGCATGACACCATCACCGATATCTTGATTACAATTTAACTTCCTCAAGTGGTTGATTGCATATGTTTTTCAATATACTCCTGGACATCAACTACACTGCTTGTATGACGAGCATGCTCCGCAGCAAACACAAAAAGATGAGAAGTGAAAGATTCTCGAATAGGAGGAATGTATTTCTGAGCCGTTGAACGATCACCTCTCTTGTACGCATCGACAGCCAATATGAAGGCCCGTGTAATTCCCATGTCTGAACCTCCATGTCCACCAACAACTTGTGTACTATTATAAGGATTGATGCTTCTGGTTTGCCTGGTACTAAAATTTGTAATCTTGATCTTCGCATTTTCTTCATCAGCCTCAATGTCTCCGTTAGAACACCAAATCCGTACTTTTCGCTCGCAAAGAGCATTTGAGGTTGCAATCATAGTCAGTGTAGCTGTCGGTGTAGTGTGGTCTCCTTTTTCAAATTGTATATTAACAACCTGATTGTCGCAAACATCGTTATCCATTTCGTAAACACATCTTCCATATGGCCCTGATTTAACTGCATCCTCTATGTCGGTAAGCTTTCCTGAAGGTGCTAGTACGGATGTATGCCATCTATTCTTCAGGTAGACGGTTTTTGCTGAATATGGGCAGGTGTCCTGTAATTTGCAATCCAGGCATTTTTTAGCATCTCCAGCTTCTTTCGGTTTGTTCTCCTGCTTGAACCATGTCAATGATCCAAAAGAACTGACTTTGGCAAACGGCAGTCCAGTCCACCAACGTAACAAATCAACATCGTGGCAGCACTTGGCCATAAGAGAAAATGTAGAATTTCTTTCTTTGTGCCAGTTTCCTCGAACATAAGAGTGTGCAAAATGATACCACCCGACTGGTTCTACATGCTGTATGTTGAGAATTTCTCCCAGCTCTTTGGTGTCTAAAATTTCCTTGATCTTCCTATGAAACGGACTGTACCGCAAAACATGACCGACGGCGCAGACAGTACCAGCTTTCTCTAAAGCATCCGTAATCTTGGCGCATTCTTCAATATTGATGGACATGGGCTTTTCCAAAAATATGTGATATTTTAAAGAGGCAAATGCTATGGCTGGTTCGTAGTGTTGGTCGTCCAAAGTACAAATAAACACGACGTCTGCAATTTTTCCCTTGGCAGCCAGCGGCCTCCAATCGTCAAAGATATTTTCTGGAGAGATATTGTGAGCGGTCGCAAACAAATTTCTCTTTTCGTCATTTGGTTCCGCAACACCAATGATTTTCATCCAAGAAGGCTTGACTTTCGCGACATCAGCATATCCTCGGCCGCGACTGCCTGCTCCAACAACCACAGCAGTTACAGTTTCCTGTACGTTATCGTCATCCATCATAACTGCTTTGAGGGCATCTTGCGTCTCTTGAATTTTTCTGGCATCCCTGTCGCTGTTTCTAAAGAGAGGGTTGAGAACTTTTTGGAAGTTCATTTTTAAGGGTAGAAGATCGGGTGCTATGAATATTTTGGGTGAGGGTTTAAATATACTGCTGCGAACCACAAAGCATAACGTGACCACTTCAACCCTGAGTACCACCGCTCCAAACTTAATTTAGCCGGATTTAAGCGTTGCTCGCTCAATTCAAGTGAAGGGTTACAAGAACATGGCCGCCTTGGTTGACTGCTGAGAACCACAGTAGGAAGGGGACATTTTAACGTGAGTACCACCGCTTCGAAAACAATTTAGCCCAGATTTAAGATCTGCCCTTGAAAGCTTGGTAAATCCTATTGATGACAAGAACGTGGCCGCTTATGGTCAGTTTAACCTGCACTTCTCTTGATTTCATATTGCATGTCGGATCATTTTACGTGACACTGTATGTAACATTTACACAATATCATTGACAAGCTCATAGTGAAGCGTTCCCTTGCTTGTTTGAGTCAGACGGAATTCTTTCTGTTTTTTCTAAACGTATTTACATGTTGTCTACCGCAGCAGTTGATACAAGGTTTAGACCTACGTTGACTGGATTATACTATGTGAACCATTTTGTTTTGCTCCAATCAGCAATCAATTAGGTGTCTGCGGGCCATTATCAGAATTGCAAACAGCCGCAGAAATGATAGATTAATGTCTTGCCACCAACTGAGAAAGCTACACATCAAGGCAGGTTCGACTTTTGAAAAAAGCAATGAAAATATGACCTGATTGGGTAAGAACGGTACTTTCCAAATAATACTGCGCCATTGCTTAAAACGTAGCACCACGTCGTTTTTCTCCAGGGTTCAGGAAACCAATTATGTCCAGGTTCTTTGGATCAGAACTGAGCATTCTCTTTTAGAGGAAGTCTAGTATTAAAATATTCACAATGCACGACAAAAGGCGTGTGAAGGTGCTTTCACACCTCTTCTCATTTTATTCTATCTTAGTTTATTTAAAACGTCCGATTTCCACCTAGGAACATTGACTAAGCGCCATAAGTACCAGTGGAGTGAAAGATAAAGGTCTAGGAGTTACCGAACAGTCGTAATAGTCACCAACTAGTACGGTCTTCTTTAAGGGACCGCAAGCTCACTGTTATCGATGGCTTGAAATTCAGAATCTCAATCTTCACAATTAGCTAGCATGACTGTGTGTCAATTTCGCCCCCACAGCTAAAGAAAAAAGATGTGCTCGGCGGCATGTTTTACCTGAGAAGAAAGTGAAAAAATTTACCACCATGAGTAGATGTAGTTTAGTCAAGTTTGAGCAGAAATAGATAGGTAGACTGCGAAAACCTGAAAGGTATGCTAAATAGTCTCTTTAAATGCGATTATATTTTGTTTTGCACGACCTGGCGTCAGGCAAAAATCACGGAAATGTATCAGTTAAAGTTCCATAAGAATGCTTGAGCGTCGCTTATGAGCATTCGAGAAATTTAAAAATGTAGTATGTAGGAAACAAACAATGGTGGTTGCAGCAAGCGACCAGAGTTGACTGGCTAACGGCATCGCAGGAAAAACGGTCGGGGAACAAAGCACCCGCCACAGAGGATGTTGGTGTTGGGTAAACTCCACAGACATGTGACTGTAGGATTCTTTATAACTGACTGATATTTCTCGTTGAATCCCAATAACCTACTTTTTCGCAACATGTCTCTCGTAGCCAAGCCAGCGGCATTGTTGCAGCAGCTAGAGACAGCTCTCAACCAACCTCGCCTTGCTCGTCTTAAGAATGCCATCTTCGTTCTTGTCCTCATTCATTACTGGTCTCGACTTTACTCAAAGGTCGTCGTACGTGGTCCGACTCGAGCCGCCAAGGACGCCTATGCGTACTGTCTGAAAGTAAGTCCCACACCATTTAACAAAACTGACATCGCTGAACATACCAACGGTATTCATTTTATCTTATCTATAGCTCTTCTTCAAACAATTGCGCCGTCTTCCCTCAGTTCAAGCAAAAATTGACGCTGAACTCTCCAAGACATTGAAGGATCTTGAACACTCTGTTTTATCTCGAGAAGGTAACACAAAGCGATACCTTGCTCTACCCAAGGAAGGAATGTCAAAAGACGAACTTCGAGAGAATTTGAAGAGGTGAGTTCGCATGGTGTCTACTTCTTTTTTTATCGGTGTCACGACGACTGTGCTTAAAAATTTGGTGTCTTAGATTCCAAGCTATGGAAGACGTCGATTGGGCAGGTGGCCGCGTGTCAGGCGCAATCTACCATGGTGGAGACGAATTGAGCGATTTATGCACTGAAGCCTACCGTATGTTTTCTGTGTCCAACCCATTGCATCCCGAAGTATTCCCTGGTGTTCGTCGCATGGAAGCTGAATGTGTAGCTATGGTACTCAACATGTATAACGCTCCCAAGACTGGATGCGGTGTCATGACCAGCGGTGGTACTGAAAGTATTATCATGGCTTGCAAAGCTTATCGAGATATGGCCAAAGATTTGAAAGGAATCGTAGACCCAGAGATGTAAGTTTGGGAGTACAAGTGGGTTTGAAAGCAGTGGAGATGACAGTGGGAAAGCCCTGTAATCAGTCAGAATTGCGCGCGGTGTAAGCGCTCCGATTAGCTGCCTCCCAAAAAAATATACATGTTTGTAAATTTTCTAATCTCTTGTACTTCCTTGGCAATACTTTAGGGTTATCCCAGAAACTGCTCATGCTGCCTTCATGAAAGCTGCAGGTTATTTCAACATCAAGCTCATCGCTGTCCCTGTAAATCCTGTGACCATGAAAGCGGACATTACACGCATGGGACGCGCCATCAACCGTAACACTATTATGATCGTGGGTTCCGCTGTCAACTTCCCTCACGGTATTGCTGACGACATTGTTGCACTCGGAAAGCTTGCTAAGCGCCACAAGATTGGCCTTCACGTTGACTGTTGTCTTGGCAGCTTTGTCATGCCATTCCTTGAGAAGGCTGGCCTTCCCACCACCCGTTTTGACTTTAGAGTCGATGGAGTAACATCTATTTCATGTGACACTCACAAGGTAAGGTACACAAGTGTAGCTATGCAATTGGAATCACCATGACTGATAAAATTCAATTGCGTATGACATATAGTATGGTTTTGCTCCCAAAGGCTCCTCCGTTGTTATGTATAGACACCCTGCCATCCGTAAGTACCAATACTTCTTGTGTGCTGACTGGACTGGTGGCATCTATGCTTCTCCTAGCGTGGCCGGTTCTCGGTATGTAGTTTTGTCAAGTGGATGGAAATGCAATAACATTTTGCAAGCACGGAAACCTGTTAACCTTTCAAATTCTAATTTAGCCCTGGAGCATTGATTGCTGGTTGTTGGACGGCTTTGATGACCATTGGCGAAGCTGGGTACTTGGAAACCTGCAAAAAGATTGTCGGTGCTCGACGTGAAATTCAGACAGGGTGAGTATATTTTACTATTGTATAACAGCACCACTGTGTTATTTCTTCTGACAGCAAGAAATCTTTTTATTCTTTTTTTCACCTAACCTTAGCATTGCTGGGATTCCTGAGCTAACCGTCCTTGGCGATCCTGTTGGTCCTGTTGTATCATTTGGTGCCAAGGAACCCATCAATGTCTACGATGTGGGTGACAAGATGTCCAAGAAGGGTTGGAACATCAGTGCTCTCCAGAACCCTCCTGCTCTTCATGTATCGGTTACCTTGTTGTGGGTTCCTAGTGCTAAGCAGTTCGTTGTGGATTTGAAGGATGTTGTGGCTGGTTTGGTTGCCGACCCTAAGTCCGGCAATGGTAATACTGCAGCTATGTATGGTACTGCAGCTACCATCCCTGATAAGACCATTATTGAAGACGTTGCAGCAGGATTTGTGGATCTGTTGTATAAAGCTTAATGTATGTGATCTACACTATGAATTCAATAAAAAGATATGCCAATAATATCACTGGAAATTTTACCAAAATGATATACCACGTGCTGAACGTCCAACCTAAGCGCAAATTACTTTAGCTTTGGATATTTTTTCGCCGTTGGCTTCACTTAATCTTTGGACCGATCCTCTCCCAGTGACCTCGGCGATATGGAAAACCTTATAGAACTCACTAACAAGATTCAAGATGTGTTTTCAACCATTAGCTCCAGCGATGCCCTGGACCTTCCTCAAATTGTCGTGGTCGGAAGTCAATCAGCCGGCAAATCCAGTGTGCTAGAGAATATCGTTCAGCGCGACTTTTTACCGCGTGGAAGTGGCATTGTAACGAGGCGACCCCTTGTTTTACAGCTCATTACGCTGAGAGATCCTGCAGCACAGGATTACGCCGAATTTCTACATCTCGATAAGACCATTTACGACTTTGCTGAAGTAAGAGCAGAAATCGAAAAGGAAACAGCCAGGTTGGCTGGCCAAAACAAGGGTATATCCCGCATGCCCATCCACCTCAAGATATACTCTCCAAAAGTGCTGAGCCTCACGCTTGTTGACCTTCCAGGACTTACAAAGGTACAGTGCTGAGTTATATAAGAAAAAGCTACCTTCACAGCCCCCAATTCTAATCTCATTTTTTCCAGATACCCATCGGTAAGATCACAGTCCCCTTGTTGTAGCGACGAGGAGCGTTATGGTGTATCAACATTGACTAAGACATCCATGCCATTTTTTATAGGTGATCAGCCTACCGATATTGAGAAGCAGATTCGAAGCCTTGTCGTGGATTATATCTCAAAACCTAATAGGTAAACGGATCATCGGAAATATACCGTCATTCCTTGAAAATCAAACACGTCCAACGCTAACATCTCGTATTTCAATGTAGTATTATATTAGCTATCACACCAGCAAACATAGATTTGGTAAACTCTGATAGTCTTAAGCTTGCGCGCCAGGTTGACCCTGAAGGTAGGAACAGTTTAGAGAGAGCTGGTGCGGAGAGACCTCAGTCGCAGCTGTAGGGATGCCAAATATCGGTCGCGGACTTTTTCCCCAAATGATGCCTTAATGACCATACTCATTTTTTTATGGTCGAATTTCCGCTTATAGGAAAACGAACACTTGGCGTCCTTACGAAGCTGGACTTGATGGATGCTGGCACCAATGCATTGGACATTTTGACCGGTAGAGCATACCCGTTGCGACTAGGGTTTGTTGGTACTGTGAACCGTAGTCAGCAAGATATCCTGACCAACAAGGCCATGAAAGACGCATTAAAAGCTGAAGAAGACTTTTTCAATCAACATCCCGCTTACAGAAGGATTTCCATTCGATGTGGAACCGATTTTCTTAGCAAGCAATTGAATTCTGTAAGTAGGAAACGCAATATGAGAGCATTCAAAGACTTTGTTATCGTTGCCGTGAGTTGAACCAACCGTTGTAATCCATATTAGCTGCTGTTGAATCACATTAAGGAGAAGTTACCGGAAATGCGATCCAAATTGAATGCATTGATCCACTCCACCGAACAGGAATTACAGCAATACGGCGACCCGGCCATGGTTGCTGCTAATGTACAAGGAGGACCCCTTGTACTTCGGCTGTTAACCAACTTTTCATCGGAATTTGTTTCTGCTATAGACGGCACTTCTCCCAATATATCTACTAAGCAATTGTAAGTGAAACGACCATGCTTATGATCGAAAACCTTTTTTCACTAAACCTGACAATTTCTTTTCTTGGCGTAATCAGATATGGAGGAGCTCGTATTTATTATATCTTCAATAATGTATTCGGACAAGCATTGGACACCATTGCGCCTTGTTCACAACTCAGCAATCATGATATCCGTACCGCCATTCGCAACTCCACAGGACCACGACCATCGTTATTTGTGCCTGAAATTGCATTTGATTTATTGATCAAACCTCAAATCAAGCTTTTGGAGCCACCAAGTTTGAAGTGCGTCGAATTAGTGTACGAAGAGCTTATGAAGATATGTCATAATTGTGGATCTAAGGTAAGGACAGTGGCAGAGATAAGAGAAGGGTCGTCGGCATGGAACAAATGCTCAACTTCACCTTGATGCGAGTTCTATGACTGAATGTATACATCTTATTTATTTATTGTGATAGGAATTGCAACGCTATCCACGACTATTTGCAAGAATGGCAGAGGTAGTCTCGGAGCTTCTAAGAGAACATCTAAGCCCCACAGTGACCTATGTGGCTAGTCTCATTGCCATTCAGCGAGCTTATATCAATACCAATCATCCCGAGTTCCTTGGTGCGGCTGGAGCCATGGCCAGCCTCGAGAGCGAAGGCAAAAGGAAGAAGCGGTCGGAAAAGAAGAGGGTAAGTGATGGAACATTTTTGCGGGAGGGGAGGCCAGGCTAAGCTAGTAAACTTATCAATGTATATGCACAGAATTTATCTATCAACTCTGCAGCATCCAATGCTAGCAACAGCCCAATGATGCGACCACAGCAAGAAGGTGCTCCAATGGTCAATGGCGTTCATATTCCCAAATTACATGAAGAATTCTCTGGCTTAGGAGACGATGGGTCCCAAAAAGACTCGTTCTTGAACTATTTCTTTGGTGGAGCCAGCAAGCAGGACCGACCTGCCCTTGGACCCCAGGACCTTATATCTAACGCACAATATGTACCACCACTGTCGATGAATAACATCATTGAAGCTGAACTTGAGAAGAAATTAGAAGAAGTGAGCATGGATGGAGGAGACGACTGGGTTGCTCCACACGGCACCCAAAACCGAGAGGATATTGAAACTCAACTTATTCGTAAGCAGACTTGGGAATGTTCACCGTGCGTAGTTTCACGTGCTGATAGCGTTTCTTTTACAGGTTCATTGATTACTTCGTATTTTAATATTACAAGAAAGACCATTCGAGACAGCGTACCCAAGGCCATTATGCACTTATTGGTCAATAGTTGTCGGGAGGCGGTACAGAATCGATTGGTGACGGAATTGTACAGAGACGACTTGTTCAGTGAACTCCTACAAGAAGACGAAACGCTTGCAGCTGAACGACAAAAGTGTTTGGCCATGCTGGATGTGTACAAACGAGCGTTCGGCATGATCAACGATGCTTTGTAAAAGATACATGGAGTCAAAAAAAGGTGTATGTAATAAAAAATAATTCATCCCAATCCAATCCAAAGGACTGGTGAACCCCGGTTCACCCAATCACAAGTATTTATTTTTTTTAGTTGTTGGGCTTTGATAATTTTTATTTTTGCTTAAAGGAAAGAAAAAAAAAAAAAAAAAAACCTCTTTCCCCACTCATCTCACAAAGTAATCATGGCTCCAACTGGAGATCCTTCACCCGATGCTCTCACCATCACTCTGGGTACTCGAAAATCCCAGCTGGCTATGGTGCAAACTTACCATGTTCGCGATGCCTTGCAAAGGCTCTATCCCAAGTACCACTTTCCCATCGTCCCCATGTCCACCACAGGAGACAAAATCCTAGATGTAGCCTTGTTCAAGATTGGTGAAAAGTCCGTCTTCACTAAGGAATTGGAGTTGGCATTGCATGAAAAAAAGGTCGACTTGGTGGTACATAGTTTGAAAGATCTGCCCACCACTCTTCCCCCTGGCATGTTGTTAGGAGCGGTGATGGAGAGAGAAAATCCTCATGATGCTGTGGTTTTCAATGCAAAGTTCAAGGACCATACCCTTGAATCTCTTCCGGCCGGTAGTGTCATTGGTACCAGCAGTGTTCGTCGCATTGCTCAGTTGAAACGCAGATTCCCTACTTTGGAGTTCCAAGATATTCGTGGTAACCTTAACACTCGCCTCGCCAAATTGGATGCCGATGACAGTCCTTTTGCTGGTATTGTCCTCGCTGTGGCTGGATTGAATCGCATTGATATGGGTCATCGTATCTCTCAAATTCTGGACCCTTCCTTGTCTCTCCACGCTGTCTCTCAGGGAGCCTTGGGCGTAGAGTGTCGTGAAGCTGATACTCGTATCATTGAACTGCTCGCTCCTCTTAACCACTTTGAAACTCGTGTTCGATGCACCAGCGAGCGAAGTTTGATGCGTACTCTCGAAGGTGGCTGCAGTGTCCCTATCGGAGTCAACTCCCGTTTCGAAGGCAGGACCCTTCATTTGCGTGGCCTGGTCGCTAGCGTTGATGGTAAACAGGTGGCTGAAGACGATGCCGATATCGAAATACCCGACGACGCCAGTGCTGAGACGTATGCTAATGAATTGGGCGAATTAGTCGCTAAGAAGTTGTTGGACTTGGGAGCTCGTGAAATCCTCGATCAGATCCACCACTGATATACCACACCGTTTTCCTTTCTTTTTCCCTGTGTACGCCTTGTGTTTCTTTTTTTTATTGTACCTTTCTCTTTAAAAATTACTTTCTTTCTACATATCATCCATATTTAACCTTTTTTCTTCTTCATTTGATGTACCATAACGCTACTTAGAAACAGAAAGACCATCAACGACAAGAAAAAAAGGTGGGACTTCACACACGCATACACACACCCCGCTATGGAATTTAGTTTTGCTTTTCACCGCCTTGTTTAATAGTGGTAGCCCTAGTTATGAATCATTTATTATGGGGGTGAACGAAAATTATAAAATAAAATGGATTCGACTTTAGAAGTAACATGGAGTTTTGAATTCGAAATAACAAAAAGAGTGTACATCGATGCCTATGAAACAATAGCACAAAGGAGACCAGGAAAAACGGATGACATGATGCGGTAGAGTCCTATGTACGGCTTTTCCGTGTCTATACGCTCTGAACGACACGTGGCCATGTTTGACGAATCTAAAGACACAGCAAGAAATAGAAAAAAAAATGGGTAGGTGACAAAGAGTATGTTAGTAACCATCTTACGGCATACACAAATACTCGTATTTCCCACTTACTCTCTCATATAGTTCTGGCTTTGTTCTAGAGAGCAAAGAAAACAGATCAAAAAATAATTCATTAGCATACACTTGAGAATAACCCCTGTCGACAATGAAATGTCCATATACAGTACCTTCGCAGAGCATCTGGGTCCTCAGCAAGACAGACAAAGGTGGTAGCCACGCCGCTGGTGATGACAGTGGCGATGGACGAAAACATGGAGAGACCAATGATGAAGCATACCATGACAACAATAGGCGTTGCTGTGCCATACTGGTTAAAGACCGGCCGGGCAACCGCCATGTAGATGTATCCAAACAGCGACGTGATGACACCAACGAGCAACCCGCCCATAAACAAAACGTTGCCGATCAAACTGTCATTAATCAACGCTTCCACACCTCTGTCTGTAATCATTCGCCATGTATGCTTGGCAGATTCTATGAAGCTTCGTCCATAAATGGCCACGCCGCTGAATGCGTAGTAGTTGAACCATTCCTAGTATTTGGAGGTTAGGCATAAGAGAATAGGTTTCCCTGTACGTATACCTTCCACGCTGTGTAAAATTTTCCACTTACCATGGCACCTTGTATACAGTTGACAATACATTGTACGAAGCAAAGAATGATAGTACAACAGACATTGTCCGACTCTGTACGAGCAATAGCAATCATAGCACGGATCAGGTTCATAAAGGCCATGAGAAGGGCGCCAAAGCAGATACTACCAAAGCTAGTGGTCAAAGCACGCTTAGCACTTCCCCAAGCGGGGCTTTTTGCCGAATCCCCCAAGAAATAGACAGAAGCAAATATACCGGAGATCGTCACATGACAGACATACGAGATCACTTGAGAGGTCCAGTAAAAGCTGAAAACAAGGAACACCATGATACCTGTCAAGGCACTATTGCCACCACTACTACTATAGTAAGCTTCATAGACGCCGATAACCACCAAAGAAAACCAGATAGAATATGCAGTCTGCACGATCAAGGTAATAATACCAACGAAAATTGTGCTAGGGTATTTTGACGTAATTGACGTGATGGTTTCCAACATGACTATGGAAGAAGCGGAAAAAATAACGATTGGGTTAGGGGGCGGGGCGGACGGCCATTTTGGTGATTTCATTTACTTACCTGTCGCAAAAGGAATACGACTCTTCCAAGCAAACCACATGAAGGCATATAAGCATGAGAAGATCAAGAACACAATGGCAGCAGAATAATAGTGTACGGCAAAATAGTAAAATGTGACACCAAAATAGAAGAGGATGCTCAAGATAAAGGTGACCTTGATGAGCGGTCTAGGGAACTTGTTGGCCAGCAAAAAGTAGAATAAGCTGAGACCGAAACCAATGACAATAGCCAAACCAAAGATGAAAAACGCTGTTGTGTCGAACGTAATTCCTGAAGATGGTGTTTGCGAAGGAATGCCTCCATACGACCCGCTGCTTCTACTGTATGCTCTTAAGCCGACGACGGACAGGCCAATGAAGGCTCCCATATTACACAGCCAAGCTATGGTTGCCCATACGTCTTGGAATCCACTGGACGGCTGAACCTTTGCATCGCTACCACTGGCCATGGGCGCCACTTGCTGTGGAGGCAGTCCATAGTGACCATACGTTGCAGCCTCTGGATCATAGGTTTGCTGATTGGAGTTGTACTGAGGTGGAACAGCCGTGTAGGGTTGAGCAGGAGGTGGATAAGCTGTCTGTTGAGAGTAATGGTTCTGAACCGGCGGTGGGGGGTAATAGTTATTATTGCTGATATCAGGACCGCTCATCTTGGGCAGAGTAAAGCAATGGAAAAGAGAGAAACAAAAATAAGAAAAGAGATCGGGGGTCCTGCTTTTGTCTCTCAACGTCAACAAATTGCATGAACAATGTAGAAATATTGAGACTCCGTCCGGTATGGAAAACTTTTCCAAGTGATTGTGTCAGATAGAGGGTTTTTAGTTTGGTAAGAAATATGTAAAGACGGTATGTACAAGCAGAAAAATGGCAAGAAAAAAATAATTATAGGATGCGACCATTATTGCGGTGTGTCGTCTAAAACGAAAAGGTCTAATGGGATTTCCTGAAGATAGTCAAAGTTCATATGTTGCTGTAGCATGTTGGTGTCAAACTCAGAGAGACCAAATTCCATAGCCAGTGTGTTGGCATCAAGGTTAGCCAGATCCGAAAAATCTCCAGCGTCTACAAGAGGCGAATCTGTGGTTTGCTGATGATAAAAGTTCTGGTTGGATGCCTGGGAGAATTGATTGTTATGGAAGGGGGCTTCCATGTCCATCATGGTTTCAAACATGGTGGGTTGTTGCTGAAAGTTAGCTTGGTAGGGGGATTCATGTGAGTCCATGTTGAGTTGTTCTTCTGGGAAATCGTCAAAAGATAAAGGACTAGTCGCAAAACCATCTTCAGTCGAAGCAGCATCCGACTCAAATACGCCGCTAGAGGCTCCAGGAGACATGGACATTAATTGTACGATGTTTCCATACGTTGTGTTGGGCGGAGGTGTAGGATAAAAAGCTAAAATGTCAGCAGTTGGAACGCGTTCATTGGCCTTCGTAGCCGTGGAGGGTGGCTGTGATGAAGAGGTGTTGGTTTGGTTCCAAGCGTCCAATGTATGCTGAATACGCATTTGCAGCCGCTTGATATCGTCCTGTGAGTTATACACATTGGAGATTTCAAGCAATTTCAAGATTTTTTCAAGAGACATGACCGCCTGCGGTACATTAGTTTGCTTTTGCATTTGAATCATAAGAATCAGGCTGCTGGTCTCCAATCCGTCTTGAATGATCCAGCCAGGTGCTTTCTGTAGCAAGTCGGATTTTCCTTCTCTCTTGTCCAAAAATGCTGCGGTCTTGTTAACGAGCTCTATAGCCTGGGGGAATACTGCTTCCATAACTTCGTCTTCAATAGAGCTTGCATCCATGCTAGATGTTCGGTCAAGCAAGTCAGTTCCCGGTGGAAGTTTGGTGACCACTTCAAAATCGTCGAATCTTGAATAGACATTTCTCATGGCCGATACATAGCACATGGTTTCAGAGCTATCCATTTCTTCCTTCATGAAATGAGCATGGATGAACAGGACATATTTTGCCATGTCCAAATGGTAAACTTGCTGCTCACTCAGGTTCTTTTGTTGCGCGGTAATAAATGCCTCAAAGTCACCCAGGAGATCCAGTATTTGCTCACGGACCTTTTTGCGCTCTAACTCCGGAGGACAATTAGCCGCCTGGGAGACGGTAGGATTGATCCTGAACATATTACGGTCAGGTTCTGGAAGGATTCGCCAGATTTTGGCCAGTAAATCCGATACAGCCGATGCTACAAAGAAACATTCGTAGATGTGATTATATGCGATGAACATGGATGTATTTCCAGTCGACTTGTCCAGTTGATACGATTCAGACTCCTCGCAGTTACGCTTTGGGAAGGGTATATCTCTTGGCAAAATGGCATCACGTGGGACTTGGCCGACTAAAACCGAAGGCAAAAAATGGAAGCAACGATATAAAGGTTTAGATATCGGTAGCATCGTAATGTGGCAACATCCATAGTCAACTTACATTCGATGGTGCCAATCACCGTATTGTTGTAGATGCACCACCATGCGTTGCGCACTAATTCTCGTTGCAATGAGCCCAGACCCGCCAAATGTTTGTCCCTAAAGTCCACGGTTTGGGCAAGTTTACCGAGCATGACATAAGACAGAGCAGTCAAGGTAGTGCCTTTCTTTGGGTGTCCATAGGTAATTTCAAAATAGCTGAGCAGCGTTACAGCTTGAAATTTGGCCACCGTGGTTTTGGCCGAGGTCTCTCCCAAAATGGTGTGAGCGTAATTTAAAAATTCATTTCTATCTCCTCTACGAACAACGGTAGAAAAGACCACGCCTTCTGACATTTGCTTTGCAAAATATTTGGCTATACCGAAAATGACGGACAATAGCAATGGATCGCCTTCATCAGTGAAGTATTCTTGCAATATTTGGGTTCGGTTGAGAATAAATGGGGCCCAAGGATGAACGGAAAAAAATACATCCGTGTATTGTAGAGCTTGTTGTGGGGTCAAACTCTTAAGGGGGTTTTGACGAACGGTGGCAGTGAAAGTAGGTGTTCTATGCCGTTCAAAATACCGATCACTACGGTCCGATCTCAAGAGATGCCCATAGACATTGAGGTCTCTAAAGTTGGTCAATTTGAGGTCGCTGCATCTGGCCACCAAGTTGCTGACACCTTCACTTGCCAACCAAGAATAGTGTTGCTTTAAATCGAATAACTGGAAAATTGATTCGGATTTATCCACCAGTACAGTGTTTTCTTCCGTTGTTATGGTTGGTGTTTCTAATTCATCAAATCGAAGACCGGCCCCAAAGTAAACGGAGAAGATGCCGGATATGTAGTCCGACAACTTGGCACCATCATCAGCAAAGTGATCACGGTGAGAGGGAGTGGTGAAAATTTTGCTGTAGTCACTCAACCCACATAGAGTAAGATTCTCATAGACAAATTGTTGCTTCTGTGAGTCGGTGGTTTGAGAGAGAAGCACCATTTTGTTGACCACAGCATTCTTGGCAGGGCGGCCAACAGGACCACTTGTTTGTGCGTACACACATTCGCTTGCCTTTCCTTTCAAAAGACACTTTGCACAGGGTTTTTGACCGTCGCACTTTGTCTTTCTGGCTCGGCAAGATAGGCAGCTTATTTTTCTCTTTTTGGCGATGGGAGCGGCCATTGACTTTAAAGTGTCAGTAGACATTTGAGTTGAAATCATTGGAATGGTTTGGCGCACTTGGGTGCTAAAGGGATGGATGAATGTGAAAGCAATGGAGCAAGTGAGAGTTCTTATGGGGCTGGGACGATCGGGTTGCACTGGGTTTAGCCTTTATGCTTGAAACTTGGGAACGGGATAAAAATCTCTGTGACGTGCATAAATTTCACTTCCGGTGGCAAAGGCCAGCCCATATTGGCAGCCCGCATCCTGCATCCCAAAGAGAACTCTTCCCGTACGACAATGTCCAAAGCTGCGTCATTTCTAAGAGAGTATCGTATCGTTCTGGTCGGAGAAGGAGGTGAGTGAGGAATACCGTTGAATAAGCTCGAGGAAAAGATCTTGCATTCTCAACCATGAATCCCCACAAAATATGATAGGTGTCGGAAAGTCAGCCCTGACCATTCAATTCATCCAGTCGCATTTTGTCGATGAATATGATCCTACTATTGAAGGTAGGTCACACGGTCAGAACGGCGTCAATGTTGTTCCCCTATACTAACACACCTTAAAATGACTCCGATCTCAATTTATTTTGGTGTTAAGACTCATATCGCAAACAATGCGTAATCGATAACGAAACCGCCCTTTTAGATGTTCTGGATACTGCTGGACAGGAAGAATATAGGTGAGTATGAATGTCAACTCGTGCCTCCAGGGGATGGAAGGAAAAAAAAATTATTTCTGTAACTGAATTAACAAACACATTCCCCGCCCCTCCCCCTTCTAAACAAAGTGCTATGCGCGAACAGTACATGCGGAACGGAGAAGGATTTCTTTTGGTATACTCTATCACTTCCAGACAGAGCTTTGAGGAAATTAATACGTTTTATCAACAAATCTGTCGTGTGAAAGATCGTGATGTCTTTCCAATGGTTTTGGTAGCGAACAAATCGGATCTGGAGAAGGATAGGCAGGTATCAAGTCATGAAGGTCGCGATTTAGCCAGGAATTTCGGTTGCACCTTTGTGGAAACCTCTGCTAAACAGAGGGTCAATGTGGATGAAGCGTTTTTCCATGTTGTTCGTGACATTAGGCGTTTCAATAAGGAGCAGGAGGCCAAAGACAGTGGCCATACTCCGTTCGAATCGCCCGATGAGCGCGAAGAAGCTGGTGGCGATAAGTGCTGCTTATTGATGTAATCTGTTCTACTCATTCGTTTTTTCTATATACCAGCCTGACAGTACAATACATTGTAATACACACTCATTTTCGTGATTGCAGGCGATAATCTTGACCGTTGATCTCTGAAAAAGTGAATTTTTCCAATATAGGATGATTTTGCCTCCTAGTACGACCCTTGTGAAGGGTTCATTGATGAACGTTTTGCCTGCGATAGTGGCTGTATCGAGTAGTTTCGAGAGAGGCTGGAGGGAAGCATCGGATGAAATAACTCTAAATTTCAAAGTAATTCTGGTCCAGAACGCTAAATTTGAATGACGAGTGTAATATGTTACCCAGTTTAGGTATATTCAATTGAGGCTATGGCATCGAAAGTTCAGTCAACGTGGCAAATCGTGGTACAACTTGGCTATCCTTTGTAACAAGCACAAAGTGATGACATAGGTTTTTACCTTGTTTAGGGTAAATATGCTGGTTGACAGACCTCATAATTTTATAAAATTTTAGTCTATTATGAATGGGATGCTGTTGTTTGAATCCACCTATTTTTGATTTCAATTTCAGGAGAACTTAAACCGATGAATGATTGAAATTATTATGACTGAATTAAATTTTAGAAGGTATATGACATCAGCAAGTTTGAGCGCTTTGGTTAGTTTTCAATGGCCGCGTAAAAAAAATTCCAAACAGTAAAAAAAAAATCTAGTCGACCGCAGTGCGTGGTGAATTTCGTATCTTAACTTAGCATCATGAGACCCATATTATTGCAAGGTCACACTCGTTCTTTGACACAGATCAAGTACAATCGTGAAGGTGATCTTCTCTTCTCTGTCTCCAAGGACAAGATTGTCAACGTTTGGTACTCTCATAATGGCGAACGTCTTGGAAGTTATTCCGGCCATCAAGGTGCTGTCTGGACTGTAGATGTCAACTGTGAGTAGAATCTTTACATTATGAATCGGAAATCTCAGGCACTGTGGATCTTACGACGAAGGAAATACATACGAATGGAGAACGCCTTCAATGATTCGATATACTTGTACATACAACAGATCAATCGAGCCATCAGAAAGAAAGAAAAAAAGAGGAATCTCGAATTCATTAGCAGATTACTACTAGCAAACACCAGTCGATCAGTATATACCTTCAACTGCACACCAGAAATTACACCTGTATTTGAACCACTGCACCCAGCCTAGACTTTTGCCTGATTTCCGCCACCCTATTACATTTAACTGACCCACCCCCTTTCTTTCTTTAGCAACCAGCACTATGGCTATCACTGGATCCGCAGATAACACAGCAATGTTGTGGAATGTTCAGACCGGAAAGTGCCTCAAGACCTGGGAGTTCAAGACCGCTGTTAAGCGAGTTGAATTCAACGAAGATGATGATATGGCTTTGTGCGTCACTGAGGAACGTATGGGTTACCCAGGCACTGTCACAGTTATCAGCATTAACCCTGATCTCGAAGCTGCACGTAAGCAAGCACACTCTTGTACGAATGGCTTTTTGATGTTTGTTACCAGGAGACTAACATTTTTTTTGTAGAATCCGATGAGCCCGTTGCCACTATCGTCAACGATGGCGGCCCCAAGGCTGTCGTCGCCGGCTGGACATACCTCAACAAATTCATCATTTGCGGACATGTTGATGGAAGCATTACTCAATGGGATTGGAAGGCAAACGAAAAGCTCAACACCATTAAGCCACACTCTGAATCATTGACTGATATTCAGTTCAGCACTGACCGCTCATACTTCATCACCTCATCCAAGGACAAATCTGCAAAGATATTTGATACCATCACTTTGGACGAACTCAAGAAGTATGAGACTGATACACCCCTCAACTCTGCATCCATCACCCCCAAGTTCCAAGAGTTTGTTATTGTCGGTGGTGGTCAAGATGCCATGAACGTCACAACCACTTCTGCACGAGCAGGAAAGTTCGAGTGCAGATTCTGGCACAAGATCCTCGAAGAGGAATGTGGTAGAGTCAGAGGTCACTTTGGTCCTATTAATACCATCGCTGTGCATCCAGATGGCAAGGGGTGAGTGGATATTCGATTTTTTGGATGGACAGCTTACTTTTTGCAGTTTACTGACCATATATGACATTGCAGCTTCTCAAGTGGTGGTGAAGATGGTTATGTTCGCGTTCACACTTTCGATTCTGATTACTTCAAGTTCAAGAGCGATCATTAGACCTTGGAATACTATTTCTTCGTTAATGTTAGAATTCTTCATCTCCCACTGGCCCCACGTCTACCAGAAAAGAAAATCATCACCCTTAAAAAAAAAAAAACCAAAGTAACTCCAAATTTACAGTGTACATTTCCGTTTTTCTTTTACAAAACCCTATTTTTTTTTCCCCTTTCTCATGTTCAAATACAACTGGAAAACCGAGAATTGACAAAGTGTGTGTGTTATAAGCTGGGCCCAATGTTATGAATTCTTGCGTGAGTGCATTCTACGGCAGCTGAGACATGAATTTGAAGATGATGCTCTTTATGGCGAACTAGGCCTAGTCCTTGATGGTGACATACCATGCACCACATTGATCCAAACGCTATGTTTTTTTGTCGACATTGCTTAAGCAGCTGCCATATAACTTTCCATATCATTCCGCTATCAGTCGAGCACCAAGACCGTTATATCGTTTTAAAAATGTTTATTAGCTAATGAAAGTCAAAAGGGCTACATAGTAATTTGAAGACTGAAGTAAAAACTATGGCTGTCTTTGTCCAGAACGATACTTTTATACTGTCAGGAATTACTATATAGCATGTAGACATTCTGACAAGAAACAATAATGAATCGTAGTATGGTAACACTCTCCAATAAGCTCAGACATCCGTAAATCATATTAATAAGAACTCTTCTACAGAGCATATGCTGGTTGAACGTTATTGAAACCGGGGTAGCAATGGAGTAGTCTCTAATAATCACCGCAAGCATGCATTACGAACATCTTTGAGCAAGCCAAGTAAACTGTGATAAAGGTGGTCTGATTCCAGTCTGCTGGAAGTTGGGTCATTCCGTTCCTCATTGATGCTCCGCTTCACGGGACTGCGAAATTTCCCGAAAGCATTCGTTCTCTGTCTTCCAGAAAAGGCTGACCTTGTACCTCTTCTTTGCTTTCTTTGTACTTACTATCCAAGGGATACTCATATCCTCCCATGGCTACCTTCAAACACAGAGCTTCCTCAGGAAAGATCGCTGGCGTTGAACCGCCCGCACCGGAAAAACCGCAACCGACCTCGGTTTTCGACTCAAAGACCTACACACCTTACATAATATATCTCAGCACTTCGCTCTTGCTGACTGTAATCATTTACGTAGCAGCTTTTTGGAATACCCAATGGAGCGACCTGTTCAATTCACATCCTGCTCGAGGAGAAATGGGCCTGGGGAAATTTATCATCAAAGGCGTTCGATTCGATGAAGGTGAGTGCGATGGAAATATATTCCATGATGAGTGCGACCATGGCTGGCTTTTTTTTCTTTTTCATCGGCCGCTACGTCAACCATCTTCGATCGTGAAGTATTCGGGTACTTACTTTGTAATATCTTGATAGCTGGAGTCCGAACCGCTTTTGCATACCCGTGGCGGCTGGCAACCACAACATCAGCCGCTCGCATCTCAACCTGGCTGGGCTATGCTGTCCATCAGCTTGGTCAATTTTATATCTTGGCCAATGTACAATGGCTCTCTAGGACAGGGCAAATCAAAGCCAAATGGTCTTCACAATACCAATGGTGGAATTGGCAAATGCTTTATCTGAACGTAGCTATGGTGCTGTATAAATGCATTCAAGGTCACATATGGTACGAAGGATTGGCTGTGGATGTCCCGGAAGGAACAGCTATGGGTGCTGTCATAGCCATTCTGATCGGTGCCATCATCATTGAAATACCTTAGTAAGTTGTGCCTCGAGCAAGTGGATAAAAAGTTTGAGTGAGGTAACTGAATGAATTTTATAGCCGTGGACTCTTCTTTGGCCGGTGCAAGCGCCTTCCTGTTCCTCATTTCAACGACGTTATCACCTTTGCAAAACGATATCACGGTTACATGATCAGCTTTGGCATTGTCTATGATTTCCACTATCATCCTATGGTAAGCAAATTGAGTTGAGGGGTACAGTGCACTAGAGATAATGGCTCCTAAGTAAATGTATGGATTTTCAGGAGGCAACAGTAGGGCATCTTGGCGGGTTCTTTTATCAGTTTCTGCTATTTTGGCAGTCCACCTCCTTTCTACACTATGTAAGTTGTGCGGCTTTCCCAAATTTCTCTAGACCCATTAGCATACTAACGACACATTGTTTCCTCCATTCAATAACATTGCTTAGTCTCATCGCAACAAAAACTGGACCTTGTTGCTTGAAGTCTGGGTACTGATTCATGGGACCATAACAGCATTAAGTCAACCTGGGGTTGGCTGGCAAATTTTCTTGTTCGGGTTCTCTGTCATTTTCCTAGTCAACCAAATTTGGGGTATCCCGGCCATTCGCAAGCTGTCCGTGCGCAGTCGAACCATTACTATCACCGCAGCATACGCAGCTTTCATCGCTCTGGCCTACTACGGCTTCCGGGAGAACAAGGCATACTATCGAATGACCTTCATCCCTGTCACCGAGTTTGCCTTCGCTATCGTGGTTATTCTCATGGGCTCGGCTACAGCGGCTATCGTCAAGCGACTTCAAAACATTTGGGTCATTGGCTCTCTCATTGCCAGTGTGTACATGCTAGCCGATGGATTTATGATTTACACTTTAGCTCTTATCCTCAGTGGCGGCGTGGTTACGGTATATAATGACTACTGAAGGGTTTCAATCCACTGAGTCTGGCTAGGAATGCTAGATGACGTTAATACCAATACTTAAAATTGTTGCTCCTCCATAATACTCCAAGCCGAGAGGAGCATGCAAGCTCCCTTGTATTATGATTATTTTATTGGCATAGACAATAAAAAAAAGCGTTTAATAACATAAGATCAATATTATGGCATACTGACAAGAGGCAATATCATGAACGGGTATGGTCACTACCAATGATTGACGAAATGGAGAGCGCACGCATACAATATGAGAGACATCCTTTCAGCTGATGTGTTGGACTTGCGACCAATATATGTACTGTGTTCGCAGTTCCTGGTTTGATTCACAAAACCATTTATAAACATTGCAGGACTTTGGACTAACAACGTGACTGACATGCGCAGTGAACGGATTTAGCACGATTCAAAGTAATAACAAACAACAAAACTGTACCGTTCGGTCTCATTGGAAGCCAAACGGGTCACACCCAATGAAAAGAAAAGGTGGTTAACGGGACACATTTGTTTGTAGCCACTTTGGCGTAGTTTTATGCCGTAGCTGGTTGTCCTTCATGTCAGAAGACCTGAAATCTTCAGTAGAGAAAATCCGTTTATTTGCGCAGTTGTGGCAAGATTTGGTTCCATTCATAGGTAATCTCGAAATACTATGGAACATAAATGTGATCAATTTACTGTGCACTGTGCTGATTCCATCCTCGATGCCGAAATCATGATTACTGCAGCGCATTGTTTTTACATAGGAGATCCTCTTAGTCCTGTGAAACCTTGAGACGTTAAAGTATACTACGGTAGCATAGCGAACATGACAGACTATCCTGCTGTGGGTGCAACCCAAATCATTATTGAAATGATTATGACGACGGTAAAGAAGACAACGACATCGCTGTCATCAAGATCGGTAATGGTCAACATCCGATCGGTACAGCCGATGTAAATCGTATCCCTTTGTCGTCGAGAAATATAGTTGAAGGTGCTGTTTTAATTGTTGTTGAATGGGGAGAGACTAAATCTGATGAAGAATCATCATCCTCTCATAAGAGATTGTTTTATGCTTTCCAGGTAATGGATGATGGTGATTCTGTCGTTCAATTTGCAGAAATCGAGTGCATTAATCTGATAGACATCTTCGCCCGGATCTGGATACCTTTTGGACCTTCATATATTCATGAACAGGATAAGCTCTTAACGTTTCTTTGATGTATTTTGGAATGACGGTTGCTTTGTAGAAAGTGAACAACGTGCCAATGACCCTCACGGCATATATGATTTGTGCTTGAGTGACTCTGAGATTATGTGCAGCAACGAATATCTCCCCCATGACTTCATTTTCTTTCCAGTGATTGCCGTAAGAAGCGTTCTTCATGGTTTTGTCGTCAATAATGATCATCATGTTGGATTCGTAGCTAGACACAACAAAGTCTGGACTCGCAACCACTTTGATTTCATCGCTCTTGACCTTGATCTCATACTTGCGTTGCGCATTAATATGGAGAGGAAATGAATGGAAGTGCATATTGTATAGCAAGGTATCGACAAAGCCATTGATATATGCTTTGTAAAGACGATTTTTAGCATCGAAAACATCCTTCACCTCTCTCACTAAAGTCTTTAAGGTGTTGTCAATAGGGAGAGAATGGATATCTATATTTGTTTCCCACATAGTGTCGGGGATACTTTGCAAATACAGTTCATTTTCATTCTGAATGGATGAGACTTCGAAAATAGATTCTGTGTATATGTCGATGTGCATCAACTCAGTCAAATTCTTTTTCCAACTGTACGTCTTGCCCTTCGTCTGAATCATCCGTTGATGAGTGAGAGTCTTCATGGTAGTTCACGGTAATTCTTTTCGTCTTCATAGGTATACTACCAACACGCGTAAGGGATGTTTGCACAGTTTTCTGAGTTTTAAACACGCAGTATGAGTCACGTGACAATAGGAGATTGAAAACTATAGAAATAGCTTGCAGTTACTTTGCGAAAAGCTATGTGTGCAAAAAATGGGATAGTAAAAAATCAACAAATTGTACCATTTACTACGCAGCCCACCGCTATAAATGAAAGCATCGAGACAAACATTTTCCCACCTAAGAAACACCTTACCCTTATGTCCTGGATTAAGATTGGACTGCTTGTGCTTGGCGCGTACGTCTATTCGGCAGCAAGTCAAGAGAGACGTTGCCGCTGCTTGTCCACTGACCCATGCTGGCCGTCCCTGGACACCTGGAATCAGTTGGACGCCTCTCTGACAGGTGGACTGGTGCCTGTGTATCCTCCTGCCAAGCCTTGCCATGGCGATAACATTAATCAAACGGAATGCCAAATTGTTCATGACCGGTGGTTTGACGGCTACTGGCGAAGTGACCAGCCGGGAGCTTTGATCTCCATGAATTTTGAAATCCTGCCTAATGAGACTTGGGGATGCCAGCTCAATGTCAGTTCGTCTTGGCCTTGTTCTCAAGGCAACTTGCCAACGTTTGCAGCCAATGTATCCAATGTGGCTGACGTGCAAAAGGCTGTCCAATTTGCTTCTGAGCATAATTTACGGCTGGTGATTAAAAATTCTGGTCACGACTACATTGGTCGAAGTACGGCTGCTGATGCCTTCAGTATCTGGACTCGCCATCTTAATGACATAACTCTGCATGATGCCTTTGTGCCAAATAACACCAATGCCGCCCCTACCACTGCTGTTACTGTTCAAACAGGCGTTCGGCTGATCGACCTGTATGAAGCCACCGCGCATAAAGATTTGGTTGTCGTGGCTGGCGCTGCTATCACCGTTGCTGCTGGTGGTGGTTATATTGGAGGAGGTGGTCATTCTCCTATTTCACCGATCTATGGTCTAGCCGTTGATAATGCCTTGCAATTCACTGTTGTGCTTGCTAACGGGGAAGTGGTCATTGCCAACGATGCTATGAACCCAGACCTTTTCTGGGCACTGCGAGGTGGAGGAGCAGGTACGTGGGGGGTGGTGATTGATGTGACACTACGCACCTTCCCTGCTCCAAACGTCATGTCTAGCGTCCTATTCATTGCTGCCCACAATGATACCAAGTCGTTCACGTCGGTCATGACCAAGTTCATTGAACTTCAACCTCAAATGTCAAAAGATAACTTTACTGGCTACTGGTATGGGTTTAACAAAACTCTTGCCTTTTTATACATTGGTTATGACCTCAACAAGACGGAAGCCACTACCCGCATGACTCCATTCTTGAACTTCACCGCTTCCGTGTCTGGACCGCCTCCACAATACATAGTGACGGAATTCCCCAGCTGGGCGGCGTTTTTGGAAACAACTTGGTGTCCTGGCGGGACATGTCCTTCAGAGGGTGGCCAAACTGCTCTCCTGGCATCTCGCTTGATTCCCCTCGATTCTTTTGATCAACCCGATGCGCTTGGTTCATTGCTTGTGGACATAAGTAGTGACCTCGACGTCACTGGCGATACCATGCTTGGGCACCTTGTGGCGGGCGGAGAAGTCGTCAGAAAGGACCCAGATAGCGTGGGTGTAAACCCTGCTTGGCGCAAAGCCCTCTGGCATGTTGTACTCACTGGTGCACAGTTTGAATTCAATGCCACAGCCGCTCAACGAAAGAAAGCCGGCGACCGTGTCACAAAATTGAACAGCAAGCTGATTGATTTCACACCTGGTTCGGGAGCGTATCTCAATGAAGCGGATATCCAAGAACCCAACTGGCAACAATCGTTCTTTGGATCGCATTATGATCGCTTGAAGCAGATAAAGAACAAGGTGGATCCACACCACCTGTTTATTTGTCACCATTGTGTTGGCAGCGAAGACTGGGATGCCTCATTGAATTGTCCGGCAAAGTGAAACCATGTTTTCAGAGTAATTTGGAAGCTCTGAGATGTGAGAGGTTGCTGCCACGCGTGGTGTACCTTATTTGTGAACACGCAACGACGCATTACTAGGATAACGTTTTTTTTTATCAAGTCAATAAATTTTTTTCATATTATAATAAAATTCTCATAGGTCACCATGTTTGTCACATCATACATTCGTCCGGTTATGCTAATGGCATATGTTTTTGTACGTCAACTCTGGCTTTTATAGCCATGGTATCCATGTCTAGCCCCCCAAGCGGGGCGCCCCTGCCTCAGGACACTATCAATGATGAAGGTGCTAAGGTGCCTTTGCCATGTCATGCCATTGGCACGGCAAGTTTTATTTTGTTTGCAATAGAATAGTATAACCTGACAGTGGGGAGAGAACCGCTAGGATTCGAGCAGTCATGGTACGCACGAAAAATGGGGGGGGGGACAGTAACAACAGCATGAAAGGAACGGTGGGAGAAACATTATGAACGTGAGGGAGGGAGTACATGATATGACTGACAGTAAAGAAAAAACGCGAGAGGGTAATAGCCAAAAAGGTCAGCAAAAATCAAAACATTCGCATTTTGTTAGGATAGCACGTAGAATAGGCGGGAATTTTGGGGGGGGGGGAGACCTCCGATGGTATCAAAGGATAAGGCACTTGAACTTCTTTTTGCTCTTATCTCTGGCTGGCATCTGTCGATTAATCTGTCTGACAAGATCGTAAAACACTTCATCAACGTTGATCTTTTGTCTGGCTGACGTTTCATAAAACGGTTTACCGCCCCATTGTTGTGAGAGCATCATGCCTTGTTCTCGGGACACCATGCGCTCGTCTTCCAAATCGCACTTGTTACCAACCAGCACCAGCGGAACCTAAGTGAAGCAGGCAGGGGTGAGTGGTCAAGAAGAAGAAAAACAGCGCGGCACTACGTATACAGAGGTTATTCAAAATAAAGATGTCAACTCACGTTGTCAGTATCTTTGACCCGCAAAATCTGCTCTCGTAATTCATACAGATCGTTCATAGTCACCATACTTGTGATGGAGAATACAAGTATGAAGCCTTGGCCGTTTTTCATGTACAAGTCTCTCATAGCGGTAAATTGTTCGGTACCAGCCGTATCCAAAATCTCCAGCATGCACTGCTGTCCATCCACCTCGACTTGTTTTCTATACGAGTCTTCGATCGTTGGATCATACTTTTCCACAAATATTGATTGAACAAACTGGACGGTCTGCAGGAGAGATGAGTGTGAGATTAGAGTAGAGTCGGAGATGGCAGCGATATCATGAAAGACGCGGTGAAGAGATGGAAAACGACGTACCAATGCTGACTTTCCAACACCACCAGATCCGAGGACGACGAGTTTATATTCCCTCATGCTTGCACTAAGAGGATGATGGGCGGAGCTTTGACAAAAGAACAAGGAGAGACTCAAATATGAAATTGGGATGGGCCAGAAAACTGGTCTGAGTGGCTTTGGTGGAGTCTATCCCCCCCCCATACTTTTTTCACAATGACGCGTATATCCTTTTCTTTGAGTGAATGTATTAAAAAAAAAAAAAAAGACAGAAGCGATATAAAATAAACGTTTCCAAAAAAACACACAACATCTACTGGAGAAAAACATACAAGAAAGAAAAAAATGGTGAGCCAAACAACCGAATGTCCTCGCGAAACATATAATAGGGACATGGCATTCTAGTGAACCGGCATGAAAGCATGCTGAAAAGCTAGAATGGGGATTTTGATAAAAAGAATAAATAGAATTCAATTTGGGATGGTGTCTGATCAACTTTTTGGGATATTTTTTCGTTTCTTTTTACACAGGCAAGGTGACTTGGGAAGCATCCAAGCCAAGAGCATGTAGGAATAGGTTGACATTGGATATCTTGTGTGCGGCTTGTTCAGCAGGAAGGCGGTTACTGGATGCCATTACGATATCTTCCATGACGCGATCTCTGATCTCAGTGACCAGCGAATGTTGCTGCTCCATGGAGGCACCCACGGCAATAGCAGCCAAGAACTGCCATACATAAGTATCATCCGCGTTGTTAGCAAGATGGACAGCATTGATAGCTTGGTTGTTGCCAGGGAGTATCACAGGTGGTGGGAAGAACATGAGGAAATGGTCATGCAATTTCTCATACAGTTGCTGGTATAGCATATCCCATCGTTCCAGTTCTTCAGGAGTGCATTGAGCAAGACCTTGCAAGGCACCTCCACCTTGCTTGAGGATCTCCGCTCGCGACAAGAACATGGTCATCAAGGACAAGCCAGCCTGGGATATAGTTAGCAAAACGCAAGTCTCATACCAATGAATAAAAAAATAAAATGAAGTCGTACCTTGCTCTTGCCAACATACATAAGGTCGTTTCGCTGCATCATCAATTGAATCAGGTCACACACCGTGCTGAAGGGAGCTTCGGCGACATAGGCCACCATGGGAGGGATAACGGTGTTCATGAACAATTCGACATCCTCCAAGCTGACGAAATCGTATTGATCTTGACCTTGAGAAGGTGTGTTGCTGGTGGCCATCTGACACACCTTGAGGGAGTCAAAGTGAGCAACAACCAATTTGAGCATAGAATAGATTTTCTCTGGGCTGCAGTGTCGTGCTATACGAGGAATGAGCTTTTTGCCCTTATGGACAGACAAGATGGAAATGAAAGGATGTTGATTGATATCTTCATCTTCTTCAATTCGAAGTTCACTCCACATTTTGCTAATGGCGTCGGCATAGTCCGTGTTCCATCGGTCAATAGAGTCCTGATGTTCTTTTTCGTAACCAGGTCTCGCAACAGGCGAAGGAGCTTCTCTGCGCAACTGTTCCAACTTGAGCACGGTCATGTAGAGGTCTTCAATCAGTCTCAACACCTTCTTCTTATCATTGAGCACCTTGCGAGGAGGGGAAGATTTCTATGGGCACAATAAGTCAGCATTCAATTTAAATTGTGGGGAGGAAGCGCGCTAAGACTAACCTCGGATCGATCCTCAGGACTGGTTTGTTCGCTGGAGTCATGAGCAGAAACGCTGGATGCCTTTCTGTCACTGACTTGCAACAGTTGTCTTGGGTTTCTGACAGAATGTGTGGTAATTTTACCCAAAGCACCTTCCAAAGACACTACAAGGGAGATGGATATGTTAAAAAGGGCCACGATCCAAACAAAATGTTGCTTAAACACTCACATTGAGTTTGCTTGGGACGTCTCTTAGCGTCATTGACGATACGTTGAACCTGCTGTTGCATTTTGTGCATGGCATTCTCTTCGCGTCGGTTAGATCGCTTGCCTCTGTCACCACTTTCTCTTAGCTTGGCTTCCATCATGGGATCCTTGTTGGAACCCGGGGGAGGAAGTCCGGCTCTCTGTCTGATGGCTGAGTAGACTTGATAGTAGAAATCATCAGCAAAAGGATCTCCAGAAGCAAGTTGCTGAAGTTGAATGCGATTGATGAAATCCTTGTCACGAGTAGTCATCAACTTGTCATAGCGCGACTAGAAAAACGCAGGAAACACGGGTCAATATCACATTCATGAACGATCACTAGCTTTTCCCTTCAGTCCTCACCTTCTCAGCTTGCTGACGCATTTGCTCACGTCTCTTAAGCTCCTTCTCCGCTGACATTTGTTCCAAAAGCTCTTGCTGTTGTCTAAGGGCCATCATTTGAGCTGGATCAACATTTCCGTAACCAAACTGGGGTTGTTGCTGTTGCTGCTGAGGGTACGGCATATTGGGGCTGGGGACACCTCCTTTAGCTAACATAGCAGCTTCCACTTCCGCCATAGTAAGCATTTTCTTTCCAGGAAGTTGGTTGCCGCCAAGCATGTTGGACTGATCGCTAGGAGGCATTTGACCATGGTAGTTGGCCGTACGGTGTAACTCGGCCTCAATTTCATCAAACGTCTGTCCTCTTTGGTGGCCAGGCACAAGTCCATAAGGCTGCTGTTGACCAAGGTAAGGCTGCTGCTGCTGCTTGGCTCCTTGAGCATGCAAGGCTGCGGCGTACGATTGGTCTGTCAAAAAACACAGAACTGTCAGCTATGACCATGATTGACACTTAGTGTACAGTATTGCTTACCATGAGGCGAACCGAAATCTCCCCAAATAGAGCTAGAAGCCATAGCTGGTGACGAGTCATCCAAACCACGGCTGCTGGCAGAATGACCACGGCTTAGAGCAGAGGTGTAACGCAGCTGATTGTCCTCAAAGTTATTCTTAGGAGGAACCCAAGGGTTGAGAAAACCTGCCTGTTGCTGACCATGACGGGCTGCTATATGAAAGGAGCATGACTTAGAAATGGCACTAGAAGGACGCAAAGCAATGCATGTTTAGTAGCTTACGTTGCTGGTTCTGATTTGGCTTTCCACTAATGAAAAAAGCTTCATCTTCACTGATTCTAGTGTTGTTGAAGTTTTCAGTGTTGGAAACAAAATCAAAGTCAGGACCTACGAAAAGCAAGCAGTTTAGTGAACCGAATCTGAGGGCATTCACTACTATATCAATCCTCAAGCTTACCATCTTTTCTGACATCGACAGAGAATGTGACATCATTGAGATCGTCGTTCTCTTCTATGAGTTGATCAGCCAAACCATCATCTTCCTCAAGCTCCTGTCTCAGACCACCAAAATCGTAGATCTCAAGGTCTTCGCCAGCTCTTGCAGCGTAGTTCTTGATTTTGGAGTTGACGTCGCCGGAGCCTTCAAATATCTCATCGTCATAACCTCCTCCTCCTACAACACCACCACGTGGTCTATCGCGGTCTCCTAGTGGAGGTAAACTGGTATTGAAACTATAGATCCAAAAAGAAGAGTGAGGTCAGCGTGGGGGGTTCGATTAGAGAAGATTGGACATGAAGTGACCATTTCTCGTAAACTGAATCGCCTTACCCAAAAAAAGAATCTCCCATTTGTCGTATTTAAGCTGTCGACAAATGCTTTGCTGATCAGGATACGCTCTTCCTGGTAACTTTTACGTCTAGATTCAAAGTGGTAAAGAAGAGCGATTAGATGCTGCGTAATCAGTGACCACCATGCTTTACCCACTGCGACATTTTCGCTGGATCAGGTTAGAGGGGGATGAATAGGTATGTGTGTTGAAATGCGTACCCGTTGATACTACTTCACCTAGTGGACGCTTTGGTAAAGTGCTGTGAGAGTATCTGCAGTGTTTGTTGCTGAGGTTTTTACCAAACAAGTTCCAAAGATTACAGGCCAATCAGAGCTCCGGATTTTTCAACATCAGCTCTGCCGTGGCTATCCCGCAACATTTAAAAGACTCTGATAACTGAAAGATGGGAACCTACAAAAGCACTGTGTTGATGTTGTTCGATGATAATAGCTTGATCGTTGTTATTATTGTTCAGAAAATACGTTTTGACTCATAAGGGCACGCTACGTCCGCGATATAGAATGTGATGATGATACAGTATGTATATTAAACACGGCATGAACGACCTTCATGCCTATGGTCATTTCTTTTGAAGCTATTACGTATTTTCTAAGCAGTCTAATAAGTAAATGGAGATTTTCAATACGTGCAGTTTGACACCGTTGGCTCTAGTCGTCGTTGCCTATCTGTTCGTCATCATCCTCGTCAGCATCATCAGCTTCACCCTCATCCATTTCCAGAACTAATATTTTTCCACTATCATCCACGACGCTCAGTATTCTGCGGCGCTGTCTACCATTGCTTCCAAGAATGACATTTTCCATGTCTTTTAGTTCCATGTATCTATTCAGCACAAGGTTCTCCGTAGCGCGCTAGAAGCTGTTAGGTTATGTGTACTGAAATAGGGTGTAAATGGGATGAAAAGCTTACTGTTGCTGAGGTTGCCCTAACCGTTTCCACATCAACATTGCTGTATTCTATTTCAGGATATGCAACAGTGGCAATGTAGGTCCTTCCTTCTGCTGAGGTATTGTTCAGACACTTCATCCACGCCACCACACGTAAACGCCTTGTATTCAAACGTACCTGTAGGGTCCACCAGGATCATGCCTAATTCTTGGTCATCAAACATCTCCATGTCGGACACAATGACATCCTGAACATCGAAGCGCGCAACCTTGATGTCACCGGCCGTCATTGTTGAGCCTTTGAATTGCATGGCCAAGTTCAGCATATACACTGTACCAAGATATGTCAGAATGAATACATCGGTCAATGAGTTAGACTTCTATCAACTTACATTTTCGCCTGCCTTTCTCCACAATGACAAAGCCAGCATACTGTTGATGGATAGCACCCTGTAGTAACATCCAGTTAATCACACTATCAACAGCTATACAAGCAACTCATGCCATGCGCTAATTCTGTACCTCTGTAATGATCCTGACTGTGGTGTTTCGGTTGATGGATCCATACAATGGTGTCTTCCCTTGATGCTCAATTCCTTCATACGGACAGAGAGGGAAACATTTAACGACTTTTAAGTGACGCTGTAGACTTTGGGCAGGTGTAGCGAAGATTTCCTCGATGGTTTGATTGAGTTTATCCAAGAATTCAAACAGGCTTGGACGGTGAATGTCAGATGGTAGCGACAACGGCAGCTTGAAGCGGAAAGGGTATGCAGGTGGTAGGAAAGGCTGATCACCAAAATTAACGGACGGCAAGAAAGGTTCAAACGAAGCTGACTCGTTCATGACAAAGAAGTTGGAAATTCGATCGGATATCAACGAATTCTCCAAAAAGTCGACAATCAGCAACGGACGCGAGCAGGCACTTCTACCAGTTGAGCCAGGATCCACTACATGTTGCACCACTGGCAGAAAATTTTATCACCTCATTAGCTCGGTTTGCAGTTCTTAACCCACAAATCAAGGTATACTCACTATAGCGTGCCCAAGCGATGAACTCTTGAAAACTCTCAGATGTCTTTTTCAATGCCACAATTAACTCTTGATATCTACCATGGAATGCGCCGACCAAAGATATCGCCGTACATGTCAGACCTTCGCTCACCAAGTCGTCGTAATTTTCTCTCCTACCATGAGTCGTTAGTACAAATTGAAAGTTATACGTAGTAGTCTCTCCTGATCATCAACCTACCAACGGCTATAGGCGTTCAGATCATTGAGTAAGCAAAGTAGTCGATCGCAAGCTGGCTGGATATATTCACAGATAATGCGCAGCATTGACTGAAAACCAGCATTCGCTTCCTTCTCCCACTTCCTGATTTGCTAAAAGATGTTGCGTGCACTGATAAGTATGAAGATCATGCATCTTCTTTCATCTCCAGTCATGACGTACCTGTTCCGTGAGAACCTGCTCCAAGTAATAGTGTAATGGTTGACTGGTCATACCAGTGGCAAGCAATCCCAGAAATTCCACAATAGGGGTTGCATTGGATTCTTTAACACATCGATGAGCACAACAGAGATCTGCAAGTGGTAACGTGGATTGCACGGCTTACCTTCATGATCCAACAAAACCTGCTCAAACTTCTTCAGATTGGACGAAGATAGACCTGCTATTCCTCGATATTGTTTGGCCAAAGCATCATTGCATATTGAAATGTACTTTAAGCATGCTCGTATATGGAAGCTCTTTTTGGCAATGTTGGCTAGTTGACTGGCTCGTTGGTTCAAAATACTGGTGTCTATAATAACCCAACAAAGAGTTTCAGCGTCTTGTTCTGCTATCGTTTCCGTAGTTGTGCCTTCTATTCGCGCCTTTGCCATTAAGGACATGCTTTGTAAATCAGACGACACGACGGATTGCAACACGACTGCATCCTGAATCGAAACATGGGTTGTAAACTCACTGCCGAAACCCGTCAACTTCCAATCACATTACAATTGCCTACCTGTAGACCATGAGCAAGTAGTGGGATAGTGCTAGCAAAGTATCGGCCCGAAGCGCTATTATAAATGTTCAGTATGCGCAACTCCAGCTGTATCCTCGTCTTTGATCTTATACCTACCAAAAGTGTATATTACCCTCACTATCACATATCGTCAGTATATCAATTTGATGGGTCTCATCTGGAAGTTCACTATCCAATTCGCCTTCACTGACGTTTCTTGCGTCAATTCCAAGCCTGTTAACGATACATGTCAACAAAATTATACCGTGTTACGACTGTGGTTGATACTAGATTCTTACTCTGACGGAGCGGTAATGAGCGAGCTGATCTCTGGCAATACAAGGTTGGGTGAGAGAACCAAAGGGTCGATGCCGAAGGGCTATAAGGAAAGAGTGAGCATTTCGCGTCGCAGTTATTATTCGGAGTAGCAGACACTTGCCAGTTTCTCTTTGGAGGCCACCGAGTCATAGTCATTCCAATTGAGGCTGGTGATAGAAATACCTTGCGAAATGGAGCGCCAAACGATAGTTGAACTCGGGTAAGGTAGAGCCATGTTGAAAACCCGAACCAAACCAGACTCAAAACCGACCGCCAGCTCCTTTCCTACCACGGGCAAAAGGTTAGCCAGACGCACTGAGGCTTTGCTGTTTCGTCCGCACTTACCGTCTGGTCGCCATGCCATGGACATGACATCAGCTTCTCCGAGCCAACTCCAGACTGTGTGAACACCGTTTCGGCAAATGGACAAAGAGCCGCCTTTGTGAGCTATGGCGAGTAGATCTGCAATGGGACACCAGAGTGTCATGCGAACGTCCGTGTCGTCTGTCAGCAGCTTTTCTTCATACTGAGGGAATGTAAAAGAAAAGTTTGTCGGTTGGCCACAGTCCAACATGGATTAAACGTAGCTTGATCCAGGTACTGAATCTACAACAGTTAAAAGTGGATTCGGGTTGGCAGCCGGCGATGAATTCCAGCTTTGTGACCGCTGCCTTCAGACACCCATATTCTTCGACTAACGCGATTTTTGATCGAATGATTCGTTCATATATTTGCTGCTCATTAAGGACCATCATAAGATATCCAATTGATAGTTCTAATGGACATACCTTGCATAATTGCTTTGATATTATATTAATGCGGTGAGCGACGCGCAAATACCTTTGTCTGATTTACTCCAAAAGGAAGAACATGAGTGCTAGTAAGATGGACTATATTTTCTCATATCGAGTTTCATTGGTATTACAGAGCATTGATATATTTTGTATATAATAATGTGAACGTAGAATAAGTGATAAGATGGAATATTTGGCTTGATGAGAAATGAAATTTTAGGAAGCTAGCTGTCAAACATTGGCTGTTGGAGGGATTAATTATAAATTATAATAAAACAAAAAAAAAAAAAGCATACCTACACCTCGTTGGTTATGCTCCTACTACATCTCAAAAAAAGCTATTACGAGGCTGTATGGCACCAGGATATGCTCCATTAATGATTGCACGTCCTCCATCGATATACCTGGCAGTCTCATTTCGCTTGATTAATCTGTTTTGGGTGTGCCAAATATCAACATCCTTCACAGTATTGGGCCGAGCATATCTGATTTTGTCCACATCCATAGACCACGACGCCTTCCATGATTTGCGAAGTTTTCCAAGCTGGTTCGGTAAAGTAATGAGACTGGTCTTCCTTTGCCAATTTGGAGTGTCGTAATCACACTCTGTAGCAACGATATATCCAGCAGCTAATAGGACTTTGTTTGTTATAGGCAAGATAATCCTAGTTGCTCCTTCCAGCTTGTAGCCAAGATAACACGCCTGATCTGAGCTCAGTAACCTGGTGGCTAGTTCTTTATCATCTCTTAAATAGCGGATAAATCCAGGAAGGCTGATTCCCCACTTTAAAAGCTGTTTGGCATCTATTTCGTAAACGACTTTTTCTCCTTTAAAAAATTCCCACCAGGTCATATCTTTTGCCGCAATAGATATGTAGCCATGGAGGATCAACGTCAATACGACACTAACAAGAGAAGTAAGGGAGGTAGGGTCGATCCCATTGGGTCGTATATAAGCATTGTATGTAATTGCTAATGTCATAGTCAAACATACAGTGGCGAGATAAAGCAGACATAAAGTCATGTGTAAAAACCGAACGTCTACAATAAATCCGCCGCGTCTTTCTACAATTCGAGAAAACTGATCCCAAGGCCGATAGTCTACGCTGGGAGCCAGTATGACCATTTGATCATAAATAATAGTCGAAACGTTCGGTAATATAGGTACTTCTAAACCACAAATTGGAATGAGAGTATCACTTCTCAGTACCGCTCGTTTTAATTGCGAGTGGAAATGTCTGTGAGGTACCCTGATGCGGGCCAAGAAAGCTCGTCCATAAGCATTTGCCATGGCAGATCGCTGCTCCTTTGTCATCGGATCCGGCTCAAACGGCTTGGTGAATATGTAATACTTTGAATCAAAAGCCACTTTGGTATGCATAATATTGGACTGATCGTCATCTTCCCAGAATTGAGAAAGATGCAAAAGCGATAGAATTTTTACTTGCGTTAGAGTGTGCGTTGCCATGTAACCCGATACAAGTTTCCAATTCTCGTTTGGATTATGTATCGTCTGCGTCAACACTTTATGATAAGCTTGAAGCGGTCCTTGCATCTTACATAATTGTAAAATTGTTCGACACACACTGAGCTTGTGGACGATTTGCTGGCATTGTTCTAGTCGTACTACAGATGTATCGACAAACCACGCATCAAATGTACTGCTGTGCCTCTGATTGTGACATGTGAAACACAAGCTTCGTACGATTTCCTCTACACAATGTTTGATGGCCATGACTCTCTCGCTATTGATTCTGTCAGACATCTTGACAGTCGAAGTTGAGAACTTGAGGCTCTGCACCATGTAGCCCAGGCGACAGAGGCTAATAACGTTCAAACAGCATGAAATTTGACGTAAAACTTGTCGTGCTTCCGCAGTTTCGTATACTTCCAAGCTAATAGCCATTTCTATGACTTCCCGAATGACATCCTTCAACTTTCCAGAAGGTTTGATCCATGCAAAACCACTAGTGGTATCAAATATCTGCTTGGTAATTTCCATGTCGCTGTTCAATATCCGCTGACCTAGATCGTCCCACGCTCTCATTTTGTCACCGTTTCTGTTGCGTGATCGAAAACCGTTGCTGTAGTAACTCGTTTTCCACATTCTGTATTTTAAAAGTATAAATTGAATCCCAACGAAAATGACTTGCGATATGTATAACCGTGTTAGTGACCACTGTTGCCTAATATATGTGGTTTGTTCGTTCACATAATCTTGCGACATGAAAAAGCCAGAGGGAGCAGTTAACGAAATGCTTTGGAATGTTCTGATGTTCGACGAAAAAGTGCTGGTGTTGCCTATATCAAGGCTCGTATTGCTGTCGACAAGAGTAAAGCTATCACTAAAGGAACTATGGTGGCTGCGAGGAAGATCTTCCAGTGGCATGGTGATTGAATGTGTAGTTCTGTATTTGATAACAAACTCGTTTTTTAGCTCTTGCCAATTGGAATGATCTCTAAGCAATAGCCAATCGCGGACTTTGTCTGTAACCCTGGAGTAAAAAGCAATTTCCTTTTGTCGATCACTCCATTTCTTCAGTGTAGCTTGCCTCTCTATGCCCTGAATCCATATATCCGGATCTTGATTTTCAGAATAGGGTGGAATTTGTTCACACTCCATGGCGTTGTGTTGTCCAGTGGTAGAATGGAGGTTAATTGACGTTATGATAGTAGTGCTAGTTCGATTGTTTCCAATTGTAACAACGTGGATGTTCAGATTGTTTGGGTAGTGTAATAGGAATGGGGGTTTCCACAAAGCAGAATAAGGACGCTTAATTTATCTTCCACACCTCGATAGCTTTGGTGGTTCCGGTATGAAAGAGAGAGATCAGAATCATGGGCGCAGCATTTGTTGTATATCCGCCTTGTTGTGTCACATGCGGTGTATCTGTGACAGAAGTTTCCATTCAACAGCTCAAAGGGAATACGAGAGTGGACAGGCAGCAAAGCCGAAAGTTTATCTGTATTCAAAGATAGTGATTTGATTCAAATATTGATAAATTCCCCTTTCCTTCATGTCGCATATTAAATGTATGGTTGTTGCCATAACAAAGCGAGAGACCTGTTGCTTTGTAAGGCAACGCGGTTTGGCATCCAAGCCAAAATGTCCGCCATAAATCCCAAATGTTTGACAACCATCATGACCTACCAATATGTCTTCCAACATAAAGCGCTGGCATGCGTGAACCATTCGCTATCATCCACCGAGACATAGGGAATGCGCAGGCGCTTCCTATAACATGATTAAATGTTTATTGTTGCAATTGGTTCTATAAAAGGTAAATAATGGTATATGTAGGATCAGTTCGGTTGGCATTACATCTCTTCTTGCCTGCGTTGATCGAGCTATACGGACTTGGGGTCTGCACCTTTAAAAATTTATTAAAGGATAGTCAACTGTCTATAACAAAAATTACGTTGGTCGGTTAAGCCAGTCCCAAATCAATTGTGGCATAAGTCAGTTGGGTTACGCACTCACATGACCTGTGACGATTGTGGTAGCCACAACAAAACGAACAACACATTACAATTCCTGTGAACGGCCGAATACTACTTTCGAAAGTCACATTAAATCATGCCATTTGGTTCCTTTTCAGTTCTAGAATATCGATGTATTCCAGAACGAACTTGGAAGATGTAAGCTTTTTATCATCGCGGCGAAAAAGCTGGCTGCTGGGCAGAGACCAGGCGTACTATTTTTCAGGAAGAAACACAGTATGATATTTGAGCTTCTACCGTAATACCTATGTCCAGTGTAAATGCACGACAATGAGACGTGTAGCTGCTGGCATGTTCGATAGGTAGTATCTTTGCTCACGGACGGTTGCCATGCCTCCTATTTTGCTCATTTGGTAACAATCCGATTGCGGAATCTGAAGTGGTTGGAGAAGGGCCGTGTCTGTTTGTATCGACGACGTAAATGGTATGCCGAACACTCTGCGGAATACCAGGCTAGTAAAACGCAATATACATCATGATGTTCGGGCCTGGCTACTACTGAACTTGAACAAGTTGCATAGCGGCTTGAGTGCAAAGTAATGGAAGTACAAATGATACCCATATCGTCGACTACGGGAATGTATAACGAATTGACTTCTTGAAGGACTGCCTCTGAAGTTTACTTCACAAATATCAGATTCCTCTCCCAAATGAAAATTTGATACCAGTGTCAGTCCATCTACTGGCCTCGAATGGGCAACCACTTCCTCCGAACTGAACAATGTTAAGATGGAGCACTAGTGATGATGCCCGAATGATTACAATCCATATGGTGTACAGTTGCTTTTATCTTTGCTATCGCCAGGGTATCTAACCCGTTTACTAGTGTGCTTAAGGCTAATCTGCTTACAGAACAGCACATAATGTTTCAATGCAAACTACAACGAATGCTAAATCTGTAGGATGTTATTTTATTTTCAGCGTTAATGAGCCAGCACCTTTACACTTGCGTTTCTCATGTATGCACTGTTTCCCTTCTATTACATTTTTACAATTTGGCCTTGGGAGAGTTTTTCTGCTTGTTGGCAGCTTCGCTCATCTTGACTCGAGACACCTTGCCAGTAGCAGTCTTCTGCATTTCCTTAACAACATAAATTCGCTTGGGGATTTTGAATTTAGCCAGCTTAGCAGATGCGAACTCTTGCATCTCCTTTTCGATTTTCTTGGGATCTTCATTCTCATTGGCTTTCTTGAGAACAACCGCAGCATGGACTTCTTGTCCATACATTTCGTCGTCGACACCAAAACAGATGGCCTCAGCTGCCTTGGGGAAGGCAAGCAAGACACCATCGATTTCCAAGGGAGAGATCTTTTCTCCTCCGCGGTTGATGAGCTCCTTAATGCGTCCGGTCAAAATAAGGTATCCGTCTTTGTCCTTCTTTCCTTGATCACCAGTGCGGAACCAACCATCAGCAGTAAAAGAACTCTGGTTGGCCTGAGGGTTGTTGAGATAACCCTTGGTCACATTGGCTCCCTTAATGCACACTTCACCTTCCGCAACATGCTTGCCATTGCTATCCAAAATAGCAATCTCAACACCTTGGCCAAGACCAACGGAGCCAGGCTTATGGGCGGCAGGAGGGAGGGGGTTGGAAGTCATTTGATGGGCAGCTTCAGTCATGGCATAGGCTTCCAAAACGGGGGCCTTGAAGGTTTCTTCCAAGGCATGGAATGTGGGAGGGGCCAAACTAGAGGAGCATGATCGGATAAATCGAATGTTGGGGATTTCCTTGGGAGGATGGAGCAAAAGGATTTGATGCATAGTGGGGACTAGAATTTCATAGAAGAAAAAAAAACCATGGTTAAACTTGATTGCTCCATGCTACGCCGATGATTCGAAAAAATGAAGGGCTTACCAGCTGTGTACCAGTTACACTTGTTTTCAATAAAGTCCTTCCAGAAGACACCAGCCGAGAACTTTTGAGGAACGACTGCACTTCCACCCGATAACAACGTAGCAAGCAAACCACAAATCAAGCCATGAACGTGGAACAATGGCATGACCAAATAGGTACGATCTGCAGGCGTAAGCTTATATGTGTTGATGATGTTCTGCATGGTGGTAGCAATGTTCAGATGGGTGAGAGGCACACCTGCAAGCAAAGGTAGAATTAGCCCGAAAGTCCTTCAATCCTACTATACCATTCCATTCCATGCCATGCTCTCTCACTTACCCTTGGGTCGGCCAGTTGTGCCGCTGGTGTGTAGCAAAAGAGCCACATCGTCGGGTTGTGGGCGGACTTTACTAGGGTTGAATCCTCCTTTGGATTTATCCTTTCCAGGCACGGTCAGCTCGACTTGGATCTGATTGTTAGCCCACTCGATCTCTACGACAGCAACTCCAAAAGACTTTGCAGCCCGAACAACGGGGCTGTTGCTTTGAGTTGAACCCTTCGGAACAATGATAGCGTGAGACTGAGAATCTTCAAGATAAAACTTGAATTCATCTTCGGTGTAAGCGGCATTGAGGGGAGCAGAGACCAATCTCATGTATCCAGTAGCCAAGAAAGCAATAATGAACTCGAGTGAGTTTGGATAAGCAATGGAAATAGCATGGCCAGGCTTGAAAGTGGAAGCAGGAAGTACGGCGGCAAGTTTTCCCGAGAAATCCGCAATGACTTGCAGTAATTGTTTGAATGTAAGGTGGACGGGGGTGGGAGCTGACGAAGGGATTATGACAGCTGTGTTGTTGTTGTTGTTACGCTCGAATACGGAGAAGAGAGTCGACATTGGAGGAGATGAAAGGGTAATGTTGAAAGGATTAACGGCTGGTTTTTATATAAGTTCTCATTGTGCCGGCGAAATCGATGAGGATCAACAGTCACGCAATGCAGATTTGCTCACACAAGCGATTGTGTCATTTTGCGTGCTCAGCACAAAATCACATAATTTGTGCGCGCTGCCTTTGCCATACCGCCCAAATCGCTTGTCCAAGCCAGGCCAAGCCAAGCGCGCAATCACTCTGCCTATCCATCTAAAATTCTGCGGTGTACACCGATGCCTTTTGAAAAGGATGCACTGGAACAAATATTTGCCTAAATAATTTTTACGTCGTGTTGGCGCAGTGTTTCATTTATGGAAGAAAGTAACCGTCTCGTAATACTGCCGGATGGAAATGTAAAGTGCCGGCAGAAGGACAATGTACATTTAAAATCAATCAAGCGTATGTTCATGGTTGTTGACGTCTTATCGCACAGTCCACTATCTCTGTGCTGACAATGCTTGCCTAATTTTGTCGGCAAGCAGTGCCTAAAAACGTGGTTGACGTATCCCTGCAGCTGCCATTCGGAAGAAATAAACTTACTCCGGGGTGGAACTTGGCTGACCAGGTCAACTCAGCCCGGCTTTATATTAAGATTACAGAGAGTGACACAGCGGTCTGTTTTATTCAATTAACATTGCGTGCAAATATGAACAATACAAGGTGAGGAGAGGTGTCTAGGAGGAGACAACTCAACCGTAAGATAGAGGATAGAAAAGATTCGGGGTGAGGAGATTATGGGGACAAATAAGAAAAAAAAGGGAAATCGCAACAATTTAAACGTGACATGTACATGGTGGAGATAAGCAGGTGAAAAAACTTTCAAGTAGTGGATCGGTCGCGTGCAAGGCCGTTCACTGTATTCTCATTGGCAACCACGACGTTGCCATGGTGAGTTAATATGACGGGCCGTACGCTGTTATTTCGATCATCCGTGGCCATAAAGTGCTGGCGAATAACATCGGTGTGGTGTTGATGAGCTGACGCATACACACCTAAACCGATGTTCATGTACTGAGGTTGCTGCGGTGGTACATTGAGTCGAGATTGCTCATCGTTTCGCTGTTGCTGAGGAGGAGATCGATCAAATATGGTTTGTGATGACAACCATTTGTCATTATCTTGCGCTGGCCATGTATCGTTGGAGGCTGCTGCGGCTGCAATAGAGTAAAGTAAAGGATCATCCCGATTGTCGAATCCGTTCGTTGTATGGGGTGGATTATCCCAACCCCGGTCACCAACATTGCCTGTGGCAGGATCCGCAGGGTGATGCGACTCCATAGCGTTTTGGCTTGGATGTGGATCGTGCTGTTGCATAGGGTCTGAAACAAGAGTAACCATATGGTTACTGTGATCACGTTGATGCTTTGACGACATATTATAGGAATTAAACTGTGGATTGGGATGAGATGGGGATTGACCGTTGGCCTGAGGTGACAACCCGTGCGGGAAAGTGGCAGGGTGGGGGACCACAGCATGCTGTGACAGGGTAGCCGTGGAAGAGGTTGTTGGCCAATGATCTCCCATGACGAGATTAATAGCATAGTTTTCTTCCTGAGTTGGATTTTGACCACTCGTATACCGTAAAGAAGATTGTCTTTGATTGGAATTAGAAGAGATATGTTGCTGGGAAGGAAATGCGTAGGTCAAGACTTCGGCTGCACGCTGCTCGTCACCATTGAGAACAATGTGATTTGCTTGCATGGATGAACGTTGATTTGGTGGAGATTGTCTGTCCGAGTACGATCGTTTCTGCCCAGCCCGATGCGGTTCATTGTAACCCAGCGACCTATCCGATCTTGATTCCTCCTCCGAATGGATACCGTTGACTTGCTGATGATAGTTGTTACCATTGTTTTGACCACGACGTGGTTGGGGAGAGTTTCCAGCGTGATGCGGGCTGGAGGACGAGGAGCTGGAGGTGGCATCATGGGCAAGTGAATTTTGTAATGAGATAGCAAACTGCTCAACGGAAGGGAGGGATCTATGTTGTAAGAGGTCACGTAGGATTTTCAGAGACGCCTGCAGTAATTGCTTTGGGTGATTGTTTGATTTATATGAAAAATCACCCAACCCATTCATATGTACAACCGATGCACGCATAAGAGCAGAGGCCAAGAATCGGTAAGTTGCAATAAAGTCTCGACGTTGGTATAGGAAGGTAGCAAGCTGGGTGACATTTTCCGCTACAGTATGGCATCGATGCTGAATCAACTTGTTGGTGGAGTTGGCGTAAGGTTTCAATACAGACAATTCAATGACGTTATACACTAGGTGGATGTGGGAGACAATGGCGTTGGCTGGTGGATGAGGAGCGGTTGCGTTGGCTTGGGTAGGTAGAGGCGTCCATTGTAAATGAGGTGGAAGGGATCGCAGCCAGTTGATCAAATCGTTGTTGAAGCTAAGAAGCATTTGTTCGTGCTCTCTTGTGCGTACCATGGTCTGCTTGACCTGAAAAGATTCAAAATGCATAACTCTTTCCGCAATCTGCATCAACTTGATATAGGCGACAAATCCTTCCAACGTTTCATGTTCGGTTGCAAAATCGGCGGTTTGAAAGACCGGCATATCGATTTCAAAATCCTCTGATCGTATCATCCAAGCGCCATCGGTATCAATACTCTGCAGCTTGTCCAGACAATAGCAACCCCAAAATACTCGCTTTCGCAACTCAATATCGTTGTTGGTCATACGATCACCAATAGTGTAGGATCGACACATTCCGAGGTCATAACAGAGCCTAAAAGCCACGCCACTGTATACGGAAGATCGACAGAAGCGGGATTGTTGAGGATCTTGGAACTCATACAATGATAACAGACACAGTGCGATGACCGTACTAATACGAGGGATATCCAGAAAGTCGTCGATGAGTTGTTTTGCACGGTTAAAGTAAACATTTGCAGGTTCGCATAAGTCAGCATCTTCTTCGTTTAAGTTTATAGCAGCGTGGGCGTACATGGCGTTCAGTAGAAGCGGAGTAATAAGGTAGCCTTTGACTGAGAGTTGCTGCATCAACATTCTGCGTGGCATGACAGGAAACACATTATGTCGCTTTTCAAAGTAAGTCCTTATCAGACGCTCTTGAGTGGCTTTGGGTGGCATGGTCAGCGGGCCACTGTAGACAGTGGGGAGTGGTGGTTCGGGCTCCCAGGTATGCGATGATCCTTGTGAGCCAAACAAGGACGTATCCGAAGTTAGCTTAAAGCTATGAAGTTCCCTTTTACCACCCGGTATTTCAATGGCGTTATTACACAACGAGTCCAGTATTTCTTGGGTGCGAGTCAGACTCGCTGGCACTGTCTTCTGAGCTGTGCCGTTGGTGTTGACACCATCCCAACTGAACAAAAAGTCTTCTGTGTTTTCCGGCCGTTCATCCCTAGGTCTTTCTCGGCTAGGTCGTGGTGACTTGTATGAGTCTGGATGTGCGACAGTCGATTCACTCGACCGCTCATCGTGGGTGCTGAGATAGGGCGTATCGGAGCCGGCGTTACTATCGAGATCGTCATCTGCATCTTGTGTAGGACCTTCTTTTGAAAAAGTACATGGTCGTCTTCTCGCTATTGAAATAGACAAGGTTCACTATTGGCTCCAAGACAAGCCAAAATATATTTGGGCGCTCCGCCAAGGTTACTTACCTTTACACTACCAGACCAAAGATGATAGTCGCCAAAGCATTGTCGTTAGCCACAATGATCCGCCAACGAACACCCTTACAATTTCATACCCGATTTTAACATACCTGCATACATGGTTGTACTCCATCGCACTGAAAGTTTGAAACAACCAAAAAAAAAAAAAAAAGGTTAATAATCGAACGGTGGTATCGATTAAAAAAAAAAGCCCAGGTCGAGCAAGTGGCATGCTATAGCCATCACAGGCGGACATGGGTATTGACTAAAGATGCATTACCTTGATCTTTTTCTGACGACATGTGAAGCATGCTCGTCCAACTTTGAGACGCTTGATACGAGCCTCATGGGATGCTTTTGATTTAGTTGTGGATCTCGGAGAGGATGAGTGGCCATGCTGGCTTAATATAGGAGAGTGAGAAGCCATGAGCTGGCATTCAAGAGATGAGAGATGTGACTATGGATGGAGAGTGATGAAGAATGAAATGGAGCAAAGTTGAAATGAGGATGTAAAGCAGCTTCCTCTTTTTTTTTTTCTGAAAACGTCGTAGTTTGATCACAAACTGAGGAACAAATTTTGCAGGGTCCACTTAAGCTTCTGGCTTGCGCTCATTCAACTTCGTAACACCAGTGGCTCTTTTTCTGTGGACCGTTCGTTCCGGCGTTCAACACCCACTCTCTTCCATTTTATTTTCTTTCCCTCACGCTACTAAGTCATCGTATTCAATGTCATTTACTTCAATAGTATCATCCAGTCGTTTTCTGCCTACAGTTGGAATAGATAACTGAAAGATAATGTAGTTTGAGTGATAGGGGAATGTGATTTTCATAAACAGGGTTGTTGTGCAACTTCTTTCTCGGTTTGGGAAAGCGCCGCCATTCGATTTGCAATAGGGTCTTGGTTACCTTCCGTTTGTATCGCACTGACATCGTCATTTGATTGTTTAACCGATAGCCGTTCTTTACCTTTAGGTGTAGAAGAAGTGAGGGCGGAGGGGTCGACGGAGTCAGGTATGTCATCCACGGCGCTTTCACTGACGGGACTCATCATTCTTTCATCTCCGCCACCCATTAAGATAAACTCTTCCCCGTCAAATGTGCTATAGGGTCGGTCTATCTTAGCCGTTGTCGCTACCAAACCAGCTGGTTGCTGCCCGATATGTAAAATTTGAGGTACTTTGGCTTCTACGGTTGCCTCATGTAGCTCTTCTAAAGGTGAATCCGGCGACAGTATTTCCAGATGGTGGCTATCTCTCTTTGAGTGAGGTAAATCGTTCATATTGGGCGTAGAAAAGAATCGATGAAATGAAGTGGGCGATGTGGGGTTGTACACGCCATCTGTAAAATTTCGCTTGATTCGTTTTCCGCCTCTCCTGGCTAAGGTAATGGGCGATATAGTAGTATCAGACAGGCTAGACAGAACGTCGCCATAGTTGGACTCGTCCCTTTCCGCCATGTTATACACTTCATGTAGGCTGTTGGTCTCTTTCGCCAGGGACTCGTCGTCATCGTTGTGCTTCTGATTATATCGACGATTACACAGATGAAGAGCTATTAGTAAGATGCAGAACAGAGCTGCTAAACCTGCAACCGCTCCAACAATCACGCCCGGAGAGGGTCCACTCATCAACTCCGTATGTTGGCCTTTCGTGATATCGCTACTTGTATTAAACACAGATCGCCAGCTCCATGTGCTTACATCCAGATTTTCGATATCAGAGAGAATAGACAATGAAGTTGATACCCCTAGTGACCACAAATTGAGTTATTCGGGGTGTACAAGAACCCTGGATGATAATAAATAAGTATCAAGGCTTGCCTGTGAACCCGAATGCCACTATCATGTTTGTGCCAATAAGTGTTGCTTGAAATGGGTATTGCCGTTAGTATCACTTTCACAAAATTATATCAGCTCTGCAGGTTGTGGAACCATGCTCACCAGAGTGCTATCAGAAGCAACAGTACATGAAAATTATTAGTGCTTTTTTGGATAGCTACAAGGCAGTAAAAATTCAATCGGTACTCACGTCTGCTCGACCTTGTACATTGGCAGTTGTACTTTTCACTTCCCATGTCCATGTATCGGTATGTAAAATGGCAACGTCGTTGAAGACATTGTAGCCATCGTATCCACCATATCTACAAATGAAATGATGTGTAACAAATGACGATTAAGAGGCGAGAGAAAAAAAATGCGTGATTATTTTGGGCCCACTTACATGACAATAGATTTCCCATCAGCCATGAGTACGGCTGAATGACTGCTTCTTGCTGCCGGCCTGCCGTCGGGATTGAGACCAGCTTGTATATTTGTCCAGGTGCTGGTGGATATATCAAACAACCAGACATCACCTAAAGATGTAGGCGTACCAGATATACCGTCGAACCCTCCAAGCACAACGATAATAGTATCGTTTATGATGGTTTGGGAGTGAGAATAGCGCAAATTGGGCATTTCATTTCCATTGGGGGTCACCAGCGAGGAGTCGCTTGGATTGGTACAGTTGAGTCTATACACTAGTTGAGGCAGATTGGGTGGTATTGATGCTGGCGATGATGGGGGATTTTCTGGTGGCTTCTCTTGTCGAAGCGCCAATGCATTCATAAATAGTTCTCCAGCGATAGTCTTTCCTCCCCATAGCTGTCATCAGGGAATTAACAAGCAGAATTAAACAATTTTTGGCAATTAGTATTAGTTTATTTCCCCTGACTTAGAGTCAAATCAATAGTATATTGAGAAATACTTACATAGGCTTGGCCGTTGGATGTGGTTGAGACAGCTGCTCCTTGTCTATGTACAACGTCTGGATCGGGTAAACTTAATTGAGTCCACTGCCGGCGAGCTGCATCATACATATATGCCGAGTTATTATTTTGAGATTGGGCCGACGGGGTTATACCGCCAACAATAAGCATTTGTTTGCTGCCATGATTGTCTGAGAAACCCACATGGTAGTATACACTGGGACCGCCTAATATGCTTTGCGTTCCTGAAATAGGGCTCCAGTTTGGTTGTTGTAATGGAAAAGATCCTGACAGGTTAAGGACTGCAAGATCAGATAGCCACAGTGGTGTTCTCGTAGATGCCGTGATCGAACTATCACCGCCATAAAAGTATATACTAAAATGGGGTTTTTTTTCAGATATTTTTGGTACCTTGACGTCTCAATGTCTTTTATATTTACCTGTTATCCATCAACACTGCTGAGTGTCCATATCGTCCGACAGAAGTGTAGCAGCTTACGGGCACATATAAAACCAACAGGTGGACAAGGAAAAAAACACTCCATATTGGTATAGCATTCTGCGATGGTAGAAGTATTCGAAACATAGTTTTTATGAATACCAGACGGTCATAGATTTATGCGAGATATGGTTTACAAGATATTGAACATAAGTATATGCTGGCAAATTTGCGAAAAAGTAGTGGGCAGGAAGGGAAGAGAGATTTTATCACATAGAGGCCTTGATGGCAGCAAAAATATATCACACGTTGATGCGAGTAGCAACTGCTTTTAGGTTCTTACACACAACCAGTTGACTGTTACGATCCCCTAGCCGTCAATTTTAAAATTTACAATTTCAAAAGCTAGCCCATCGTCATGAGAACTAAGCACCCATCAAAACCATTGAATACTTAATCCTGCTATTTGTGTCTTATTTGTATGGTAATAAATATTCGGTTCATAATGCATCCAGACAATATTCATTGAACCAGGAATAATGTGCGGTTTTAACAAAAAATGGTTTTGCCGATGTAAAAAGCACGACATAAAATGTGAGCTTCAAAGCCGTTCTTTATAAAATAGATGGGACAGTAAAAATAATTAGTGTCCTTTTTTATTTTATTATTCGGCTTGTCACCAATTGCAAGCAAATGATGGGGCAGCGATCCCGAGAGCATATTGATGCATGGGCTGACGAAACAGAATTCAAAGAGCGTGACAACCAGCCTACAAAGATAAGAGCCAGCACAGATGCTCTGTAACATTTGCTATACAAGACACCGTTCAGATTTTTCTTATATTGCCTCATGTAACGGCCAAGTTGTTTGCAACGGTTTATGACTGTGTTGAAGTGGGGATTTTCAGCCTCATTGAAGCACGGTCAATATGCAATTGAATAATCCATCTACCTGCACAATTTATACCATTCAAAAACACCTGGTGAATAACAATTTGTGATATTTTATTCTGCTTCCGTTTGCCTTAGACAACGCTCAGCAGAAAATTGCAAATTTAAATAGCTTACCAATATTGCAACGAGCAATATTCCCACTTTCAACGCAGGTGTCGATGGACCCATAAATTTTCCAGCGTTCGTTCCAACGTAGCCAAAAAAGACAAAAAAAAAATATGGCAGACATCGTACCTTGTAATAGATGTTGAAATAATGTTGGTCAGCTATGAGTCCCATCCACTCCTACTGAACGAGCTGACTAACCCGGATCTTTCCCTGGTCCGCGGTTTTTGTCGGCATTGTCGGTTGGCCTATGAACGGATCCGGCCGCTCATTATTATGCGTAGCCATGTTTTGAAAAACGCATAGAATGTTGTTCGCAGCTATCTCATCCCAATTTCATACGATGCATAGGTGGTACCTGAGCACCGCATGTATGGTCGTGATCGCCGTATTTGTTGCACTATATTCTTTTGGTCTAAAGCTTCTTCGCTTCATCTTGATTAGAGCCTTTCTATGACATTCGCCACAAACTTTTGAGGTGTTAAATTCGTCGATGATGGCAACTAAGGCAAACCAATTTCTCTTTACCACCTTCAGCAGGGGGTTTTTAACTCGCTTGACTGGTGCACGCACTTTTCCCTTCATGTCACCAAAGGCACCGTTCCGTATGTCAACCGACGGTAAATTTCATCCAGACCTTTCTGCCTTCCTTGGTAATTCTCATATATAGCTTTCTAAATCTACGGCAGGCGTCGTTCCTCATCGTCATTTCATTTTCTACTATAGTGTTATGATATCATAAAATATATCATACGAATGCTGTTGTGTTCCATGTTGTTTGTTCTTTATAATCCGTTCGTCTAGAGAATTTTCAATTTACGGTGGGACCAAAAAATCACCAACCCTGGTGCCAATCTGTTTCAAGAAACACTGGTGGTCTTCGTCTCCTATATTTAAGTGACTGTTGATAACGTATAATGGTTCTTATTACAAACGCTAACTTGTATTCATCCAAATTACTACCATGCGCTATGCGAAAGTATTTCACGAATATCCAATAAATTTGCTTGACCACTGATGAAAGATCTCGGGGACTGCGTTTTCCACCATGACGGGAATGGAAAAAGAAACCCCAACGTAACCAGATCACCCAACACTGTACTTTTTGATCAATTTGTAGACTAGAATGCCTGAAGCCAAGATTGCTCCCTCCATGCTTTCCTCCGATTTCGCCAACTTGGCCGTCGAAGCCAAGCGCATGGTCAAGAATGGTGCCGATTGGCTTCATTTGGGTAAGAAACAGTCCGGATTCCAACAGGCAGACTTCGCAGCATACTATTCATAGACCACTGACTTACAAACTACCGTTCTATGATAATCTTCTCTCCTCGAAAAATGCGTTGTTTTCCGACGTAGACGTCATGGACGGGTAAGAAGAGTTCTTCGAGCTTCGGCAATCATGCATGTCCGAGCATTTGATTGACCCTATGCATATCTCTTCCGCAGCCACTTTGTTCCTAACCTGACTATGGGAGCACCCATCATCTCCTGCTTACGCAAACATACAGATGCATTCTTCGGTAGGTGTTGATTGAATAGAAAGACGGTATTTTTAGGTGAACGTCATGCAGACAATTAATTGTTATTTGGCGGCCCGTCGTACAGATTGCCATATGATGGTGGCCAAGCCTGAACAATGGGTGGACGACATCGCCAAGGCTGGAGGAGAGATGTATACGTTCCACATTGAGGCCACCAAGGAGCCTGTCGCCCTCATCAAGCAAATCCACGCCGCTGGTATGAAGGCTGGTGTTGCCATTAAGCCTAAGACTCCCGCCGAAGTGGTGATTGGCGAGGTTGGCGAGCTTGCTGATATGGTCTTGGTCATGACAGTTGAACCGGGTTTCGGAGGACAGCGATTTATGGCCGAATGTATGCCCAAGGTAAAAAAAAATAATGATTCGAGAATGTTTTATTAGCGCGCTGGCGGGATTATAGGATGCAACTTGAGTGGCGTGCACTGAGTTTTCTGTCATCATCTAGAAGCGGCCTGTTTATGCAATCCAGGTACTTATATTCACAATTATGTAAACCTATAGGTTGAATTACTCCGCTCCAAATATCCCAATCTTGATATCGAAGTGGATGGCGGTCTGTCTTTGGAAACTATTGATGCATCTGCTGATGCTGGAGCCAATGTCATTGTAGCTGGAACCGGTGTATTCAAGGCTGAAGACCCAAGCCAAGTCATTGGTACTTTCCGCGAAAAAGTAAACACTGCACAGGCCAAGATTGCTTCTGCCGCACAGCAGTAAATGCCATACTGTTTATTGCATGTTCGGCTGATATAGAGCGCTTGAGCCAAAGTAAAAATAAAACAAATTGGGGTATACTGTCTACAATGCATCCACTCGCAACTTCAGCCAGGGAACTCTTCAATGCCTAGGCGTTGGTTCAGCGTGGTATTACGTTTTGACGGGGCCGGCTTTGAATCAAAGCTGGTCCTAACTTTCTTGTCGGGAGTTGGTGGTTGCGCAAATGTAAAGCCATCAATCTTCGCCTGTTGAGGAGTGACGCGACCTTTTCCCTTTTTGATACTATTCTTAATCTCTAGTTCCTCAAGTTGATCGAATTCCTCCAGATCCTCTGCTTTTAGAGTGATGGCTGATGGGGTGCGATTGAACATCTGTGGGTGGAAAAAACAGGTAAAATCGTGACGGCGAAAGATGGGAAGATCTTTGGGGGGGGGAGGGAAAAATCTAGCGGGGTCAATATTGAAAGTTTCAATCAAACTTCCCCCCGCCAAGACCAAAGGCCGCTAAATGGATTAAAAAAAAAAAAGTTGGTTAAAACATCATCGTCATATTCTTCTTCTTCTCTTCTTGTTTTTACCACTTGTTGTCTTTACCTGCTCATGATTTCAATACGGCGGTCGCAGACCTTGATTCTAACTGCCGCCATCACTTTGATTTTGCTGACGTTTCTTTCATGGAACGATTCAGATTATGTCCCCTATTTGTCAACGCCCGCGGATAGCAGCTACCAGGAAGAGGATGCCATAAGAGCAATTGATCAGCGGTATTGCGGTGGTCCTTGTAAATTCCTATTGCCGGTCTTCATTGTCGAACAAGGTAAGAGCAACAAAATGAATGGGTCCAGTCATATCACGCCATATCTGACACCGGTTTAATGAACTTTTAGAGTCAAAGGCCCAGATGCATTTCCGACAATTGGCTTTCACAGCCGGTCTTGTAAACCGCACCATAGTACTCCCAAACGTTGGTAACTCTCGTCTGGGAGCTTGTAACGGACATGAATTTGCATTTTACTATTCACACGAATGGCTGGACAACAATAGAGAGCACTTTAATTACATCACTCTTCAACACTTTAAGGCTTGGTTAGAGGAACGAAAAGCCGTGGGTCGAAAGCCTACGTCGCAAGATGTTACTCTGCAATTGGAACCTACTAGACGCCATTTCTCTGACGATCAGGTCAACTGCTGGCAGCCCTGGTTAAATATGGAAGATCTTCCCCCTCGACACTTGGATTTGGCTGATAGAGAGTCGTCGTCGGGACTGGAAATTCAGAACAAAATTGTTTCTTTCCTACAAGGACAGCCAACTGAAGAAGAAGTGGAACAGAATACGAGGATTGGTACCGACCTTGAAGTGCTCAGTGTTTTCTATGATCGAAGGTAAAGGATAAGCCGACCTGCCATGACTCCATAAAAAGAATGCAACAACTGACGTAACCCTATCCAAATAATTAGATTTCCATTCATCCAGAACCCCGCCGCCCAGACTGCTTTGTCTTACAGCGAACAATTAACGGCCGTTTCTCGTGATATAGCTGATAGCATATCTCCATACCTTGCTATTCACTGGAGAACTGAGCGAATAGAACCAGCTTACAATTTGGAATTATGCGCCCGCTCACTGGTGGATAAGATACAGGGCATTGCCCCTACTATACCGAACGTCTTTCTCCTGACCGATTACCCACACTTGTTGAACTCTTCCATTGCCCAGACCCAAAATGGAACCTCCACCTCATTCCGACCCTCTCAGATTTCAGAATCACATCATGCCGCTATACGCTATCTATACGAGCACGCCCATGTTATGCTGACGACGTTTATCAGCAATGACGAAGTTCCAAATGACCTTCCCGCGAACTGGACGTTGCTGCATTTGCCACTCGTGAAGAACGCCAACGGAGAGGTTGTCATAGGCGACAAAGGTGTACTCGGCATCATAGACAAGTTGATGGCTATGCAAGGACATTGGTTCTTGGCCGGCCAACCCGGTGTTTGTGGACGGTCCAGCAGCTTTACCAATCGCATTGTGGCTGAGCGGGAGTCTCTGTTGGATAGCGACCAGGCATCGTTCGGTAACGTTGTTGATTACTTCAATTTGCCAGATAAGCAGTGATGGAAAAAGTCAACATACCATCCTTGTTTCTCAAACTCTCTCTTTTCACTGTACACTACTTCATCAGTTTGACATTCTTCCCAAACATTGTTAATTCTTTTATATATATAGATGGGGGCGTTCAGTTCAGTTATGTTACGAAGATAATTTCTTATAGGAAATGATGCTAATATAACTTGTCATAGCGTTCTAACATTAAATTGGTATAAACTTACTACCTTTTGCTGACCTTGAAGTCCGACTTGATGGTATCAATTGATCACAACGGCGATACACACCTCTTTGCTTTCATGCTGTACATCTAGGCCGCTATAGGATCGTCAGCAATCCACGTGAAAGTTTGAAAAAACGATCGCAATTTTTTTTTTTTTTAATTCTCACCATTGGTATAATGATTGACGTTTAGTTAGGGTTTTGAGGAAACTCAGCACAACCGGCTTTAACGGGAGCCTCAGCATGGTCAAACCGGTGTTTTTGTACCTTCATCCACTACAATGCTTGTGATAAAATAGATCACAAACTACAACTTGTCCCTAGTGGTACTCGCTCTTCAGAGTTCTAGTAGAGCAGACCGCAATATAGCAACGTTACCGTGGGCTGTCTTTACATCACCTGGTTAGCATGACTAGTCTTGGGCTGCTGCGTCATTCATGAATTTTATTTTTACAATTGCTATAACCTAAATCAGCAGGCTAGTGGATGTTGTATTAAAGACGAGTCAAATAACTCCCCCATGCAGCCTATAGCGAATAAAATATAATAAAATCTTGGCACTATTATTACTTCATTGCATAAAGTCCATTTATAACCATTCATGGCTGGTTAAACCATGGTGCCTCATCATCCAGTATGCTGTGCTCTATTGCCCTTTGCATTGCAAGTTGTTTTTCTCCAAGTTAGGTATTTTCACAGGTTTTAAAAATTTCACTGCATGGTGGTGGCACCCAGATCACTTTCTATGAAACTGTTTCCATATGCTTCTTCACAGAAAGCTGATACTTGAGTGCTCATTCGTCAAAGCAATCTGAAAGCTTTAGGGTATGGTGCATATCATCAACCGCTATCTTTTTATTCATAGGAAATAAGTGGGTTTTCATAACCATTGATAGCTAATTTTTTTATTCTCTTACTGACCATACAAATGCTTGTGTTTCGGCACTCCCACCAGATTAGCAAGATTTTTATTATATGCCTGTGCCGACTACAGCAGAAACAAAACTCCCGATACAGGTTGAATGATCTTATGACGAACGAAGGCATGCAAACAATGCCTTGTCATGGTTTTTTTTTTCCAAGTCTTTGAACGTATCGTTCAATACAGCAAGAAGACACAATCTGATTGTAGCTATTAAGTCACTGGTGCAAATGATACCTCTTGACGTCAAAATTTTGGGGGAACACAAGAACACTTTGAAACACTCACAGACATATTTCTTTCTCTCACCCGTCCTTTTCAAGCTTATTATCGCATACCTCATTCCATGACGAATGAACCCCCGAGAATCACCTCCAAAAACTCATCTCTGGGAATCAGTCAGGCATTAGAAAATGATCAACCCAAGAAGTTGCGACGATCCACCACCATACTGTCGGAATCCTTCAAGGAACCCTCGGAGCACGACACTTGCTTCGGTTGGGCAGGCTTTTACATATCACTGTACTTCAACAAGGTAGCTGTACATATGTTCGGAGGAGTAACAGGTTGGAAATGGTACAACAGGTATGATTTGATCGGTACAGCTGTAGACGTTTGAGTTTCATTCCACTGACTATGCCTTTAGAATTGACGAGTTGGTTATATTAGGCGCCTTACCTACGCCGACGCAAATCAAAGAAATGCAACAACAACAGAACTTGAAAACGGTCATCAACCTTTGTGCAGAATTCCCTGGATACCGTGGGTTATATGGGGAACTCGATATTCATCAACTGTGTTTGGGAACAGCCGATTACACTGTGCCCACTCTGGATAAAATTGAAGCCGGCGTGTTGGCCATCATGGAGATAGCTGATCATGGAGAAGGAAGCGTCTACATACATTGTAAAGGTGACGTATATCTATTTTGGTGGGTTTTTTGTTCTTGCATTCCAACTAACACTTTTTTGTCTGCAGCTGGAAGAGGTCGGAGCGCAGCGCTTGGTCTGTGTTATTTGATACGGAGATACCAACTGAACCCACAACAAGCACAAAGTGTGTTAATAAAGGCACGGGCGCAAGTGGACAAAGAGCTCTACCATGCAGAGCAGATACGAATGTATTACAAAAGCATTATAATGGAAGCTGAAGCCGGCAGAATCCATCGAATACCATACACTTTTATGTAGCATCCCATCTCACCAACATAATACAATACAATATCTCAACAAATTTTGGCCTTCGTATTTTTATTTTTTTAATTTTCGGTATGAAAAAAAATCCCTAGTACTGCGTTCTCTCTCTGTCAACCAACCATCACAGCCATGTCACTAGCTTATGCTTGTAACTGCCTGAATGTTCGGTTGCATGTTGCTTCTACTATTGATTCGTCAAGCTCACTGACTGATGAATTGGGCTCGGAATTGATGGGATGGAAATTGTCGCTAGGTGTAGGCGGCATTGTCATTGTAAGTGAGCGCTGTTCGCACGGGCCGGTGTGAGTGGGGTTTGTAACCCGTTTACGCTTAAACAGGAGCAAAAGCCTCTGGTTCGACTGCGACAAGTATCACATGCGCCGTCCTGGGCAACCCTATCTTGCCTTGTCTGCGGCACCCAGGATATCTTTTCGATCCTATTCGACGATCAGATTACGCGCCTGGATAACCCCGACTGGGACTCGCTGCTTATACCCGAAAGCAACAGTATCATCATACATGAAGGTTTAAAGGTAAAGAGTTCAGTGGCCGACCAAAAAAAGAAGGATAGATAAATCTAAATATGCATGGCCTTTTTATCACAGGATGCAAGCGAGATTGAAGCCCTCAAAAAGCTACCCAATTTCTCCTGTACCTTCCAATTAGTGATACGATCGCCCAATGAAGCCCAGGCTAGTCATGGTGAGTGTGACCTTTGGCCGCCAACGTGACTCATTCACCTGAAATTAATATGACAGATGGCAAAGAACAATTAGATAATCCACAGTACAAGGAACTGCGCGAAAAGCTACAGCTGACCCTTGATGAGCGGATGAAGCTTGAGGAGCAAAAAACCCGTGAGAGAATTGCTGCCTATAAAAAGCAACAGGAGGAGAGTCTGGCTGCCATGAAAAAAACTGCACATGAAGAGTTGGCGATGCTCGAAACCATCATATCGGAAGCGCTGCATACGTCGCAAGTGAAGAAACCCAAATCGTTGGATGAGAAAAAGCACACTACATCTGAATCTTTAACATCAGGCACGGGTGAAGGATCTATGAAAAAAGGATCATCACGACAACGGGTCCGATTTGAGGAGTCTGATCAAAACACTGCAGGTACCGAATCTGGGAAAACGCACGAGCAACCTTCCAACCTTGGTAAAGCCATTCAGAGCCAACGAGACATTACAGGAGACACTGTAGAGGCCGATGACGAGGCCAATGATGAGATTATGGAGGACGGAATGGAGGACAATTCTGATGGTAATAACACAACTTTGCATGCTTACAAGTGGAATCTGAAACTAACTCGAGCTTAAGATGAGGAAAATGTCTTTGAACTGGACGAAGAGCTAGAGACCCGTCCTGACGGGGTCGCTGACGATGAAAATGCAGAAGATGGCGTGGAACCTGTTGATGAAGAGCAAGACGAAGTTGCGGAAAGTGTCCACGACCTGAAGGCATTCAGTTTACCTGCCTCCAGCCCTCTCCTTTTGAAAGCGCGCCGAAGGAACTCACAAAAGTATCCAGCGGGTAACATGTGGGACGAAACACAAGAAAAGGTTCATGATACCCAGGATGACCCTGTTTCCACCCTGTTTGCCACATCATTGCCTATCAACATCACCAAATTTAAAGGCAAAAAAGCTGTACAAGCAGAGGATGATTCCAAAAACAAAGCAGTACCTTTTGGCACCACGTATGATCCATCGCTGAGTGAAATGGTCGCGATGTCAGCTCAGCTGCAATCCCTTCCTGGACCGTTCGACCGTGCGGTGTCCGAGGAGCGCTTCAAGCACGATCATGACGATGACGACGATGGACCCATGATACCACCTCATATCCTCGCTGCACAGGCGTATGTGGTGGAAGGAGAGGAGATATACGGTACGGCACCTGACACCGATCGCTAAAGGGTTAATCTCCGACCTTTCATTGCTTGCTTTCCTGCCCTGGACCTTTTTTTTTTTTTACCGTGCGTAGTTTGACCAAACTACTTTGTAATAGACACAATCTCTTTATTCGCATTCATTCTTCCTCTGTTTAATATACTTGCTTGATATCCTCCCCCCGTCATCTCAACTCTCCTTCTAATGCAACCACGACGATTACAACGAAGACCCTCCAGTCGGTCTCGTTTTAGGGAATCTTCCAGTACTTTGCATCGACTGCCCCCGAACTTACGTGCAAAAGTGCTGGAAACTTATACCATGATCAAAGAATATGACACAGAAACAGGAAATAAAATAATAAACGATTATTTGATCTTGGAGGAGATCGGTCGTGGCACCTATGGCAAAGTCAAATTGGCTCAAGACTTGCGAACAAACGAGCTTGTGGTAAGGCAGCAGAGCGGGTTGGGGTTGTTGGGAGCCGCTTGATTTGACACTGGGGTATTTTTTAGGCTGTCAAAATTGTCGAACGACATTCTAGGCGGAAACACTTGGAAATGAATCGATCCAGCCAAGACCGTTCACGAGAGGTCAAGTCAGGTCTTCCCTCCAATCAAGGCAATATTCTAAAAATACAACGAGAAATTGCAATATGGAAGCTCTGCTTTCACCCCAATGTAGTCAAATTAATTGAAGTCATTGACGACCCCTCAAGCAAGAAAATCTATCTGAGTAAGTGGCATGCGCTAAGTTGAGCTGAGCTGAGCTGAGCTGAGCTAATCTGAACCGACCCCCATCATTTTTTTTTTAGTTTTAGAACATATGGAAGGAGGTGAAGTGATTTGGAAAGACGATGATGATATGCCAACGTTACCTATGCAACGGTCCAGAGCCATCTTTCGTGACATAGTAAATGGGTTAGATTATCGTAAGTTTAAAGTCATTTTCATTTTGTATAACCCATACGACACAACACGTACTTACCATGGACCCACGTATTGCATGCTTTTTTTTTATGCTTTGAATTTAACTTTAAAAAGTGCATTATCGCGGCATCATTCATCGGGACATCAAGCCTGCCAATCTACTTGTACATAGTGACGGAACGGTCAAGATCTCGGATTTTGGGGTATCTTATCTTCACCGAATATTTATGGATGGCGCTGAAAAGGCAGAAGAAATAGATCGAGAGTTAGCCAAAACAGCTGGCAGTCCTGCTTTCTTTGCCCCTGAGCTATGCTACACCGGAGATCAGCGCGATTCAACGGATGAAGCAGCTATGGGTGGTGGTGGTGTGTTGGCTGCCCTCACACGGTCCCGCTCAGCCAAAAGGTTGACAGGTAACCGACCAAAAATTACCAAAGCCATCGATGTATGGGCCCTTGGTGTTACCCTGTACTGTCTAATTTTCGGCCGATGTCCCTTTGTTGCCGAGACCGAATTCGAACTGTTTAACATCGTACCTAATGAAGAACTGCAGTTTCCACATGACGACGTTGACCCAGACCTACAGGATTTACTCCTCCGATTGCTTGACAAAAATCCCGAAACCCGTATCACCTTGGAGCAAGTTAAGGTAACATTGATTTGAGATACGCGGTGCCAGTCAACATGAAGGGAACCCTGAATGTTAACGTTCTTTGCCTCGGTTTTTATCAGTTTCATGCATGGGTCATTGAAGATCTACCCAATCCCGAGCAATGGATACGAGACACTGAGCCAAGTGGTTATCACGATGATGATTTTGAAGGAGAAGAGGTGGTTGCTGACCATGTACAGGTAAGTTAAGCTTCAAGGCATGTGTTCTCAGGTACCCGCCGTCATACTAATTTAAGCCCTTTTTCAGCAACCAAGCCGCTTCATGAAAAAACTAAACAAGATTACATCGGCCATTGCTAGTTTTACGGTTGGGCTTCGATGGAAAAGTAATAAGGGACCAACAGCAGAGTTTGCACCGCGACCCGAAGCTAAACATCGATCCATGGTGTCATTGCATACTCGAAAGCAGTCCGGTAACTCACAACGATATTCAACTGGAGCCATCGAGAATTGGCCCACTGCACTTATGAACGCCAACAGTCGCGACGCCAGCCTATATGGTCAACAATCTCACTCGTATGTTCCACCATCCGCTTTTAGAGACATGCGTAGAGGAAGAAAAAGCGATACCTCTGAAGAAGACGCTCTGACATTTATGGAGTTCACAGCGCGACCTCGCCAAGATACACTGCAGCGAGATGCCTTGTCTGGCGGCAACGAGCAATACAACAGCCGTAAAATCCAAATACCCTATATTGAGCCTCCCAGAGACTTCAACACTGGCTATGCGCAAAGCTGAGGGCAACGGTTACTTTATTTCATCCCCTCGCGGGATCATATCCCACCGTTGACTAGGATCTCCTCCTTCTACCGGATTATGCACATGGACACTGTCATTTTCAACCTGCTCGTATGTCAGTGACTAGCTCCTACAAAGAATAGCCGGTTGTATACTTACATTAGACGTCAGTACCAGTTCTTTCTTATTGCGTAAATGGATTGTACCGTTTGTGATGTCCCATCGCTGGCTCATGGCGTTTGCAGTAGGTCTACGTTGCACCTGTATGACACTCTCTCCATCCTTCAATCTATCTATTACGCTATCAGTTTTTCTTTTTCAATGTCGTGTTGGAGGCTCTCACTTTGAAAACTGTACCATTCTTTATACCAAGCACTTTCAAAGGACGGAGTGTAAGCAACACGGCATCCATGGTATATCATGACACCATTCCCAATAAAATCATATAAATACCATATGCTGTTCGTTTATTGACCAAGTATCCTCGATCGAGGGTCCAAAGCTGTGCCGCATTCTCCTCTGCCGGCAGTGGAGCAGTGGCTCTGACATAGACAGGCTTTGAGAAGGGGGTCAGTGAATCCATGGTTCAGGAATTACCCCCAACAAAAGTGTAGTCACCTTATCTTGCACTATGGCTGTCAACAGCTTGCCTTGGGATTGTAGAGCAAACCACATTGGCTTTGAATGAAACTGGAGGGGACAGCAGGCATTGGGAAGGAAATTGAGAGTTGTGACTGCTAAAGGTTTTTCACGGCAAAGAAGTCTGGGACAACCGCAAAAACTACTGCATTCCACATTATGGACCAGGAAAAAGTGCCCGACGACCGAACGGGCAACGACGATTCACGTGAAGAAAAGGACGCAAAGCGCGCTAAAACCGACCCTGAACAACCTGCTGCCAAGGTAGAGGTCAGAAAACCACAGTATGAGTTAAAATACTCCCTTGTCGGCCATCGAATGTCTGTGTCCAGCGTGAAGTTTTCTCCCGATGGCAAATGGCTGGCTAGTTGCTGTAAGTCAGCGCACCTCATAGATTGCAATCAGCATGTCCTTACTAATGGTGGCATGGGATCTTTACAGCGGCGGACAAAACAATCAAAATTTGGAACGCATTGGATGGTAAATTCGAGCAGACACTGGAAGGTCATACTCAAGGCATTTCAGACGTCGCATGGGCTTCTGATTCGCTGTACCTATGCTCGGCATCCGACGATAGAACGATAAGAATTTGGAGTCTTAATTCTGTAGGTCTTTTTTCCGTTTTTCCTTGTCGTCTCCATCGAATCCTAATCCACCCACCCACCCACAGCGAGAAACGGTTAAAATCCTTCGTGGGCACACCAATTACGTATTCTGCGTCAATTATAACCCACAATCCAACCTCATAGTCTCTGGTTCATTCGATGAAAGCATCAAAATCTGGGATGTCAAGAAAGGTACGTCCCACTTTTCGTTATCTATTCACATTCACCTTGCTGACATTTCCCAACCTGCAGGCAAATGTATGAAGACTCTAAGTGCACATTCAGATCCAGTCTCAGCTGTTCATTTTAATAGAGATGGTACTATGATTGTATCATGTAGTCATGATGGATTGATGTAAGTAGTCAGAAAATACCTCTCGCAGATCGGTCTTGATCCCTAACTTTTCCTTATTCAGTCGCATTTGGGATACAGCAACCGGTACATGTTTAAAGACTCTAGTGGATGATGATAACCCCCCAGTGTAAGCTAAAGTTATGACCGTGCTAACAGTGTGTGCGTAAAAGCTTCCCAGGCTGACACTCTCACCTAGTTCGTTCGTTAAATTCTCGCCCAACGGCAAATACATTTTGGCATCGACTCTTGACAACACGTTACGGCTTTGGAATTTCCACACGGGAAAATGCCTAAAGACTTACAAAGGACACGAAAATAACAAGTACTGTGTATTTGCTAGCTTTAGCGTCACAGGTGGTAAATGGATTGTAAGTGGCAGTGAAGACCATTGCATTTATATCTGGAATCTTCAAAGTAAAGAGATTGTACAGAAACTAGAAGGCCATTCAGGTAAGCACCGATTGAATCGAAGTTGGCAGAAAAATGCGGATATTAACACGATCTACATTTGGAACATGATGGGAACAGATGTGGTTCTATGTATTGCATGTCATCCCACTATGAACATTATTGCATCGGGGTCTATCGATAAGGATAAGTCGGTCAAACTATGGTTCGATCGTTCTGCACCTCAACCTTTGCCATCGGCCTGATATATCACTTTTATTCTTTCTATGTCTTCGTCGTGGTCTTGCATATTTGGTATCTTTTTCGGATTGTATTCCCATTGTCATGTCCTTGCCTAATTAAATAGGAATATCAATCTATCTGTTTGAACTAACATGTTCTTGTGGTGGTGTCATGATTCGATTTTCATGATCTCCTCTTTCGCATTTCGAGACAGCCTATCTACGTCCAGCGATGAATTGCCTATGCACATTGAATGATTAGAATGAGCAAATAATTACGGGGCGCTACAGTCTATGGTCCTACCTTGCTGTTGACGTCGCAGTAAGGTTTCCAGATCATACTGAATAGCTGCACGCTGTGCCTTTAAGATAGTTCCTGTTCCGAAACATAGCTTAGTGAGTGACCTGGTTTGTCATGATCCAATTATCTCATGTCTCAGCATACCTCCTATGTGCCTCACTGTGATGTAGCAAGGTGAACCATTGATCTCCTTTATGAAGAAGAGACTGACAAGTAGCATTTGGTGATAGTCTCGCGACACTCGGAGTATGCCTATGTTGGTATGATTGGAAAAGTATTTAACTAGGAGTCAATTGAATTAGTAACTTGGGTTAACGAAATAGAATGATGAAGAAAACAGCAACTACCGTTTAACGAGCTTTGCACGCAACCTAGGCCGTATTCCCCATAGTTTGCAGCAATGGCGTCTTTCAACGTGTTATGTAACATTCCAGCTGTTATTGAATTAATGTGGTGATTCTCATATTCTTCTCCGGACTTGCTGGTCACCGGTCCGCCCAGAATCTCAATGAGCACCCAGCGATTCTTGAATCGAACCATGGTTTTGTGAAAAAGACTAGGTGCCAAAGTCAAGTCGAAAACGAGAAATCAATTTGCGGCAGTCACAATGAAGGAAACACGTCCATTCCAAAATTTTTTGGAATGGCAGGACTTGGACTACGGTAGTCGAGGGAGGCAAGCGGAATAGTTGCATTGAATGTTACTTACAAGCCATTCTTTATAGCGTTCTTTGGAATCATTCTACTGCTTGGATTCCTATGATTAAAAAAAAGCATAACAAGCACGAAATCGGACGGTCTCATCATCATTTAGAAAAGAGACTCCAAATAGTCTATGACATTCATTTAATGCTACTTTCTAATCTGCTTTGTTCAAATAAAGCATTCTATAGATGAGGAAACTAGATGTACCGTCTACGAAAGATATCAGAAAGGCTGTGATCATGAATAAAATGCCAGCAACGGTGAATGGTATCTGTGACACATTGTCCGCCGAGACATAAATGTAATGGTAATAGGTTCCAAACATGCCAGATGCAAAAATTGATAAAAGACAGACAAGTGCGCCTTGATGCTGGTTCTGCTTGTACATATACAAGCCTACGAGAGGGAGAATCATAACGTCAATGCCGACAAAAGCCACTTGCATAGCATTCAGGCCAACGCCTGCCAAGAGATGAGTCACGCCGTGAACGCTGTTGGCTGCCAAGTGAGCGTAAACCAAGGTAGAAAGATTGTTGAGATTTGCAGACATGCTAAGGTATCAGTAGAGCTGAGTGACGAGATATACGATGTATATGTTGGGTACCAAGAAGGCTAAAAGAATGGTAGCAGAAATGATGTGATGAAAAGTTTCCATGGGAGAAGAGAGTTCTGTCAAGTCTTCCGAGACTGATTTATTTCAAGCACAGGAGTTGGGCGATTGGTGGTCACATTCGACTGTGCTGTCAAATAATTTTACACGTAGTGTTTCAAAAAGGCTGATCGCCATAGTATTCAGTGGCAGCAAGTAGTAACAGCGGCCTTTGTTAGTTCTACTGTTCAGTCTGAATTATCACACGCTTACCCCGCGCTCCTTACATGTCCAAGGTTGATGTCGGTAAGGTGGATTGTCAACAACAAATACATGCTTGGTGGCTATTTGGAAGAGGTTACATGAGAGTGTGTACTTTCAGACCCAAAGCATAACCAGAAAATTTCGGTGGGCTTCGAAATTTTTTAATTTTGCGCGCTGTCCTTTCCACGACTGTTCGCGTTTTGAGCATGGTGATTTTCAAGGAGACTACTGTTCCAATCGAACACCTGGAGTTTCATGCCCAGAATCCTTCTGTGATTCATATACCAAATTCGAATCATGCCTCGACAAACGACCTGCGCGGATCGCATTTACTGCATCAGCATGCTAGCTTGAAACCAATGACCCTTGGATCTGCCAATGCTCATATTTTGCTGCAAATTGCAGAGGATGGCAAGACCCTTAAGTTGCAAATTCTGCCTCTTGGCAAGCATTCTGGATTGACACTAGGCGCCTATAGTGCTCGGCCGTCATCCAAGGCCCTTCATCTAGTATTTTCCAGTTACATCATCCCGGATGTCTTTATACAGCAAGATACGTCAAATCAAACGTTGGTATGCTGGGTGTTGACCAGCAACGAAGACTTGCATCGCTTTCAACTACCAGCCATCGATCAATTGCATCTATTCTCTCCACTACCCAGCAACCACTCAGTCCAGCATTTGACTTCCTTGAGCGGAAGGTCGCCCATGTCACTAAAGCCAGTCAATTCCAACGCTATCGCAGTGGCATGTCAGGATGGTGCTATTGTTCATGTTTCTATGCAAACTCCAAATAGAATAATCGGTCACACTGTTGACCCACATCTTCGTAAGTCATCGAGCCCATCTCTATTTTCCGGAAGACCATGCTAACGGCGTCATTTTAGGTGAACTTCAAGAAACCGTCTTGAATAAATCGTCATCTGGAAAGCGTTCTTCATCTATCTTCGATAATTTGAAACATTTAGTTGGACAAGGCGACGTGCATCCACCGAGCTCAACACAAAATGAAGAAGCATCTCCACAAGTCGTGCATTCTATATCACATGCTGTCAACGGCGACTGGATTATTGTTTTGTTGCAAAACGGAAAGCTCCAAATGCTTCCTACCCAGCCCGCTTATGACCGTAAACCGCTCAACATTGATTGGCAGGATGCCTTGAGCGAAAACGAATCAACGTTGCTTGAACGGAGTCGTTGTTTTATGCACAGCCATGCCATTGACGACAACCGATTCCAGATTTTGGTATTGATGATAACAAAAGACGCTCCTATTATCTACAGCTTTACTGTCTCACTTGCTGTTCGACAGCTAGTATGGGAGAGCGGCTGGACCAAGAAAATTACGACTGGCACCGATGGAGAGATTGTTGGTTTTATGAGCCAGAAGGAATCTATCAATGGCAGCGATCAAACAGCTTTATGGGTGTTATGGAATGCAGACAGCGAGGCTGAGATTAACTACTGTCTGGTAGATACAGCAAATGTCAACAGCGGACGATGGCGAAGGGTAGATGTCCAATTCGACAGAACCTTGCCAAACGAGATCATTGTTCAGCAGTTTGTTCAAAGTGCAGCTCTCGAGACCTCCATGCCACATGCACGCGCTCTCTTTTCCCACATGCGACTTTCCGCCTCTGCAACCAAGGCTGCTTTCAAGGAAATCGATAACGGTGCTTCATCGGACTCCATGCTGTTGGATACTGGCAGTGAAGATGTATTGACCAACGTTGGTGAATTTATTAGCCGGAAATTCCGCGACAGTCCTACATCAGACGACACCAAGAGAGAGTGGAGAAGGTTTATAGATCTATGCATCCATTGGGAAGCCAAGTTACATGTCCCTGTCAGCTTGCAGACGGCGGGACCAAGCGATAAAACACCTATTGTGCTCAAAAATGGAAGCATTTCCATACTGCGAAGAAGCGACGATCTGGAGATCCTCCAATGTTACAGCAATCAGCGTGATGGTCAACTTGTTGTCTCTACCGTCGAGCTTGAACAGGGCGAGCTACAGCACCCACAAATGGCAGATGTCATCGCACGGACGTCTGTGTTGAAGGTGTTGGACTCGGTGGCTCATTTGATCCAATCGTTTCCTCCGCTAGCCATGCAACAAGTAGATGATGTGTTCCTGGATATATTGAAGAAACCCATCAGAGACACTATAGACACATTTGCTCAGGAGCTGTATCAAGTAGCTTTGCAACCAACCCTCTCCACAATAGAAGATGGCGATATGCAGGTTTCTCAATTCCTTGCAGAATGGAAAGAATGCCCAAATGCATCTGAAGCCGTCAATTGGCTCTTGGAACAATTTGCTGTGACCGAGGCGGATAGCATGATGGAACAAGACGATGATCTGACTTCACGACCAAGCAACTTTGTGGACCAGTTGATCATCTCCACCTTCAAAGAAATCATTTCTTCTCGCTACGAACTTGCTCGCAATATCATGATCGCACTTGTTTTAATTTTCGCTGCCAACAAGTCAGAAACTCACCTTACCAATGGTTCCAACTTGCTAGCCTATTCCGTTGCAACCGCTACGTCTCCTGCGTTGATGCAATGGACAATCGTACACTCGTCGTTGTCTGATGAAAACACGACACCCGCCTCATCCGCTTTATTGCAGAAAGAGTCCCGGCCCAACAACCTTTTGCGTCTGCTTGTTGAAATGTACTCTCAAGTTAAGGTCGATCAAACCTCCACCCTCGCCGATCTTGCCACCAATGGCGGATATAATCTGATTCAAAGTCTTGGAATCTTTAAGCGAAGCACTCAAGTCATGACAACAATAGACATGGTTCGTTTTGCAAATATGCTGGAGGTGTATGGATACACCAACACGGCATTTGGATTTGCCTCGATGCTGAATGCTGGTCCAGGTGTCTTTTACATCATGGGCAAATGTACTATCAAGAACAACAAGATTTCAGAATCTGTAGAATACTTTGAACGTGCTGCAGCGGGAATGGGTAAGATATTGTGTTTATGAACAATCGTTTCGAATTGCTGGACTAATGCATCATTTATGCTTTAGTTGGCTCTGTATCGAGTGATGATGAGTCTTATCTGCCTCAACTGCTACCAAGTGAGGTTGTGCATGATGGACTTTGGCATTATTATCACCACGTAGCAGAAATGTTTTCCTCTCGTAACCTTGTTGAGCAAGCTGTCCATTTTGAATCTTTAGCACTTCAATCCCTAGACTCGAAAACTCAGGTATGGTATTCGCATTCATGATAGCATAAGATAATTTCGATGTTTCTTTTTTTGCTGATCGGCTTATTCCACTAACAGATGGCGTCTACCACTGTCTTGCTGCAACGAAATCTATTCCAGCATAAACTTGAACTTGGGGCATTTGAAGAAGCCTATTCACTGCTGATGACTACTTCGGATGATCAAGGGTAAGTCCATACATCTAGTGCACATACGACATTTCCTTTCCTCGTCCAACGAAAACGCTAACTTCCATTCCCCCCCATAGCAAATCGGAGCAGGCTAGACAATTAGTGTTTGTGTTATGTCAGAAAAAAGAAGACAAGCTGCTGTGCAAGCTTGGGTTTGACAACTTCCAGACAGAAGTGAAAAACTCCTTGACAAAGCTAGCTGAAATTTCTGACATTGAGGAAATGCGTCGGTATTGGAAGCTGCTCTATTCTTATGCAGTTTTTCGTCGAGACTTTTCTACAGGTACTTCACATTCAATCTATGTGATATTCCTTCATCGCCTTTGTACTAACTACCTCGTTTCTTTCTTTCATCAGGTGCATTTGCCATGTACATGTATGCCAAGCGCCTGGATTTCAGCTTAATCGACAGAGACACATTGGTTGAGCAAGTTCGTGGTTACCTTGTTGCTAAAAACACCTTAGCACTCGTGTCAAGTATTGATGCCCATATATCCGTTACTATTCCAAATTCGTTGAATAATGCGCAAAGTACGTTCTACCCTTTCATGATCAATTTAAGCATCCCTTTTTATTTATGCTCTTTTGACTATGCAGCTCCAAAGGTCATTTCAGTTCGGGTTGGAGACATTGACAAAGAGTTGATCATTGCCAAGGCTCGACTTGCGGCTAGCGAGGCCAGCATGGGGTCAGACACCCAACGTAAGTAGTCACTGTTGGCCAAAATAACACTGTATGATCACGTAGTAACCAATTCAACATAGCGATACAAATAACGGATGCTTTTGCGACGTACATTGCGGAGAAGAAGTGGGATGACGCATTTTATGTTGCTCAACTGTTTTCTTTGGACACGAAACCTATCTTCGAAGCGATCATTACACACTGTATATATAACATGAAATCACATCATAATAGGTAAAGAAAGGGAACAGCGAATGGGAGTGAAAGCAGAGGAACCTACTAAACATACCACGCATTTTTCAGAGAAGCAGCTTGGCAACCATTGAAGGAGTATTTGGAAACAATGCCTCAGGATCAAAATTACAAGTACTATGACTTTTGTCTGGTGAAGATATTGGACTATGCTGGTACCGATCTTCCATGGTGGATGGTACAGCGGTATGAGGTGAGAAGAGATGTGATATAGATGCCATTTGGTTCTAAAGGCTTTCACTGACCAAAAAACATTATAGAAATATGACGCTGAGGCTCTGATCCGCTCATACCTTCGATATGGTGACTGCGAGCGAGCAACGACATTGATGATACGACGAATCAACAAGGTATGTCTTATCGGTTCCTGAGCCATCGATCATACAGTCATTTCTAAACGTTTTGACGTTTATTGTAGCAAAACGACCACATTCAAGTGTCACCCGCGACATCCAGCCGATGGATGCCATATACTCTGATCGACAGCATATTGAAAGATCTCCAGACGGATATTCAGAATGTCACTGACGATGCAAAGCGACGTCGCATGCAACGGCTTCAAGTACAACTTGAGGGAGCTTTGAACACATACTTTGAAACGATACGTAGAGAAACTCATATGCTAGTCAATAAGCCTTCAGTCGAACGAGCGAAGCGCCTACGAGTCTAGCTATCAATACAAAAATCATGACTTGCTTAAATAAAATAAAATAAAAAAGTCCCCCCAGAGCTTTAACATTTCCAAGCTGAATCACACCGTTCAACATGGCAGGAACTCCATCATTAAAAATTAAGCTACGATTGAATGGCCCAGTGAGTAAGCCACCAACTGAAGCGGCTTCTCCAGCGATCTCCACACCCGAAGTGAAGCCTTCACCAACAGCATCCAATATATCCTCCAGCAGCAAGCGAGAAGCGTCGGAACCTGCACAGCAATCCACCCCAAAGCGACCGAGAGGTGGTCCTGGATCGAGATCAAGGAAGGCCAATGACACAGCCGCTTCTACACCTCAAGCAAAGGCTACCACGGATTCAGCGTAAGTTGCCGTTTCTCCCATGAACCGTACCAACCAAGCTAACCTCATGCCTTTAACCCTTTTTATCTGCCAGTCATATAGGTGTGGATACAGACGATGGTAACGTATTAAACCCTGGCATAGAGTGAACCCAGATGATATGGACTAACCATGACATCTACCCACCATGTAGCTAAAAGCGAGGTTAGAACAAGTCGAGCGGGTACTCCATCTAGACAGGACTCTTTAGCAGCGCAGTTTGCTGCCATTAAGGATCAGAAACCACGCAAATGGGAAAGACAAAAGATCGTTTTCACTAATCTTGAAGGTGGCACCGTTGAAATATGTTCATGGTCTACAGGTGCGTCTTTTATCAATTGATACCATGCCATCGTTCGCCATTTTTTTTGAACCTTGGGTATTTTTCTCTCCAGATTCCGCCATGCAGATGAATACCACAAAAACCGAACCCACAACTGCAGCGGAAATTGATGCTCTCTTCTCAGCGACCGTCAATGAACGAGACTTTAGACCCTTCTTATGCACACAGCCTGGATGCAACAAATCATTCACATCTTTCGACCAACTTCAGACCCACGAAACCAATATGCACGGCACAAAGAACATGATCTGCGGCATCGATGGATGCACTAAAGGATTTGCAACGTCAGGCCAACTGACCAAGCATCGAAAGATGGTGCATTACCGAACGTCGGCTAAGAAGAAAGCAGCCACCATGGCAGCCAAAGCAGCGCAAAAAGAAAAAGAGGACAGTTTGGATATAGAAAACGGAGGAGAAGCTGCCTGAGCTCTACACGTCAAGCAAGCAGGTTTATTTGTACATTTTGGTTTGAACAGCCTTCATTCCCTTCTTTTTTTCTTTTATTCCTTCCACTTAATCTTTCCGTCGCTTCTTGTAGTGGTCGGCACTGAATATACTGTCATTACCTTCATGTGCAAGCCGTTTCTTCCGCTCTTCATCGTGAGCCCTTCTGTTTCTTTTCAACATTTGTCAATATATACTGCCTCACCTATATGAACACCGTATAGTTTTTTAAAAACTTACTTCTCCTTCTCCGATATTTGATTGCGGATTTCGGGATACGTTGGCAATAGGGAAGGATCTAACGGACGTGGAGATTCTATGAAGTAGGGGTGTCGCAGTGCCTGTTTCACGTTCAAACGCGCCTTGGGATTGTACGTTAAAAGACCCGACAATAGACTTAATGTGTGTTCTGTTGCTCGTGGAAATTCCAATTTGAGGTTGTTAAAGCTAGAAAGGAGAGGTGTTTTAACTATGAGGGATAACAATTTTGCTTTGCTCTTCATCAAAACCCCTACGTACTCTTGCTTTGGTATATTCAATGATTTGGCAAAGGGGAGCTTCGAGTAGCCTGGCCAGATGGCATCGCTGGGGGAGCCTATCAGATTGACAATCAACTCAATCTCCTTTTGCTCTGTGTTGCCAGGCAGCAAAGGCTTGTGCTTCATGAGTTCGCCAAATATGCATCCAACCGACCTGTAGCCTACTGATGAGAAAACGACACATGAACTTGTGGGAAAAGGATGCACGATTGGCTTACCACATATCCACGGCCGTAGTGTAGTGGGCATCTCCATATAACAGCTCTGGTGCACGGTACCATAGCGTAACGACTTTTGGCGTCATGGGTTTACTAGGTAGACTCAAGGTCCTCGCCAGTCCAAAATCAGCTGCAAAAAAACAATCAGATCGACGCCGTGTGTCTGTGTAAGAAAACTCGAACTTACCAATCTTCAGTATCCCCTCGTGTGTTAATAATAGGTTAGACAACTTCAAGTCTCTGTGTTGACAATGTATGTAAGCATGCGAGGAAGGTGAAATGGGCAATTGCACACTGCTTTCTTACCTGTGTATGATATAGTTTTTGTGACAATAATTAAGGCCTTCAAGAAGCTGAAGCATCAAGCATTTGACTAGACACGTTCAAGAGTCAGTGTTACCAACATCGATATCATATCGCATCCAGGCCATACCAACGTACCTTCTGATGGTGTATATGGTGTTGGCACAGCATCCATTAAAGTTCCCATGTCCTATAGCCACTGTTACTTTTCACTCTTTGACCTATTAGCCATCTTGGAGGGACAACTCACCTGTTCACAGTACTCCATGACCAAAAAGATGGATTCCAACTGCGGCCCTACTGCTACATCCGTGACATTGACAATATTTCGATTTCGCATGCGCTTCAGGATCATAATTTCTCTCAGACTCGACAGAGGCAAGCCGTCGGTTTCGCCTTCCATCCGTATTCGTTTGAGTGCGCAGATTCTTCCAGTCTTGGTATCGTTCACTCGACTGTAAATTGATGAGAAGACACCATGGGAAAAAAATGGATAAGTATCTACTGCTTCTATTCACTTCGCTTGCTCCAAACACCACCACCATGCCCACACTACTTACTACACAACTCCGTAAGTGCCTTCGCCCACTCTATTGAGTTTCTTAAAGTCGTCAACATCACGGCAATCTCCGTAGAATGGAGTCTTCATATCATAGCTGAGCCTTCGTCCACTGACTGACTCCAACACCATTTTGTCTTGGCTGTCATCCTGGGGATCTTTCTCTGCTTTGTTCATTTCCGGTGGCAGCCCTGAAACGGTTGGGCAATGGGAGGACATACAGTGACTGAGGAAATAGCAGTCACTTGGACATTTTTTTTCTTTTTTGCCTTTTTGCTGAACCGACTTTTAGAACTTTTCAGTACCGATCTCGACATGGCACCAGCAGCTAAGAGCCCCAAGCGCAAGCAGGTGACTGATAACGACAATGAGCGCCCATCAAAGAAAGCTCATAAGAAAGTCGAAGAGGTTGTAGAGGAAGAGGAGCAGTATGAAGATACCGAAATGGGTGAAGAAGAATACGAAGAAGAAGAAGCTGTAGAAGAAGAAGAAGGCGAGGATGACGGAAAGCCAAAGCAGAGTAAGTCAAAAACCCTTGTTCATCAGAATGGATGCTGGTTACTGACTGTCATATACAGGTTCCCGCGAAGCACATGAAAAGCAAAAGGTTCTTCGACAAGAGCGAAAATCAAACAAGCCTGGATACGAAGTGATTACAGACGCAAAGAAGATTTGGGAAAAGCTTCGTCGAGGTGACTGTGATCGTGATGAGAGAATCAAGTTGATGAAAGATATCATGGAGCTGATTGAAGGCCGTGTTAGCGATGTAAGTGATCCAATGAATTACAGTAGCCGAAAAATCGATTGGGAATTTTTTTTTTTTTTTCTTTTCTGACTGATGAAATTGCTTTTGCTTTACAGCTTATTTTCAAGCACGATGCTTCCAGAGTGATCCAAACTTGTCTTAAATTCGGTAACTCTGCACAGCGAAATATCATTGCTGGTGAACTGACTGGTCATTACTTGGTTCTTTCCAAGTCCATGTACGGTAAATTCATTGTTACCAAGGTTTTGGAATACTGGTAAGTAGTGGATCTACGTAACGTGTGTGATACGTTTTTTTCTAAAGATCTATTTCACTCTAGCCACAAGTACCGAGACACCATCTTGTCAGAGCTTAAGAACAACATTCGCAAATTGATTCGACACAAAGAAGCTTCAACTGTCATAGAAACCTTCTACGGTCAACATGCCAACGCTCCACAACGTAAGGCATTATTAGCAGAGTTCTATGGTCCTGAGTTCACTCTGTTTGCCAAGAAGTCCAAAGACGCTGAAATTCATACCATCGACGAACTTTTGGAGAAGCATCCCGAGAAGAAGGACGGTGTGTTGAGATACATGGCTGAAACCCTTGGTGGTTGTACCGATAAGGGAACTGTTGGAAACAGCATCATTCACAAGGCATTGTTTGAATATTTCTCTCGAGCGGACGAAAAGGGCATCCAGGTACTTATTCTATCTCTTTGAACCTGGCATGGTGATGACAGCAGAGATGGCATGTTTTTGTTGTTTCGTCAAGCTGGAGATCACTTTGAATGTATTTCTCCAGGTTCACAGGTTACTGATACACTGCCTTTCTTATCATTTTTTTTATACAGAATATGATGGAGCAGCTCAAGGATCAACTTGCTGAGATCGTACACACAAAGGAAGGTTCACAAGTCGCTATGCTTTGCATTGCACATGCTTCACCCAAGGTAAAGTCTTTGCCACGAAGATACCCTATGAAACATCATAAAACACAAGCTAATCTTCCCTTCGCAGGACCGTAAACATATCATCAAGGTCCTCAAGCCATTCCTCAACAAAATCGCAAAGGATGAATACGGTCATCTTGTCATTCTCACTTTGATGGATGTCGTTGACGATACTGTTCTTGTCAGCAAAGCTGTCTTGGGTGTAAGTTTTTATTTTATATGAGATAATGGCATGGATCGAACGATGTCTAACTTCATCAACAGGAATTATCCAAATCCATGACCGAGCTTCTCCAAGATAAATTCTCTCGCCGTATCTATTTGTATTTACTTGTTGGACGCAATACGAAATATTTCCACCCTTCTACCATCCAGCTCATCTCTGCTAACGACGACGTTCGAAGCAAGACGAGGTATGACTTGTGTATTTATGTGACTTACATGATGAGAATGAAGTACTAACTACCTCGCCAACAGTAAGAAGGATCCTGAAGTCAGAGCAAAGGAGTTGTTGACTGCTACCTCATCCTCCATGATCGACCAAGTGACTGAACACACTGGTGAGCTTATGCGTGAGAAGATGTCCAGCCAAGTTGTTCGCGAAATCATGCTTCATGCCCTTGGCGACAAGACCGCTGCTGTCGATGCCATTCTCAAGCTTTGCGATGAAAACATTGAAAAAGAGAATCATATTATCGAGCACCGATTTGCCAACCGTGCCATCAAGGCCCTCATCAAGGCTGATTCTGCTGAAGCTTCCGATGACCGAGGTAAGCCAGCCACATAATGAACGTTAATATTTATCCATGTTCTAAACTATTCTTTAGCTGTTGAGCCTCTAGGATTTGCTCCTAAATTGTTTGATACCATCCAAGACAATCTCGTTCACTTTGCTACTTCCCAAGGAGGCAGTTTTGTTATTCTCTCCCTCGCTGAAGAACCCTCAACACAGAAGAAGACCCTTGCGGCACTCAAGTCACATAAGAAGGAACTTAAGGCTGCCGCACAAGCAGCGGGCGAAGAGGGAAGCAAAGGCAACCTAGGAGCCAAGATGCTCTTAGATCTTCTCGACAAATAGATAGAGAAAGAATCACACACTAACAACCTCTCCTGTATCAAAAGCACTATCATTCGAAAAAAACATCCAACAAAAAAGAAATTTTTCATTTTCATAGTCATCGTATAACACTTTATGTTTTGGTTTTATTCTATACATGTTATGATGCTCTCCCGCATGGTTAATTTGAAGTTTGTCTATAATACACACTTGTACGTTGAAAAAAATGCCATATTTCTACACCCCTTGTTCCATCTTTCCAAGCTGCAAATCAGCAAAGTCGTTGGCTAACGCTTTTGAGCTGCTTGTCGTGTGCATCACATACAACACAACACAGCTTGCTATACTAAAGATGAGAAAAATGATATCTGACCACTGCAAGAAATAATCAAACTCGATATGGCCAAGGGATTTCGATATCAATTGCCTGTGAGAACATGCGGATCGTTAGCAGAGGAATATGCAGGGCACGATTTGCCTGCGTTCTGTGAAACACACTCACCTGTATTCCTGAGGCAATGTCACTTGCATCATGACGACAGAGCTCACCAAGTAAGTGGAAAGGATGAAAGCAACCAGAGCAAGTGCTGTGGATGGGGATATCTCGGCTTGTTGAGAATATTTTCTTGACAGCTACACAATGATGGTGTCAGTACCAGGTAATAGCATCTGAATCAAATCCATACCGTACCTTCAACATAAGGGTCAAGAATCCGCGAACGGATCCCAAAACAATCAAGCCGATGAAAAGATAGCTCAACTGTTGCGACCAATATTGTAGATCAATTTTACTTTCATCACCCACGTTCCAGAGCAACAGGGATAAAAAGGTCGAGACAGGATCGCCACGACCCAATCGATTCGAGACGACGTTCAGAGTGACCTAGAAAAACGCTAGGTAAATATCACCATGGGTCAAGCTCACGTTCAAAGTAGAACTTACGCTTATAAGCTTGTACACGCAATAAACCGAGAAGAAGGTGCCTAGTATATTGATACATTTACCGCGCAGAGTTCTTGATGCCTTTGTACGTTGCTGTTGGACCGAAACAGTAAGTTTCTAAATATAGAACCGGTTGCTTTCCACCACCACTTACCAATTCGTATTCCAAATCATCCACATCGACCAACATTGACCTCGCTAGCTGTTGCAACATATCGATTTCATCCACAAGCTTTGCCCGGTCTACATCAGAAAAAAAAAGCCCTGGTTTTAATCCAACGACCCATAGTCAAAATGGCACATCTTATTTAGTTTAAGACATACCTTTGGCACTGGCACTTTGTGGATTTCGCCCAAAGATGCGGTTGACAATATGCCGTTGACTCTATAAATAAATTGTTGTTAGCGACAAGGCGCTATCTTTTGAAGACTCTCGTCAGAAAACCGCTTACTGTGTCATGGGCCGATGAAGCAGATCCATCCTCAGTATTCTTCAATTGCTGCCGTTTGGTTTGAATGAAATCCAGTGTCTGCTCGTATGCCTTTTTGGCATATTCCACCTCCGTCTCGGTAACCTTCCTAAATGATTCTCAGTTTTAGAGGACCGATGTCATTTCATTATCGGCGGCTAATCAAAGGTAATGACGCTTACTTGGCAAAATACGATAATGACGAGTAGGGCGTATAGACAACACCAAATCCTGATAACGCTGACATGACCGTAACGCCAATAACACAGACTCTGTAGACTGCAAACTCGATCACACTGTAACCTATGGCAAACCCGTTCGCCTTAATGCCATACAAGGAAACACAGCACACTTGGTGTAAATAGCGTACCTTCCGATGTCTGTTGCGACCTATTTGCAATATGTGAAAAAAGGTACAGGTAAAGCCCAGTGACCATAAGGGACAGGTAAACGGAGGTTCGGCTGCTTAACCCTATAATATGAATGTTTAGACGGTGCGTGCCTAGCTTAGCATCTCAAACACGGTCACCACCGTACCTTTCCCTTGTATAAACGTATATGAAAAGCCAAAAGGAATGATAAGCGTAATCAGAACTAGTATCAGCTGCAGATTCCAATTCCAGAAGCCCCAGGAGGATCTACATCCCATTGTATGTTAGTACCAGGCGGGTCCAACAAAAAGGGCATGCGTTTACAGTGACCTGAATAACGAGGAACAAAGTCACCAAAGAGCCCACATGGACCACACACTTACTTTTCATCGAGAATCCCGGCAATTCCAAAGACAACAAGGACAAAAAGTATACATGAGCTGGAAACAGCGGTGGAGAAGATAAGTTGCAATGGCCAGTGTTTAGATTGGTAGGCCACAAGACTCGGAGGTTTATAGTGAGGAAGGAATAGAGGTGGTAGAATAGACCAGCTGATTAAGAAGAAGAATGCTTGAAATAATAGTACAATGATGGAATCCCATAGCGATGCCATAGGTGGAGGGATTCAAGGAGGAAGGCAAAACGCACGGTGCACTCAAAACTAAATTTATAAATTTTTACAGCCCGTTGTCCCGCCGCCATTCCACGTACTCGTCAAACAATACTGGCCCTTTTGTTTTGAAAGGCCAATATTAGTAATGAACAGCTTTGACACCATCCTGACCAACCTTGACTTACATGAAGAAAGCGGATCAAAGTTCGATAGGTCTACAGATATAACTTTACAGAAGTCTAGGAAACTCGTCCATTGATCTACGGGACAAACCAGTTAGTATAATGAGAGGCCGTGGTCGTTTTTGCTCGCTTTCTTTCTTTACCTTTATTGACGACCTTTATCGGCTCTTGTTTCTATACAGCGCAAAAGTTTAATATGAGTCGTGACTTGGGCAAACCTACTACGAACATGCAAAACAAACACTTACCCGGATAAAGTCAATGAAAAGAGGAACATGCGCATACCGATCCTTTAACACAATTTCCCATAGAGCAAGAGCCACCTGCAACATCCAAACCACGTCAGAACTTCCGTCTCGGCCCTAGTTTTGCCTGTTTTCAGCTTACCTCGACATCCATACTCTTTTGCGTTTTTGTTTTGGCGAACGGGAAAACAAAGCTATAGAAATCTTTAAACTGCCTCTCATCTTGAAGTGATTCCTCCATGTCGAATATCTTTGCCTTTAGATCTTCGTTATTTGTCACACTGTTGGCCAATTTAGCTGCTGTAAATGAGAAAGACACGGGCCCCAAAAAAATATACCGTACTTTAAATTCCGCATGCCGTCCATCCATTCATCCTTTGTAAAGTAGCCTGAATAGCGTATTAGACAATGCTTGCAAACACCCCCATTGAAGTAGCAACAACTCACCCATCGAAGTGGCATTGAGCTTCCAAGAAATCACAATCGGTTGAATCTAATGAGGCAGACACTGTATAAGTAATCCTTCACTTGCCGTAATAACAAAAATTCATTTCACACATACTCCTTCCAACGATACATTCAAATCATCAAAAAAGCGATTCGCTCCTTCTGGAGAAATCACATCTTCATCCTCATCTTTGTACGTATTAAACCATGCCTCAAGAGCTCTCTTGTTGGCAGAGGTATTCTATTGTGCAGGAAATCAGCATGGGTTAAGTAGGCAGCAGAATTCCAATTTATCGAGTAATACCGTTTGCAAGCTGGAAGATCTATTGAGAACAAAGGTGAGAAAGCATAAGAATGTGGGGAATGGTGGGTTGCGGCCCATGTTCAGGGTTTGGGACATTGTACATACTGGGAAACGACTCCATTGGTGGGCTTTTTAGTCCGAGGTCGACTGGCGCGCGACTTCTTGGCTGGCTGATCTGCCGATTTTGTTGTCGATTTCCGCTTGGGAGGCATGAGAAGGTGCAAACCAGTGGTGGAGGTGGAGATTTTTTTTTACCTTACCCCGTTTTGACAGTCCTTTTGCGAAGTTTCTCGACACCGCCAAGGTAGTATTGGAATTCCGGCATTCTTCCAACTCACCTCGTCATGCGGAATCCAGCGTGGAAGGCTCTTCTCCTCAACGAACTAGCCAAGAATATTAAGGAAGCGCGAGACGCTGCCTATGTGTCGCTAGCCACCATTCGCCCAGACGGCTCGCCGGCCAACCGTACTGTTGCCTTTCGAGGCTTTGTCGCGCAGGACCACGCTGATGAGACAGGCTGGGAGAGTGACCTTCTTTTATTCACTTGCGACAAACGAACAGAAAAGATGAAGGAAATACGACATGACCCTCGCGTGGAAGTTTCATGGTGGATGTCTTCTACCGGAGAACAATTTCGTATCCGCGGTCGCATGCACCTTATTGAACAAGGCAACGAAGACCTCCTGAAAGATCATATTTATCGAAAAGAAGATACCTCAGTCTCTAGTCATGCTAGTGCTGCTACCACGTCGTTCCTTGCCCGGCTAAAACATCTAAGTAATGTCTTGGGCAACGACCAATTCTCTTGGGAGGCGGAGAGGCTGCGTCACTGGCACAAGATTTCCGACGACTTGCGAGCTACTTTTACTTGGCCCCATCCAGGACTCCCTTACGATGAAAATGGGACATTTTTGAAATCACTTCCCATCGAACAGACCGAGAAAGATGGTTGGTTCAAACATGGTGATAAACAAAAGCAAACACTCCTGGAAGAAGGTTACAGCAACTTTATCTTGCTGGCATTAGAAGTGGATAGTATAGACCACATAGAACTTTATAGCATGCCATGTAAACGACGTGTCTACCATAAGCACGATGACACTTGGGCAGAGGAAGCTCTTAACCCATGAGTCAGCATAGCATGGCATGGGCTTTGTGAGCTCACGTGTCCCCCTCACCTTTTTTTTTTTAAAAAGCCTGTCTGTTGCCAAAAAATTTGGGACTTTTTATAAAATTTCCTGTGAAGGGCTTCATCTAACCTAATTTACCTTCCATCTTGGCCGTTCAATGTCGGATTCCGACAATGCATCGCATCCACCCGTGCCTTCCGTCAATGTGGAAGGCACTGACGCGGATACTCAAGACGATCAGAGTGATGTCAATGCTGCAAGTCAGACAGAATCGATTGACAAGACACCAAGACCGCGCCTCAGACGAAGTTATTCTAAAGGTCTGAACACTCCTTCCGACGGACGAAAGTTTCATACCATTCATAGCTCAGATGGAGCCAAATTCTTCAATTTGGAGAACCAGTTGAGAGAGCTTCAAGGCTCCAATAAAGGGGATGGCTACCCTCATCCAGGCTCTGAAAGACAGCTTACAGTGGAAACGGCTATCTACAGAGATCAACCCATGTTTACCGACTCACGACGACCACTGCTGGTAAGGCGTCTTATGTACGTTTTAGGAGAATGTGGAGTCAAATTAACGTGTGGAGATATTTCCGTTCAGCCCTCTGAAATGCGGAGTGTCCGCTCTGGTACTGAATCAACTCGGTCAACGAAGCGAAAGAAGCGACCAGGCATCAATACCGCTGTCACACCGGCACAAATCTTTGCTCAAAATTTAAGCGATGCTGTGCTAGACGCTGACGGTAATGCTTTTTTTTTTTTAAGAAATTGACACCTAGCTAGCGTACTATGATTAAACGTTCTTTCCATGCTGTTTAGATTCCGATGAACATGAGTCGTTCGTATACCGTGACAAAACAATATCATCTACCAAATCCTTCAATCCCAACTTAACATGGTCATCGTTTGAAGCAACCAGCAACGACCCATTTCAACCGCCCTCGGTGAAAGGCAGTAGTAACTATGTTTTTGCCCGCGCTAGCGATAGCGACTTGTTCCGGGAGCAAAAATTGCGAGACGACCATGAGTCGCACCGTCCGGCATTACGCTCTTCTGTATCGGACTTGCCATATCACTTTGGCCGGCAACGAAACTTTGGGCAATCCGAGTGGTATCCCAGTGACGAAGAGACGGCTCCTCTCATACGGAATTCCTATTCAAGAAAACGAAAGCAAGCCGATAACAACACTAGGTACAGCAGGCCTGAACATGACTAAATAATTTGGATGCCTTTTGACCCTTTTTTTTTAAACTCCTATAGGCGAATGGCTATATCGATAGCATCGTTGTGTCTGATGATGGTGGCCTTTGCTATACTTCTTCTTGTGGTAGCTTCGCCACTCGATGATGTACAAGTGTCTAGTATCGGTAACGTTCTCAGTACACAAAAGGAGCTGATTTTCGATGTACACGTTCAAGCAGCGTAAGTGGTGGTGAAGTGCACAAAGGTCCAGCGCATGGCAACTCAATGTTCTTTTCACCCGCAGAAATCACAATTGGTGGACGATTAAAATGGTGCATGCCGATATCAGCATCTTTGCTTCTAGTCACTTTGTCCCACTCGGCTTGCAACCAACCAACGCCACCAACCATATAAATGGTAGGAAAAAAAATAACATAGGGAAAGTCTGATGAGGTAGCCAGCCGGCCTAACAAACAAAACCCTTTTTTGCCAGAACAAGTTGCGGATCCTGCTGAATTCCTTGGCTCCATATACCATTTCGATGAACCTCTCGTCTTTCAACCAGCTGGACTGTTTGAATCCAAAATCTCCATCTCTACCAGCCAAGTGCAAATCAAACAACCCGGCAACTCAGAAGATGATAATAGTGGCAACGAGCGATGGTAAGATAGTGGAATAAAAATAAATGTAAAATAGGAAAGTATCAAGAACTAACGCAACCGCGTACCTTCAGGTCCCGGCTAATTCGTTACCCTTATGAACTGACGGTAAGAGGCGTACTCAAGTATCGCATCTTCCCTTTTTTTTCTGTCTCGCGCGTTCACACCGCTCGGGTGTGTAATGTGTCCAGTGTGGATCCTGCTACCGGTAAGGTGACGGATGCTCCTCCCATTGACAAGGCCATATGTAAAACCACTTCGCCCAAACCAAAACCCACCAATGACACCACCACTTCTGTTTAACTTTTGCACACACACAAAAATAATATATCCAACATCCACTATGTAATCCCCTATACCTTCCCTCCCTTCTATGCTCTAGCCGTGCTGTGGGAACTCCCCTTCACCATAGATCCCCAAATTCATTATACCTTCTTCTCATATATATCACACCCGCTATGTATATTGCATTCTTTACACAGGAAAAAGGTCATCCAACTAAAGCAAACCATCATTCTATTATTCTATTTTTCTTTTTATTGGAGGGGGTCAAGTGTATGGAAAACGGTGTGTACAGCAAAAGCACAGGGAATGGGGGTAGTCTATGGCTTTTTGATGGTAGCGGCCTTTTGGCTGGCCTTGTTGAGGAGAGCAGTAGCGCCAAACAGAGCTGACGAGATCCAGACCTTGACGGTGATGGAACCGTTTCGGTTGGCGAAGGTGTGACGACCTACATCGATCAAACTCTTTGCCGTTGTGAACTTGAAGGTACCGAGAGACTTGCGGAGAATGCTACTTCGGCCGGCACCTCGTCGTCTACCCAAACGACCTGACACCTGGTACTTGACACCCTGAATGGCACTGGTCAATTGGCCGTTGGAAGCGTGTGGAATAAGGTTGTTCCAGTCCACGGCGGGCGGCATGTGGTGTGGCAACGGAGGCTTGACAATAGGAACTCCTCTCATGAATTTGCGAGTCAATACCGACCAGCTCGATCGTTGTGCGTTGATAGTCAAATATTTGGCGAGAATTTCTGCATTCAAATACGGGTAATGCAGGCGAACGAATCGAACGTCCACGTATTTCTGGGGATAAATCTGTTGAAGCATCTGCTCGAGAGGCTTGATCTCAAACTCGGACAAAGTAACAAGATTAGGGTCAGCGTAGTAGTACATTTGAACGGTGACTTTGGCGGTGGAATGCTTGAAATGCGGGGTGGATGTCAAGTGTTTTTGAAAGTAATGTTTGAGCGTGGTGCGTGCAGCTTGGTCCTTTTCCCATGTGAGGTTGTTTCGGTTGTTACGGGAGAAGCAGTACACGCTGGTTTCCCAGTCTTGCTTCTGCTTAAGTCCCAAAGCCTTGACACTTTTACTCATGGTGCGTTGGAAGTGAAAAATCCTAGATTTCGACCCTGTTCACAAAAATTTAGAGAGGAAGTAAACAGTAGTCACAAAGTGGCAGACAGAAACGGAGTTCCATATCTTGCCCTGGCTGGCTGCTAACCTCTCGTCAGGTCAGACTGGGTCGTCTACGCTTTCAAAGGAGTGTTCACTCCACGATATAACTGGCAAGACACTTTCCAAAGGACTATCCATTTCAAGATATAAACTGGAAACGCCATCATTGAATTTTTCCTTCCATTTTCCATCATTTCCCTTCAATTCATGACAAGTTACACACCTCTCCCTTAGACACACACACGCTCATATGAAATGTGCAAGAGTTTATTGTTGAATTATAGTGTAGTTGTGTTTACATAAATGCCAAGAAAAAATACATGAGGATGCCTAGTCTTGCTGAAGCACTCCATCCAGCGTTCCATTGTTGTTGGCTGGAGACAGACCCAGCGCACGGGCAACCACGCCGTAAACCTCGGTATTGAGGAATGGTTTGACTGGCTCACCGGTACTGTATTCACGATCAAACATCGGTCCTCTAGCAATGAAGATAGCTCTCATCTCTTCAGCCATGTTATCATATCCATGGATACCTTTGGGGTGATAATCCTTGGTGCCATCAAATTCCTTGTGGGTCACAAAGGACCATCCCACATCAGGGATGGCAACTATCGGTGCGATTCGTTGACTGTTTCGGTAGTGGAACTGGTCAGGGATGTCCTCCCTCAAGTAAACCTGAAAATGTGATTGAGGTGCGGACTTGTCTTTGGAGTTGTCCGGCTGTTTAGTGTAATTTAAAAATTGGGCATATATCTTGTCCACTGTGTCTTGGGGTGCATTCGCTTTCGGCCGGACAGCGAGCAGTGGCCAGACTTCACGTTCTTCAAGCTGTGCCAACAGATCCGGCGACACAATATCATCCCAAAAGATGAGTCGATTTCTATTTGTTTCTGCCATTCCGTGGTCACTGACAATCACCACATGAACATGATTGTACAAATTGCGTGCTTGCAGTCCTTCCACGAGGTGCCCAATGGAAGCATCCATTTCCGCCAACATATCTGTCACCTAAGGCCATATTACAATCAGTAACATGAACTCACAGGTAATGGCCAAAACAATGCTTACCCCTTGTCCATTCGGGCCTTGACGATGTCCAATTGAATCGATTTGAGGCACGTACATATTCATCAACTGAGGTCGTTCTTCCCTGGGCATATCTAGCCAATTCAAAATGACATCGGCCTTTTCACTTGCCGTATAGTTGCCGCTATATGGAATATGATACGTCGACACGGCGTTATTAACTTTAACATTGGAACCAGGCCACATCAAAACGGCTGATCGTTTGTTTTGCAGCACCGAAGTAATCCATATGGGTTCTCCTTTCCACCATTTTGAATCCCAACTACGAGCTGGGTCTTTGTAAAAAAAGCTATCGTTGAGTTGGGGATCCATAAACTCATTGCCAACAATGCCGTGGGACTCAGGGTAGAGGCCGGTTACCAGAGACCAATGATTAGGAAATGTCACTGACTGCAAATGGTAAACAACCGAATTCAGTACCAAGATGGGGTAATATTGAGGAGGAAATTTGAGGGCTGCATACCGGAAAACAGGGGTTCATGTATGGAGCTTTAACACCCTCTTTTGCTGAACAGATCAAATGGTAGAAGTAAGGTAAGTTAATGCCTATAAAGTCCCCAAGTGGTAATTACCCCCTTCGCCATCCATTACCTAGTCTAGAGAGGGTCGGGGTATTGTTTCTATCGAGATAATCGGCTCGGAATCCATCCAGCGATATCATGATCACCGTTGCATCGTAGGTGGTGGAACCATTATAGAAAGTGGCGGATGCATCGTATGATAGCTGTCGTCTAGGTGCAAATGCCGCTACAGCTGATATGAACACTAGAACAAGTGCCACGGCAAGGCCAATTCGGAAGGCCATGAGTCGAACCGGTTTGGTTGTCTGAGAAAAAGAAAGGGATTCAAAGGAGGACGATATATATCCAAGTTAGTTAAAAGAAAAATGGGCCACTGGGACTGGTATATCCCAGTCCATGTTGATATCATCCATACCGTGCCGTATTGTAAATGGTCATTCACCAAGTTTTCTGTCTCTAATGTCTGACTGTGGTCGGACGGCAGTAGTTGGTCATGCTCATCTGCATCGTCCATGTTGAGAATGGCCGCTCGGTCGTGAGTTGAATCCTCACTACTTTCCCTTGGTGTGAGCGGAATATCTCGAGATGGGGTCATTCTATGGCGAAGACCAGGTTGCATTCGCCTTTCCAGCTGGAATATATTTTACTGACTTGTGCACGTGTAGCCCTCGAACTGGGCCAAAAATAACTGTTTGAAGAAAAACAACTGGCAAGGTTCTCAAAGGTTTGAAAAATAAAAATTAAAGGGGTCAAAAATTTAAGCTCTGGCAATCATTTTATTCTGACGATCGTGTTGCTGACGACGAAGACGCTGGAGCCTCTAAATATTTGGTGATGGTGTTCCGATAATGAAACCCAAAGAATTCTGGTTGACCATTGGCGTCGTATGGCTCGACCACCAGCACCAGTTGTTCAGGATACATGGATAAACCTTTGTAATGTACCTGCAAAACAGGCTTCTGATCCTCTTCTCCTTCATCGCTGGCTTCAACGGATTCTGGAAATATATACGATGGTTCCTATTGTATGGAAACAAAAGTGAGTTGATGAGCGCACCGAGTCTTGATAGACACTCACTTACCCTATGGACAATGGAGTGATGGGTATCTTGTGTTGTAAAATAGTATGCGAACTGGAAATTGGCTAAACGAGTAGATATGTTAAATCAAAACATAACATGACTGACATACAAAAGGTCTTACTCACGGCCTCTAAAAACCTCAGCTAATCCTTTGTCCCCTCTCTTGCGCTTTGTCTGTACTTTTGTATTGTCGCCGATTAATTGCTTTAAAATTATATTTTGCAGTGACTCAAGGACATCCTAATCAATTCGAGTCAGCCCTTTCTCATAGCTCCTGCCTGTTAGACTTGCTGACTTACGACATGAACTTTGCTGTCGGTATACCATGGAATATGGACGTCTTTTATGTACAAAACTACCCGCAGCACCTTTGCATGATAAAGTATTGAGTGTCAGTGAACTCGTTGCTGAAGTATGCCACAACTCCCTTCCAAATACCGTGTCATTAGTCAACCGCAGGTAGCGCAGATTCTTTGTCTGGAATGCCATTGAACAAAGCACAGATTCAGTTCTTACGGCTGCTTCAAAAAAAAAAAAGTCCGTCCCAGGTTCAAGTTAAAGAATTTTTGATTGACGCCGCCGCATTGTTCGGCTTTGTTTGATTCTGCGGATGAGCCCTACACCATGGCAGCACAAGCAACGCCAGCCAGCCCACTCATCATGGACACCCTTCCGCCAGACAATGCAATAAAAGTTGGTTTAGAAGCCATAACCCAGTATGTTTACCCAGATTCAACTGACTCGAGAATTCCAAAGCGGAAAAAAAAAAAAAAAAAACTAATTCAGCATGACTAGTTCTTTACAGCAGTCAGTTAAGCGCCGGAAACAGCACGATGACATCGTTCTCAAGCTCATAACTAAAAAGAGGATCCGATCTGAAGTTGAGGCTGATCCTAAACATTCTGCTATGTTGCTCAAGCACATAGGTAAGTGGTGCTGGCACCATTTTTGAAACATACCTGATCGGATTGTAAACCATGATTTTGACAGACGAAGATATCAATCATTTGAAGGCAGAGGAAGATGCTGTATTAAAAAAGTATGTTCGTTGCGATGACTTGTCTCAATGTGAGTACGATGAGAAGTGTTCATGATTTGACACTGGCAGGTTAGAGATGACCACCATTAGCTTGCGGAGTTCGTACGCCGAGATCACACAATGGATGATAGGACAATACGTTGGGCGAGTCATGGACGACATGAAAGAAAAGCTAGCAGATCAATCGGAGGAGAGAAACATGGCTTTAATACAAGAGTTGAAGGACGACATAATCAAAACAACCACCATCACTATACCCCAATTAAGCCAACAGATTGAGATGGTGGCAAGCGCTCAACAGGCAGGAGAAGTTAAACTAAAAGCCGAACTCAAAGCATTTTTCGACGAAGGCAAGAACTCTATTGTAACTGATATCGGCAAGATATATAGGCAGTGCGCCGAACAGATTGAAAAGGTACAGCAACAATCAGACACAACATCGGAAGTTATGCAAGAGCTATCAGCATCGCTTAAATCCCTGGAGGAAGCGTCAGTGAATGCTACTGCTGTTCAAGATGTGAAGGATTCAGTCAAAGTTATTCAAACCGATATGGCTAAATTGGCAAGCAATGCTCAAGTTGTAGAGTTGCGAACGATGACAGAAGATAAGTTTAGGGAACAAGGCGAACGGAACACAACAGTGGCACGAAGAATGGGGGAATTGAAGGAGATGTTTGCTGCGGTTGAAGAGAAAACTGAACAATACAATCGACGTAGTCAAGAACTTGATATTGTGTATGATAGAATCAAGGCTCATATTGAAAAGCTCAAGAAGGGGCCAGATCTTAAACCAACTACCGAACCAAGCAGCCCTGCCAGCCAAGACGTGACTCGAATTCAATCCGATATCTCCACATTCCGAACTGTGCATACCAACCTAAACGCCATGATCCAAGCGGTTGGGGAGGATGTGAAGACCATCCAGGCAGAACAGAGTCGCACCACCGAAAAGCTGGATATAATGGCATCATCCATGACTTCAGGGGACGTTGTGAAAAGTTTACAAAGTCAAATAAGACAGCTACACGAAAAAATGATGAGATTGGATAAGCAAATGCAAATTTCTGATCAAGGAAGTGAGAAACGTACAAGTGAAACGACTGCTTATCAGACGCAGATTCCTACAAATAGTTGGATCGGCGGTGCGTCCGACCACCTGAATGAAGATCAACTTATAGCAAACAGACTGGATGCTGCCAAGGCGATTAGGTACCTGGAAGCAAAGATGGTAGTCAATGAGCAGTTGGTTCAAAACAATATACAGGACCTGCAAAGAGATATATCCAACCTACGCAAGAGAAAAGCCGCCGAGGATGGTGAACCCGAAGCCAAGCATCCACGCAATGACACATCGACCCCCAGTCATTCCGACCTCCAAAAGTTGGTGGATGTACATACCATACAATTAAAAGATTTGATCAGCTTTTTAGAGCCGTTAAAATCAACAGTGCTTTCCAATGTGTTTCCAGTCCTAGTTCAAAAAGCCTTCGGCGACCTCATTAACGTGTCAACGTAAGTCCAATTACAGCATGATGTATAACGTGGTGGAAATTTTTTTTACACAACCCCCTTAAAATCTTACAGACGACATGAATTCGACATCAAAGCAGCACATGAGACCCTTGCTCGAATTGTCGATCAAACGAAAACGGATGTGTCGGGTGACGAGTGGAAAACTACTGCAGCACAAGTTTTCAAGTTACAGCTTGACTCTCATGAACGGAGAACGAAGCTAGAACATGCTGAACTCATGGAGCACGTACAGAAACTGAAAGATGTATATGCAAAGATGCAAGAAAAGGAAATGTTACAGCAGGTGCAAATCGATAAACTAAACCAGCAATTGCAAAACAACACCATGATGATGGAAACGATGCTTGAAGCTTTGGCCAAGAATGGCATCACGGTGGATGGAACGGATGCTAGCCATATCACCCATAGCCCTTCACTGTAAAGGAAAGCAAAAACACGCTTCTCGTTGTATTCTCATTGAAAGCCTACTGTAATTGAATTGAAAGATCCCCTATTGTAAATAACAATGATGAATATAAATTTGGCATGTTACAAGGAGAGGGTGTTGTGGGAGGAGTAAAGGAGAAGGTGTTTTCTTGACTTGTGCGTAATTCTCATCCCAGCAAAGTTCTATAAAATCTAGTCCAGCACCCCAAAGGACTTTTTTTTTCTACAAATTTTCTGGTGTATTTATATTTTGTTTCCCCCCCCCTTGCCTTCATTATTAGTTATTTGTATCAATGGGTTCGGCGATTTCAACACATAGAACTGACACCTTGGCTCAAAAAGCCAATGAATCGTTTGACGAGTGTGAGCTATTTCGAGGACGACTGCAATTACGGACAGAAACTGGACAATGGAAAAAATATGACATCGTATTTGACGGTTCGCAGATCACTTGCCCACTTTGGACAATCCCCATTGGCGACATTCTGGTCATATCGACACTCAAGTGCAAAAATCAATTATCATCACAATGCCTATGCCTTCGAACCATCCATGATGATACCATCTTGCTACGCGGCAAGAATCCAGAAGATATTGAGCGATGGGCATTTGTATTGCAAAAGATATGTTCGCTGACCAAAACAGCCAAGGAGTATAAGATGATGCTTGCTAGAAAGCAAAAATCCACCAAGGACAGTAGTGTGTTAGCTGCCAAACAATATGCCAATACCGTCAATGGTTCGACGACACAGCGACAGAGATCACGTTCGACCAAGGCAAGAACAAGAGCTGAACGACGAGCTGAACAAGAACAAGCTGCAGCTACCATCTTGTTAACGGAAGAAAAATCAGAATGGATCAATACCTGGAGACAATCGTTAACCGACGTCGAAATGGAAATGCTGGTACCTGATTTGACGAGCTTACCGGATGATGATGAACGTCTAAGCACCGCGAGTGGCATGACGAGTATATCTATGCGCGGACGAAATCATGCCCTGAAACTAGCACAGGCGGCAGCGGCAGATAAGACCAATGAAAAGGCAGCAGACGCTGCTGCAACCCTCAAGGGATTTAAAAGTTTACCCAACTTGCGACCAAAGTCATCATCCAGGGCGCTGGTGACTGAAAGGAGGCGAGGAACATCCGACCATCCTAATAACCGGACCACCACCCACCAACTTCCAGACGGTCAACGATCTCACCCTATAAAACTCAATATCCTGCTTGGTCCCAATGAACCGCAACCAGAACTGAAGCCCGATGCGAACGATGATGCTAGTACGGTGGAATCAGCACCTCCACGAACTCCTTCCAGGCATCTAAGCTCACCTTTGAATAAACAGGCGAGTGAATCCATGCCTATGATACGGTACGCGACTCTGAGTGAATCTCCCTCGTATCCACATACAAATCGCCAGTCCGTAAAACAACCACCACGCTATGCTCAGTCCGACATGATATGATCGGTTCGTTCCCATTCCTTGATTAAGAAGCAGATAGAAACTAAATGAAATTCTAAACTATGAATGCCCACAAAAAATACATACATATATATTTATATAATATACACATCATTAATGTCCACGTAAGAAGTTCATCATCCCACTCCGGCCTCTGCACCCCTGCCTGCTCTGATATTACATGATGTGAATTGCCTTTATTTTTATTGCAACGCTTGCTACCATTCCTTCTTTTGCCATTATCGATTATTTTTTGCCATATGCCTTGCCGTTGACCTATCTATGTTTGCCCTGCCGTTGATGTTTATGCCACGTATAGATTATATCGAAATGATGGAGTATTTTGGTCTGTTCAGTCGTAGAGAGTGCAAAGGCATTGGGTGAGCGACTTTTCAAAGGCCGCGTAAGTTTGATTTGGGTCACAAAATTCAATTGACGTCCCAAGATTTATAGTCGGTCATTTTCACATGGTGAACAGCGTGTGGAGAGGCCACAGTGACTTTAATTTGTCAAATAACCTCTTTCTCCTTTTTCCTTCTACAACAACATGCTCTCTAGGTCTCTTGGTCAATCCTCTCGCACTTGGCTTCGTCGTTTGCAGCCTGCACGTGCCTTCTCCAGCCAAGCTCCTACTGGATACGTCTTTGCCTTGAGTGAAGAGCAAAAGTCGTTCCAAGATCTCGCTCGCAAATTTGCTCTTGATGAAATTATCCCTGTTGCTGCAGAACACGACCGGACTGGAAAGTACCCCACAGGTAAGTGTGGATGGGTGGGTCATCTTCCTTTAGCGCTTGCGTCTGACAGAATGGTGTCTTGATCAGAGGTTATTAAGAAGGCTTGGGAGCTGGGACTGGTCAATACCCACATCCCTGCCGAGTACGGTGGTTTGGGTCTGGGTGTTTTAGACGGTGCCATCGTGACTGAAGAATTAGCTTTTGGCTGTTCTGGAATCCAAACGGCGATTGAAGCCAACGGCCTAGCTGAAGCTCCGCTTATTGTTGCTGGTAACGACGAACAGAAGAAAAAATATTTGGGTCGCATGACTGAAGAGCCCCTCATGGCCTCTTACGGCGTTACCGAGCCTGGTGCCGGTTCGGATGTGGCTGGTCTGAAGACGTCTGCTGTCAAGAAGGGCGACAAGTGGGTCATCAATGGACAGAAGATGTGGATCACCAACGCTGGTCACGCCAACTGGTTCTTCGTGTTAGCTCGCACAGACGCAACCGCCAGCACTGGCAAGGCGTTCACTGGATTCATCGTTGACGCTGATACACCTGGTATTCAAGTCGGTCGCAAGGAAATCAACATGGGTCAAAGAGCTTCCGATACCCGTGGCGTCACGTTTGAGGATGTGGTGGTGCCTGAGGAAAACGTGTTGGGCAGCGTAGGCCAAGGTTTCAAGATTGCTATGGGTGCTTTCGATATCACTCGGCCCTTGGTTGCCAGTGGCGCTGTTGGATTGGCTCGTCGGGCCATGGAAGAAGCCACCAAGTACTCATTGGAGCGAAAGACCATGGGCAAAGAAATCTTCAACCACCAAGCCGTTGCCTTTATGTTGGCTGATATGGCCATTGGCATTGAGAGTGCTCGTATGATGGTCTACAAGGCTGGATACATGCGTGATCAAGGACAGCGAAACACCTGGTACGCCTCTATTGCCAAGGCGCTTGCCAGTGAAGTGGCCAACAAGACAGCAGCCGATGCCGTTCAAATCTTTGGTGGTAATGGTTTCAACACAGAATACCCTGTGGAAAAACTCATGAGAGATGCAAAGATCTTCCAGATCTACGAAGGCACTTCACAAATTCAACGTTTGGTTATCTCTCGAGGTCTTGCTGATATGGTCAAGGCCGGACAGAGTGCTTTTGGCTCTGCTAATAATTAGGTTGGGGACTTGGGATTATTATCCTCCTCCAAATTGTATTATACTTTGAAAAACAACGAAACCATAGCATGGTTAGAGAACTAAACTAGGAAACCAAAAAGGAAAAATCTAATTGTGATAACAATATTTCGCTGTGCTGTGTTGTGCTGAAATCAGTGGGCGAGGGCATAATTTACATGTTTATAAAGATTTGCGGTTTTATAGATAAGGACAGGATAGGTTGAAAACGCAGGACATTATAATTTACACAAGGTATCCAATACAGGTCGAGTCATTTCACTCTTCGTCCTTCTTTGTAAAATCCTTGTAAAAGATGATGGCATCCACCAACTCGTCTGGGCTGTTCTTCAGACTGGAAGCAATGACCATAAGTCAGCATCTTTAAACCACCCTATATCACGATGAGTAAATTTTTAAACTTACCGGCCAGCCTGAGGAATTCTACCAACTTCTTGGAAGCCAAGAGAGCGCCAGATACGAAGGGAAGCAGGGTTATTAGCAAAAACAAGATTAAACACGGAAGCCTTGTATCCTAAAAGTGGAACCAAAGTAACAAAGGCTCTTCCCATGACCTTGCCAATGCCTTGTCCGCGATGCGCCGGAGCAGTGAAGAAACCTCCATTGCAGATCTAGAACGACTCGTAAGTTTACTGTGCTCAGTACACCCATCGCATCATTTTAGCAATACTAACGTGTGAGCATCGGCCAGGATAATTGGGCTTGACATAGAACATACCCATGACGGACTCTTCAATGTTGGTATCGGGCTTCAAGGGCCCATTCTTGACGGCAATGAAAGAATCGTAGCTGTAGACAGAATACTTAGTCGGTACCTGACCTTTTTTTTTTTTTTTTTCCAAATTTGAGCCAAGTTTACTCACGCTGTAAAATAAGCTTTGAATTGCTCTAACGACAGTTGGAATTCTTGCGGATAAGTCGATCTATAAGCCAATCCAATTAATACTACATACCCTCCAGACAACCAATGGACATACAATACCTACCCGTCTTCTATCTCGACATTGAATATCTTTTGCATATACAGAACGAGAGCCTCGTTGTTGGGATCGACCGCTTCAATGGTGACGGGAGATCCATCCTTCAGGGCTTCGCGAATAGGTAGAACGGCTTCTAACTTGGAATTAGATTCCGGCTTTGGAATGTGACCGTACGCACTTGACATTAGAATTGAAAGAAAAGGAGGAGAGAACCAAGGAAACGTTGCCAACCTTAACAAAGTGGCGGGTCTGACTCATCGCCGTAGGTTCCAGAATTGCGGGTTTTAAGGACCGTCATGGCCGATAAGTAGCTGTGGAAGAGTCGATCATTCATATCCTTTGCAGTGGATAATTACCCTTGTAGCGCAGATTGTATGATCAAGTACAATGCATCATGACAGACTACAGTACAGTGCATACACAGAGCCCATCCAGCTCTACACTCCACTCTAATTTAAACACCATTTTGTGCACCCTTGTGCCGCACATAACCAGTGCCTTCGATCTCTGAAGTAAACAATAAAATTAGGTCTACACAAGTCATTGACCCGCTGTATATTACATACAATCAATCGCATATCCATGCATTATTCATATTCATTATGTTGCAATACGCTGTATTTAATTCATGATCCGAATGTATGTACATATTGTATCGCTCGATATCATATCAAGCAAACACCAGTCTATAGGTTAAATCTATTCTGCTTGTCGAGATATTTGCTCCTGTAGTCGGCGCAAACACGTCTCACGACCGAGCACTTCCATGGTTTCGGCCACTCCGGCTCCAACTCTTGTGCCGGTGACAATATATCTCGTTGCCATCATGACGTGATTGGCTTTCAGTTGATGTTGGTCAGCAAAACGATGGATGTATTCCTTGATGGAAGTAGCAGTGAAGTCTGGAAGCTTGGACAGATCATCAAAATACTGCGAGGAAAGACTGGCCTCTTTTTTTTTAAGAAAGGGGATTTGTCAATTTATGCACTGGAAGGTCTCGATGCATACAAAATGAATTCACTTACTCAATGCCGACTTTTTAAGCTTTTTGAACAAGGCTGCTGCTTCGTCTGATTTCCATTCAGGTTCTACAAAGAAGTAACTGCACAGGTTGGGAATGTCATTTATATTCCGTATGCGGTCCTAAAAAATGGAACATCAATGCACAAAGAAAGGTGGTCAGTGACGGAAAAGCAACATAACATGAACACAACTTTTTCCATTTCATACCTTGATAGTGCTGATAACACCGGCGAGATAATGGGTATCCAGTCGATGCTCTTCTGACATCTTTGAAAGCCTGTTGGAGTGATTTTTTTTTCAAAACAGGACGTTGTAAGTCATCCCGTATGCAAATTGGTAAGCTGCAGGAGGTACACTCACCGATCACCATATGCATTCTTCACCAAGGGCTGCAGCATCTTAACAAGCGAATCCATGCCAGATGGAGTTGATGCCCGGCGCAGAAGATGCTGCTTGTTGATCCAATCCAACTTGTCCAAAGTCACAATGGCATTCGAGTTATTGACCTGAGCTAGAGAAAACTATAGCACACCCCACGTTAACCCAGGTTGTTGTTCGGAAAACAAAGGTTTCCTTCTACTTACTGCTTGTACTAATTCGTCAGAGTCAAAGATCTCCTGGTCTGAGTCTGGATGCCATCCAAGTAATGCGACAAAATTCATGACTGCCTCAGGGAGGTAACCACGCTTCATGTAGTCTTCCAAATGTACATCTCCTGATCGTTTTGATAGCTTGGATTTGTCGGCGTTCAACAAAAGCGGAAGGTGCACAAATTGAGGGGGTGTCCAGCCAAACGATTCATACAGAATCAGATGCTTCGGCGTTGATGGTAACCATTCCTCGCCTCGCAGCACGTGAGTAATGCCCATGAGGTGGTCGTCAATGACATTCGCCAAATGATAGGTAGGATACCCGTCGCTCTTCATTAACACCGCATCATCGATGGTTCTATTATTGAACTCCACTTTGCCGTACACGCGATCATGAACCACAGTTGTTCCTTCCGGGGTCTGTATGGGAAAACGTGAGTAGATGTATCATAATGTGTGAGCAACGCACTTTTCAATCCGTCCCTCGAAATATCCCCCTGCACGACAACTTACATTGAGGCGAATGGTGAAGGGTTCGTTGGCCGCGAGTTTCTTTTCAATTTCCTCTGAACTGAGTGACAAGCAATGACGGTCGTATGCCATTGGCTTACCAGCCTTTGCACTTCTTTCTCGGACATGTTTCAAGCGATCGGCCGAACAAAAGCATCGATAAGCCGAGCCATTCTGTTGGAGCCATCGAACGTCAGCACATCGCCCCTTAGCTTGTCATCCGACACCTTTCACTTTACCTGTAACAATTCGTCAGCGTGCGATCGATAAACTTCGGTTCGCTCGGATTGGAAGTATGGCATATGCGGTCCTCCTTTGCCTGGGCCTTCCTGGAACTCGATACCCGCCCAGTCAAGGGCATTAATGAGCATGTCAACCGATCCAGGCACCAGTCTATTCTAAACTCGGGAAAATTGGATATATTAACCAAGGTGACAACGCACATAAACTACTTGGTTAATCGTGTTCATACTCTATCAGTGTCCTCGATTCTCAAGATCATGGTGCCGTTGGTTTTTCGCGCCAACAAGTAATTCAACAAAGCGGTGCGCAAACCTCCAAGATGCAAATTGCCAGTGGGACTCGGTGCAAATCGAACACGAACCGGGGCTACGACTTCGTTGGCAGCATTATTATGAGCGAACCGTCGAAACGATGCCCGGCATGGCGACCAAAGGTGTAATGAAGGTCGAACAAAGCGAAGCATGCCGTATTGAAAAGCTAATTTGAAATGCCCAAAAAAAAAAAAAAAGTGCTCAAGGGGGGTAGAATTATTACGGGACGTTTTTATTACAAAATTTAATGGTGCAACGGTGGGATTACTGGTCTTCTTCGGTCATCTTCATAGCAAATAACTGGGTATACATCCGTATCATGCTCTCGTACCCTACTAAATCGCCGCATCGAAGGAGATTAGCAGCATCACAGTTGAGGGGTGATGATGGTTCTGGGTTACTAAGCAATAATGAAATAGCCAAGATGGTAGATTTCAAAGTCCAAGCCGGGGACCATGCTGTCTTCAATAAATCTAAGCAAATTTCACCGGTCTATGTTGGGAGCAATGCGAGTAAGTACTGCCCTTGTAAAACGAAGCATCGTACAAGTGTATCAATTGCAAGTACCTTGAAATGAACGTTGGGGTGACATATCTGAGTGATGAACTTGACGGTAGGAGGCTGCATAGGATAGTTATGGGGGATTTTTACATCCAAGTTCCACAAGCCGCCTAATAATGAAATAGAATTAACAATGATTCCATCGACGGCAGCCATTTAAGTGCACACACTGACCTTGGAATGGAGTTTGGTCCAGTCCAGCAATGGTTGCCCGCCAGTGAGTCAAGTCCTCATCGTCTGCAGGAGTCAATTCTATTATTTCGGGATGATTGTGAGCTTCACGCTGATAGTCGTTCAATTCTTTGAGTAATCGCCTGGAGACCGGGTCCATAATGAAAGTGGAGCAAATGAAAGATGTGTGGGGGGCCAAGTAGCACTGAAACGTTCGCCCCCAGACTGTCTTGGAAATTGCACGTCACATTAACGTGGGAGAGATCACCCGCCCATCAGCCCATGCTCACTTGACATGGACACTGAAATCGTCGCTCCTGGAGAAAAAGTCGAGCTTCAGCCTCTGCTTATTGACCCTCGGTAAGCTTTAAGAAACGTCGGGTGCAAACACTGACAAAGTCCTTTGATATTGACTTTGAGCCTCCGCTGCCTATCAAAATAGCGATTTTGGCTCTCGTGCTATCCACACTCGTCCCAGTATAAACCACCACAACAGCCTACATACGCGCCAGGAGCGTTTTGGTCCTCCTCCTGGTGAACGGTCCAATGTTGCTATTCAAACCGCTCACGTTGCATCGGTCAGTGTCAAAACTCCCGCTGCTCAATTGGTATATGACCACTTTATAAGTTATGCAGCTCAGTTGATGGCAGAAAGAGAGTCTTCACTAGATAATGCCATTCAGTTTGTCGATTTCATCATCGAAACGGTCAGGATCAGCTCTGGATGGTCGGACGCTGACCGCAAGAAACAATTTGAAATGGCGCTGGCCACGATTGACCAAAACGCTTTGACTGAACCCTTCAGTACCGACAAATACGTCGAGCTCAACCAATTAGCCGAGCAGTTCTTGATTGCTCAGAATACCCCTGCTTCTCCCAATAGTCGAAGGGCAGGTGGTGGAGATGTGGTTGTGGCACGGCCAATCCCCTCCATGTTCAGCACTGAAGAAGTCTCCAGTATCCGAGGCATGGCTCCCATTCTCTATATCTCAGACCCATTAGCCATAAACGATGAAGAGGACGGTGACAGCGATGCTTTTTACTATGATGATACATGTACACCTTATGGAAGTGACACTGATGAGTCACCCATTCTTATGTCTCGTTGAAGAAACCCGCCGGTTAGAAGTATGAAAGGTACATATCCGATTTCTGGTAATGGTTTATAGGATATGAAGATTGAAGTTTCTTTGGAGTCATACAAAGTAACTTTTTGCCCTGCAGTTTTCTGAAGCAAGTGCCAGCTTCCAAGCATAGGCGGTGGTGTGGTGGTTCATTAGTGTGACTTGCTTTTTGCTTTCATTCCAATTTCTTTGACAGTATTACCCATCTTTTTCCATCATTTTCCTTCCATCATGAAAACTGTCACTTGCACTGCTCCTGTTAACATCGCTGTATGTATATTATAACTATCACCACATGCATGACTAAACTCAATGGGGTTTCATTGTCCCTTTCATCTACTTGTTCCTGACGCATTTCCTTTCCTAGGTTATTAAATACTGGGGAAAGCGTGACACCGGTCTCATCTTGCCCACCAACGACTCGCTCTCCGTCACTCTTTCTCAAGACATCTTGCACTCCAAGACCACCATCTCGGCTGCGAAGGAGTATAGCCATGATCGACTTTGGTTGAATGGAAAGGAAGAAGACATCACCAAGAACAAGCGTATGCACAACTGCTTCCGCGAGACTCGCGCCCTTCGTCAACAAATGGAGCAGGATGCCGCTCAACGTGGTGAAACTTTGGAACCATTGTCATCCTACAACGTGCATGTGTGCTCCGAGAACAATTTCCCTACAGCTGCTGGTTTGGCCTCTTCTGCATCTGGTTTGGCTGCATTGGTCTTCACCTTGGCTAAGCTTTTTGATCTGCCCAGCAACATGTCTGAACTTTCTCGTATTGCTCGTCAAGGTTCTGGTTCAGCTTGCCGTTCTTTGTTCGGTGGATTTGTTGCATGGGAAATGGGTTCCAAGGACGACGGTAGTGATTCCCTTGCTGTTCAAGTGGCTCCCGAAACGCACTGGCCTGAATTGGAAGCTTTGATCTGCGTTGTTTCAGATGAAAAGAAAGGTACATCTTCTACGGAAGGTATGCAACATACTGTCAACACGTCTCCTCTCCTCCAACACCGTATCAAGGAAGTTGTCCCTGCCCGTATGGCTGAAATGAAGAAGGCTATCCACAATCGTGATTTCCAGACCTTTGCTGAACTCACCATGCAGGACTCTAACCAGTTCCATGCCGTCTGTCTCGATACATACCCTCCCATCTTCTACTTGAACGATACATCGCGTGCTATTATGAAGATCATCCATGAATACAATGCTACGTCACCCGATGGCAAGCTCAAGGCCGCTTACACTTACGATGCTGGCCCGAACGCCGTTATTTATGCTCCCAAGGAAAACATGCGCGAAATCATTCAGCTTATTGCCCACTATTTCCCTGGTTCATCTGACAATTACTTTGTCGACCCTTACAAATTGTTTACATCCACACAAGACCTCGTCTCCGACTTCAAGCCCGCTGGCCATGCTGCTTTCAACGAGAACTCCATTCCTGTCTTCCCTGAAGGTAGCGTTAGCAGATTGCTTCATACCAAGACTGATGATGGACCACGTGTTCTTGGCCAAGAAGAGAGTTTGTTGAACGAGCAAGGATTACCCAAGCGTGTCGCCGGCGTGTCTGTTTAAGCGCAGCAAAATAGAACCAATACAACATAAAGAAGAAAAAATTACATACATCCTTTTTTCCCCCCAAAGTAATAGTTTTTTTTAAAAAGAAGATACGATTAAAGATCAAATTGTAATAGTGGAAGCCAATTCATCCCTTGCTGTATAATCTCCGGTTGAAAAATTGCGAATAATTTTTTCCTGTCAATTTGTTTGTGATATTTCAACACGCTTCTTTCTTGCAATGCTCAAAAAGTTCCCCATATGAATGCGTTCAAACCTCTTTTACCGGAGCAATGAACTAACTTACTCAAGCATTGCAAGAAACCCAATTTATTGGGAGCTTGATTCACGTTGTCTTGCTCTCTCATTCCTTGGGAAGATAAACAACAGTATGAAAATACTGTTGTTGCGATCTGATCTCTGCCATCGTTTTATTCAAGCTTTATTCTTCAGTGAGAGTTGGAATTGTGGAGGTCGATGCAAACATATTACTTAAAAACAATGAACATAAAGACAACAGTGTGAGCTTCCCATGATTTTGGATTTGTTTGCTAGACCACAGCTAAGTGACAGTGGTGTTTGCAAGTCATCTGAATGGTTTTATCGCCACGGACAATGTCTCCGATTGTCACAGGTGCTGTTTTGTCTCAAGATTGATGGACATTTGTTATCAACATTCTTTACGATAATACAATAAAATACTACAAGAATACTACAGTTTCACGCCTAGAATACCCACATCTACTACTGCTGAACATGCCTGTGCCCTTCATTCACATAGCCGTCATAGGGAAACCAGCTCATAAACAATTTGCATTGAGATAATGACCTACTTTGCCCAACATTGTCCAGCTAATCTATATTCAAAGACATGACCTGAAACAGCGTATATGAAGCGACCTGATTTTGACCACACTATTTTGCCATATTTCTTCTTTTTACTCTTGTTAATTTCATGGCTCCACCTTACGCACCCACCATCGCCTTCAGCGATCAATATACCTCCGTAGTTGATGCCACCCAACCTGTCCCACAGAGAACGAGATCTAAATCTAGTCCAATGAAGCCCGACCCTCTGCAAAGTACCGTTGCAACAGGATTGCAATTGGCCAACATGCTACTGTTTGCAGAAAAGGAGAAACAAAAGGGTGCGAACATAGCACACCCAGTGGGCAACTGGGAATCCACTCTCGAAAAATCCATCAAGAGCATTGTTTCTATAAAGGCATCGCATACCCGAGCATTTGATACCGATGTTGCTGGTATGTTGTTTATACACCATTTTTGATGCGAAACAGAAAACATTTCAGACGTGGTTTCTACATGTATATGCCGACTAATTGAGCTATGCCTTTGTAGACTCTTATACAGCGACAGGATTTATTGTCGACGCTAAACGAGGTCTCATCCTTACAAACCGTCATGTTGTTTCACCTGGTCCCATTGTCGCCTCTGCCATTTTAACAAATTATGAAGAGATCGATCTCAAACCTATCTACCGAGACCCAGTGCATGATTTTGGCTTTATGCAATTCGATCCGTCCAAAGTGAAATTTATGGACCTGCAGGAAATTCCGCTTCATCCGGAGAGGGTCAAGGTCGGCTTGGATATTCGTGTCGTTGGGTAGGTTCAAGTGACGATGGTTAGCAATCTGGCATTTTATACTGTTTCATCTCATCCTGTCTTTCATTCTATCCATAACCTCAGTAATGACGCCGGGGAAAAATTAAGTATTCTAGCTGGAACCCTGGCAAGATTAGACCGCCGAGCTCCAGAGTATGCTATTGGCGGATATCAAGATTTCAATACTTTTTATTTACAAGCTGCATCAGGTACAAGCGGTGGATCGTCCGGTAGTCCTGTACTTGATATCTACGGTCATGCCGTCGCCTTAAATGCCGGTGGTGCAACCTCCGCATCATCAAGCTACTATTTACCACTCGATAGAGTCAAGCGGGCATTGGATTACATTCAACAAGGAAAGACCGTTCCTAGAGGTACACTACAAGCTGAATTCGAGTACCTTCCCTATGATGAAGTCCGCCGACTGGGCCTTAGCCCGTCCATCGAGCAACTAGTGCGAACCATGTACCCTGCTGAAACTGGTATGCTGGTTGTCAAGTCTAGGCTGCCTAAGGGTCCAGCTGACGGACACCTCGTGCCTGGCGATATTCTACTTCGGGTCAATGATGAAGTGGTGGTTAACTTCAGTCAATTATTTGAGGTCATTGACAATTCAGTTGGTAAAAGCATCTCATTGTCCGTGGCTCGGGGTGCCAACATCTTGCAACTCCAAGTGACTGTACAAGACCTGCACTCTATCACGCCTAGCCGGTATTTGGAGATCGGTGGCAGCGTTCTAAATGAGCTGTCCTACCAAATCGCCCGTTCATACTCTCTACCCGTAGGAGGCGTCTATGTTGCATCTGCCGGCCACATGTTTGCAACTGCCTTTATATATCGTAAAAGTATCATTATCAGTGTCAACAATGAAGCAACACCAACACTGGATGATTTTATTCGTGTCATTCAATCTATACCGGATGGTGCACGGGTTCCCATAAGGTAAGCAGCCCAGCTGGGATTTCTCTTGGTCGGAATATAGGATCAATTCACTGACCCTTTTTTACCTTGTTCAAACAGATTCTACAGTTTGGCAGCCTCTCTCAAGGATAAGGTCATGGTCATTCATGTCGACCGACATTGGCATCCGTGCAGACAGGCTACTAGAAATGGTGCGTTTATAATACAAACATGCGTATGCATATATCATACTCATATATCATTTGATGTTGCTATAGATTTGACCGGAGAATGGGACTATGAGGATTTACCAAAGCCAACCTCCAAGTTGACAGTTATGCCTTCAACCGCAACGTTCCCTCCACTTGACCCATCGCTGAAATTAGCCCAAGATTTAATGCCATCGTTTGTAGCCATCGATTTCCATATGCCATACCTGGTGGACGGCATGAAGAACACACAGTACTTCGGTTGTGGGCTTATCGTTTCTCTCGAACCACCTCTTATCATCTGTGATCGCGATACTGTTCCCGTGGCCATTGGAGACATTCATCTCTGCTTCGCCAACAGCATTTCTATCCCTGGAAAACTCATTTTTCTCCATCCCTTCAGCAATTACGCCGTGCTTTCATTTGACCGCAAACTACTTGGTGACACACCCATTCGAGCCGCCAAACTCAGCTCTGAGCGTTTAAATCCAGGCGATCAAGTTAACTTTGTAGGACTGGCGGGTGATAACTCGGCCATGTTGAGGCGAACAGCAGTATCCTCCATTTCCAATATAGCGACGAGAGAATCGCAGCCACCTCGTTACCGCGCAATGAATACCGAATGCGTTAAATTGAGTGATACGATTGGATGTCAAGGCGGTGTGGTCGCCAACGACGAGGGAGTTGTTCAAGCGTTCTGGATGACCATCAATTCATTCTCGGAAGGACGAAGTGTTCAGTTCATGGCGGGATTATCCAGCTCTGCTTTCAAACCGATCATCGACATGCTGGTCGCTGGGGCACACACAGGTGTACGGTCCATTGATGTGGAGCTCTGGGCGATGGGCATTGCTAATGCTAGAACGCTCGGCGTGACCGATGCATGGGTCAGTCGTTTAGAACAAAGCGGCCAAGCGCGGCAAAACTTGCTCTATGTCCTAGGCATCTTGGACTCCAGCAGCCCGGTTGCCAAGGTGCTCAAGGCTGGTGATATTGTGGTACAGATCAATGACAAGATTGTGACTGGAATGAGTGATATTGCAGACTTGGGTGATGCTGCGTCAGTGAAGATGGTACGTAAAACTCAAACTAAAAATAATTGTGAATTTTCGTGTTCGACTGATGTTCCTCCATCTTGTCACCGTTGCCTAATTAGGTAATCTTTCGCGATACGCAAGAGATGACAGTCCAGGTTCCAACCACGCTTTATAGCGGCCAAGAAACCACTCGCATTATCAAATGGCAAGGCACCATTATTCAAGAACCCTACAAGGCGGTTTTGGAGCAAATGCCTGAAGTCCCCACCGGTGTCTATGTATCTTGTACCCTCCATGGCTCTCCTTCCAGTGACAAAATCCAACCAGGGTCTTGGATAACGGAATTCAACGGCCGCCGGGTGTATGATATGGACTCGTTCTTGGACGCGGTGTCGGATGAGAGCATCCAGAATGAAGGCATGGAGGGCTACGCGCGTATTCAGACCGTTCAGCGTGGAAATGTGATCAAAGTCGTAGCGTTCAAAATGGATCCTCTGTATTGGCCTACGCGGCTGGCCAGAATAAGGCAATGAATGGAGATTCAAAATCCTCCATCACTAAGATTAACAGTCACATTTAGATCTCTCTGTCGTTATGCTGTCAAATAAAATAAAAAATAAAATCAGCGTTTGGTTTCAATCAACTTTCACTCTCTTTTCTTTTTCCAACATGCCTTCTCCTCACTTGTGGCTTCGCGCCGAAACAAAGCCCATGGAGCACCGTGCTGCTCTTACCCCTTCCACCGCCAAGACCTTGCTTGACGCTGGCTTCAAAATCACCGTCGAGCGATCGCCTGAGCGCATTTTCGATGACAAGGAATACGCAGAGTAAGTAGGCACTACTGGCTGGATCTCCCAGGGTGTTTCTTAGTCTAACGCATCATTTTATTTTATTTTACAGTGTTGGTTGCCCTTTGGTCCCAGCTCTTTCATGGAAGACAGATGCTCCTGCTGATGCTTACATTGTTGGCTTGAAGGAGTTGCCAGAGAATGATGACTCTCCGCTCCATCACACTCACATTTTCTTCGCTCACTGCTTTAAGGAACAAGGTGGCTGGAAGGAAATCCTTCACCGTTTCGATCAAGGCAATGGTACCATTTTGGATTTGGAGTTTTTGAACGATGCTAAAGGTCGTCGCGTCGCTGCTTTCGGATACATGGCTGGATTCACCGGTTCAGCTGTGGCTATTGATGTGTGGTGCCATCAGCGTTTGAACCCTGGAGCCACCTTCCCTGCTCTCCACCCTTACCCCAATGAAGATGCTCTGATCGCTCATACCAAGGAACGTTTGGCTGCTGCCACCAAGGGCGGTGACCTCCCCAAGGTCATGGTCATGGGTGCTTTGGGTCGCTGCGGCTCTGGTGCTTGCGACTTCGCTCGTCGTGCTGGTATCCCCGAAGAGAACATTATCAAGTGGGACATGAATGAGACCAAGAACGGTGGTCCTTTCCGTGAGATCGTTGAAGCTGGTGAGTCACCCGGAGTTTAAAACATGGGAGCAACACGTTGGAGACTAACTTTTCCGTTTCCATGTAGATATCTTTGTCAACTGCATTTACCTCGCCCATAAAATTCCTCCTTTCGTCACCAGTGAGTTGTTGGACGGAGAACGCGCTTTGTCTGTCATTTGTGACGTTTCTTGTGATACCACCAACCCCAACAACCCCATCCCTGTCTATTCCATCAACACCACCTTTGACAAGCCTACCGTTCCTGTCAAGACCACCAACCCCAAGCCATTGGACGTTATCTCCATCGACCACTTGCCTACCCTTCTTCCTCGCGAGAGTTCCGAAATGTTCTCCCGCGACCTTTTGCCTACTATCTTGGAGTTGCAGGATAGACAGAATGCTCGCGTGTGGGTTGAGGCTGAGAATTTGTACAAGCAGAAGTTGGCTGCTTCCAAGCAGTAGGTTTTATACATAGAGCGTTTCCCCCCCCCCTTCCCAAAAGTAAGCTACCATCAACCCTACTACCATTTTTTTGTTTAAAAAGAAAAAAATTGGCTGTATAAAGTCTGTATATTTTGCACCCCACAATTATGGCGAGTTGGTTCTTTTTTCAAGTTTATTTCGTTATGCATGGCTTGCATATCATTAGCCATGGGAGGGGGTGTTTTTACAGCGTAGTAGTATTACTCGTCTACAAGGGGAATCTCCGGTTCGCATGGAAGAAGAGTCTGAATAGGCTGTAATTGAGGTGCATAAAAGTGGTGAATCATCGCTCTGGCTTTGGCGAGGGTAATGTTGTGGATAGGATGGGTGGGAGCCACTAGGTTGTCAGGATCACCCAGCACAGCACAGTCCGAGGTTGCGACCCACATCAATGAGCTAATCCCCCCGCTGCTAACATCCACGCCTGCTTCGGCTACTTTCGCAGCCGCCGCCTTGTCGTAATAGATATGGTGTTGGGCCGTTGACAGACCGGATAAACAATAACAAGTGTGGTAATAATCTGGTCCACTATGGCACGAGCGTTAACGTTTACGGAAAGGGTGAGAGAGAGTGCCAACTGACATAGACTTACACTCCGGGTTTATCGGCTAATCCTCCTCGGTCATCTTGGCAGCAGATCAAGATGTATCGTTGTAACGCCTCTGCTCAGCATGAGAAAGGGATTAAACAGATATTTCATAGTAGTCTGTTTGAGCTGGTGCTGCCTGGCTGTGGGTCTCGACGGCCACTGGTCGAGAGCCTCCCCATGACTTCACTGCCACACTTACCTCGATCAAATAAGTAATCCAGTCCTCCTTCAGCAACTTTTCCTTTTGCTTCCAGTGCAGCAGATAGGATCGGGAAATCACCAGCTCCCCAGAAAGAATAGCATCCATCCACCAATTTATTTGTTCGGCCCTGAAACCCGCCTTCCAGATTCATTTGTCGGCCAGCGCACCACGCCTATATAAACCATCACAATCCACGTTAGCGCTATTCCACCCATACAGATCTGAAAACATATTGACTCACCAAAAGAGCTTCCATGTCAAGCTTGTCGACAGCTCCTAATATTTGCATAGCAGCTATACCACAGAAGGTGTAGCCATTGTGTGCTTCTTTGCCAGGGTAGGGTCCAATTCCTCCTTCATATGTCTGAGATCTCTTAATAAAATCAACGCAGTTGGCTGTGAGTTCAGGTGTGAGAAGGTTGGTCATGGCTGCCACCGATAACGCGCAGTATAGGCCGCTAAAATGGACAAGAACAATCGATATCAGTCATATGATGATAACAAAAAGCTAGACGAAATGAAACGTAACACATCTGCACATACATATGTACATGCGGGCTATCCCATGGTCATCTACGACATTATGACACATACCGTATATCAATTTCTCCTCCTTCATGCATGGTAAAGGAACCATCAGGTTGCTTCATTCGCAACAGAAATGCATATAACGTTTTCCTGTTGAGAGTGCATCATAGATAACGTGAGAATGGCATTGGAAAAAAGTAGAAATCTGTCTGAATTTTGCCAACCTGTCAATTACATTCATGGCCTCCTTCGTCCCCAATATAGCTAACGAGTTGACGGCTGCATATGTGGGGGCTAAATGGGCAAGCTGATCCGGTCCACCACCAAATCCACCACTAGAAATTTGCCATGACACTATTGAAGAGATACCACTGTCAATGATGAGACGAGGTTTAGAAACAGAATGCTGGCTGTCAAATTTCAAACAAAGTATGGCCAAAAAATCGTACCGTTCAATAACCTCTTGAGAAATTTCCACTTCCAAAAGATCAAGCGAGTGTAATATCCAGTATGTTAGCCAGGGTTTACTCGCGTCCAGCGCCACCATCCATCGGCTCAGGTAGTTAAGGCCGCGTGCAAGGTAGGCTGCATGAACGTCTCGTTCTAGCTTTAAGCTGAAAACCATGGAGGGTTCTGTTATGGGTATATTTTAAAAAGGACAGCACCATCATATCCGAAACTTACTCGTTAAGACTTGAATGTTTTTCAGCGTATTCAGTGTACTTTTCCAGAACAGACTTTTCTATCCTTCGCTATAAGGATTCAAGGTGTAACAGGAAACATGAGTGTCGGCCGTTCATTTAGCAAGTGGAACAACATGATTGCGTCAAGCCCTTTACCTGCTCTATCGAAGTATCGGATGGCAGCATATCATCGGGATACCGCAAAGACATTATGAATGGGGTGCGGTAGAAATAGAGATTTCGATCAGTTCGGCGAAAGGTCGAGGCAATGAAAGCAAGTCACGACTGACAATTTCAGCTCGACACGTCCGCGACTTTGATTCACATAGCATTCCACCATGGATATTGGCACGTATAATTCAAAAGCTCTGCTATTCGACGTTTTGCTTTCAATATAGCTAACATATTGTTCACCTATCAGACGAGAGAAATGACGAGGAAAACGAAAAGCTCATCAACGAAGAGTATAAGATGTGGAAGAAAAACTCTCCTTTCCTCTACGACCTTGTGTTGACTCATGCACTTGAATGGCCAAGTCTGACTTGCCAATGGTTTCCAGACATTGAAAGGTGCGTTAGAACGCATTTGTGGCCATGATTTGATGGGACAAAACTGATTTATCTGGCGTTTCGCAGACAACCCGACAAGAACTATTACGTCCAGCGGTTACTTCTTGGAACCCACACCAACGATGAAGAACCGAACTATCTTCAGATTGCATCTGTTCAAATACCTAATGACGCTGAGGACGTTGATATGCGAAAGTACGATGACCACACAAATGGTAAGCCTCTTGATCTTACGACAGTTGAAATAATACCATCCACTGACAGATAGGGGAAACTAGAAATCGGCGGTCATGGTGCCAATAGTCAGGCTCATATCAAGATCACGCAAAAGATTGTACATGATGGCGAAGTCAACCGTGCTCGCTACCAGCCGGAAAACCCAAATATCATTGCCACCAAGGCTCGTTCAGGAGAAGTCTTTGTGTTTGACAGAACAACACACGAATCTTTCCCTAAGGAGAATGAAAAGTGTAACCCAGCAATACGCCTTCTCGGTCATGATAAGGAGGGGTAAGTGAACGGCATTTCTTGGAGTGGGTTATCCAGACACGAAGTTGGCTGCCTGATCAATGGTGGCATGGCTTTGACATAAGCGTATTCTAATCGACGTGTGCATACTCTTTTAGATATGGACTGGCGTGGAACCCTAACAAAACGCGATCAAGCTATGTGCTTAGTGCTGGTTTTGACGGCAAGATCTGTTTATGGTAAGATAAGATTATGACCCGTCAACTTTATCATTCATGCTCATTCAATTTGTCACTTAGGGATATCGCCGCATCAACAAAGGAGAATAAGACATTAGATGCGTTACATTCCTTCACAAGCCATTCAGCAGGTGTAGAGGTAGCTATCAACACTCAATTTACCATGATGTCGCTATAGTTTATTGAACATCCCCAATTTTTCCGTCCAGGATGTGGCATGGCATAATGGCCACGATTCTATTTTCGCTTCCGTTGGAGATGACAAGCGGCTCATGATGTAAGCGCATCAATGACCCTAGGATCGTTCCTGTCAAAGATAGTAACTAACATTTCTTGACCATGACACAGTTGGGATACCCGTGCCAGTGCGGAAAAGCCTATATATAACGTCCGCGCTCATAACGCCGAAGTCAACTGCGTTGAATTCAACCCGGCAAGTCAATGGGTACTAGCCACAGGATCCGGCGATAAGGTTAGTGATGCTTTCCTTTCATTTGCATTGAAATGATTCTTTGGTCTGATTTTTTCTCCCTATACGCAGACGGCGGCACTGTGGGATTTGCGTAACCTGGACAATAAATTACATGTACTTCAAGGTCATCAAGAAGAAATCCTGCAACTGAGCTGGTCTCCTCATCATGAAAGTATCTTGGCCACGGCTGGTAGTGACCGAAGGATCGTTGTCTGGGATTTGGCTAGAATTGGAGATAACTTATCGTCTGAGGACGCTGAAGATGGCCCACCCGAGCTTTTGTTTGTCCATGGAGGCCACACCAACAAGATCTCTGACTTTGGTTGGAACCCTGTGCAGCCCTGGGTTCTCGCTAGTGCTGCTGAAGATAATATTGTTCAAGTTTGGCAGATGGTAAGTCGATTGTTTGGGTGGCATGTTGTGTGATCACGCAAAAGTATTCAACATTGATTCATTAGGCAAGCAATATCCATAGCCAGGGAGCTGAACCTGAGCAACAAGGCGATGCCATGGAACAGCAGTAAATGGCTAATACATGTGTTCAACCTCTCTGCAGGCAAGCCGATTGAAGGAAAATAAAAAATTTGAAGGAATATTACTAAATCCATTAAACGTAAACGGCGTCATACGACATGGACTTTCTGACTTCGGTGATTAGGAATAAAGAGTTTGGGTAGTGAGAACTTGGGGTATTGCTTGCGTTTCGTTGCACAGCGCATATATCTCGGAGCCAGGTGTCTACAGAAAGAGCCGATAGGTGCTTTCACGACACTATCCTCATATGTAGTATGCATTCGTTCGCTCAATGAACGTTTCACATAAATAGGACACGCAACCAATGGATCGATTACATCTATATTCTCCACAATACGATGTTCGCTCGAGCTATCATTCTACTGACCATCTTCAGTATAGCTCTACCAGTAGACAGCGTAAGCGTCGTTCAAGTCAGTCCAAGTGGCACTTACAAGACGGTAAGTTGGACCAGTGTACCATGAAAAGATAGCAGCTTTAAAGTGCGCCGCTGCGATGACTGACCGCCCCGCATTTAGATTGCCTCTGCGTTGGCTAGTATTCCTAATGATGCCACAGCCTGGGAAGTAGATATTGCTCCCGGTACGTATGTCGAGCAAATATCTATCACTCGCGCTGGTCCCATCACTTTCCGAGGACAGACTAACGGGACCCCCAGCTCATATCTCGATAACCTCGTGACCATTGCTTGGAACCAAACTACCGCCAGTGTAAAAAGACAAGCTGTAATTTACGGAACTATATTACGTGCATTTGATTGATTGCTTGCTTTTCATGACAGGGGGTATCTGACGAGGCCACTTCGGCGTTGATGGTGAATACACAGCAATTCAAGGCATACAATATCAATTTCAAACAACTCTGGGGATCCAAATTCGCTGGACCTCAAGCCGTGGCTGTATCAGTAAGTGTGGGACCAACCAATGCATGCATTTCTACCCCCCAAAAATTCCATGGTCTGAACGTCCTTTTCTGGCCAGATCAACGCAGATAAGGTGGGGTTCTATCAGTCCTACTTTTTTGGCTATCAAGATACTCTTTTTGCTGGTGTCCACAGTACGATTGGTCGCCAGTACTTCAAAGATTGCTACATTGTTGGCGCTGTAGATTATATCTTTGGCTCCGGGAGTTCCTATTTTGACTCGTGCACCATTGCTTCTAATGGGCCAGGCCACTTGACGGCACAAAAGCGAAGCAAAAGCAATGATTCCAGCGATGCTATCAAATCCGGCTATATCTTTAACAATTGTCGCGTGGTAGCGGATGCCAACACGAATGGTGTCAACTTGAAGGCCAAGGTGGATTTAGGTCGTCCTTGGAGTCCTTATGCTCGCGTTGTGTATATGAACACGTACATGAGCGATATTATTGCTCCCACTGGATGGGGAAATTGGTATTCCGTCACACTAGGTGACTACAGCAACGTTCAATATTATGAATACAACAACACCGGACCAGGGTCTTGGAGCCAGGTAACGATCTAAATGTTTCTATTTGCTTTGTAAGAACCAACTGGGCATACCGCGTTACACTAGCTGATATGCCTCGCTCTTCCAGAATGCTGCGGCCCGTGCCTCGGTCAACTATACGAAACAGCTGACGGCTTCCGAGGCATCCGCTTATAGCCTGCAAACATGGTTTGGGGACGTGTCCTGGATCTGATGTACGGACTGCTTTTGATTTGCAAAATTTGATGGAATGATTTTTGGTGGGAGCTCAAAAATTTCTGCAAAATCTTTTTTTTGGTTGCCGAAGGTCGTCACAGCATCATTTTAATAATGCCAAATATAATAAAAAAAAAATTAAGGATTACGTCTGAGTAGAGAACAAGATGAAGGCATATTAAAATATTGACTGCTTTAGCTGAGGTGTCCGTTCAGGTCGAACCATGGACCTTAGAATCTGTGACGTTGTTAAACGGTCACCCTTCCCTCTATATAACTGGTAGGGTGCACGGCTTGGCCAAACCCATACATACGGCAACAACATGTGCGACCTCAATTGGTGTCCCGTGTGCGAAACCGCGATCTCACCCCACTCGGTACAGTTACTGGTCTGAACTTCATGTCCATTATCACCGCTTCATCGATTGTAACCTGCTCTGTTCAGTCATCTTTGTATTGTTCACACCACTGTTTTCAGTTGGACGCACTAGGACCGTCTACAGGTTTATCGCTGAAAGCGTCTTATCAATCCACAGCTAGCCTATCCCCTAAGCCTGCGTTATCGCTAGCCCCTATCAAGCACTCATCCCGAGCCAACATGACATGAGGTGCTTTTTTGTAAACGTACAAGATCGCCCATGTGCACATCTGTCTTTTATTCTACTGTTCATAATAAACCATCCTTCATTCCAAGGTGTTGCTTTTGCATTTCGTCATTTGAGCAACGCACAGGGTCACTCCAACGTTAGTCAGATGTGTATATAAGTACTATAAACGCAGCAGGCTGAAAACCCTATCATGGTCGTGGATTACCCAATATGGCAAGTGAGGTGTGGGGAGAGGACATTGATAAGAAACCAAGCTCATATCGCAATCCTTTTTTTTAGTCTGCCTGCTTCACCTTTTCTCTCTTTCTTTTTTCTTTCATCCTGGCACCACGATTACATTTCTTTCCATTCTGCCATGAGCGATCTGAATTGGTGCCCTGTCTGCGATCAGAAGATTTTCTCTGGAAATGCCTTGTATTGCAGCCAAGCATGCCTACGTGATGATGCTCTCAGACGAAATCCATTATTAGGATACGATTTCAGCGAGTTGCAAGATTTCCCTCGCCCGTATAGTAACAAACAAGCTTCTCGTCGGTCATTTTCGTCAACGTCTTCGGCGACATCTTCGCTCGTATCGTCGCCTAACGTTTCGCCGATCACCTTTCCAACACCGCATTACAAGCTCTCCCCACCAGCATTTGACCTGGGGCGGATTCAACCATAAACCATTCGGCCCATGCATCGGCCACCTCACACACTTTGTATATAATCACATCAAAGAAAAGAAAAAAAAACCCCCACACCTGTTTAACCTCTTTTTTGGCTTGTTCAGCGAGCGATATGTAACTTACTGTATAATAAACATTTTCGAACGATAAGGAAATCATCTCCCATCTTATCGTCGGTCCAACACGCCTTCCTATTGGCCGATAGCCTTCCCCTTCCCATATTAGGACTGCAAACATACCCACTAGGTATCATCATTTCCGTAACAAGCATCTTATCAGCAGAGTGCTAGCAGAATCATAACGTAACGTGAACTGTAGCACAGCACCATCACTCTATCGTCTGCCATCGGTTCCTTACATTGAAGGTCTGTCGGGTACCTTGCATGAACAGCTGCAATACTGCATTTCAAACGACTCGGTATCCCCGTTTGAATTGCAATAGCCAGCCAGCCATATCGACGCCATGGTGCAATTCCGAGCACGTTTTGCCGTAGCTATCGATGAAGATGATCTTGTACCAGGTTCTTTTTTTATCAGAAAAATTCTAGTGGCAGCCCTGTTCTATTCGCATACTTATCTCTGTGATCAATGTGTACGATGGCTTGGCTTAGTGAGGTCATCAGATGCAACGAATATCTCACGCTGGCCAGAAGAAGCGTACTGTGGAGCGGCTAAGCAGTGGTCGTTGCCGCGGATTGCATTGGGATTATGGAATGAATGAAGGCGGCTAGATGAAATAAACGGAACTGAACTCAGAGATCCTATGATAAAAATGGACTGCAAGTATGTCAGCCATAGTCAGGATAAGCATGCGTAGCGTAGCTAGAGCGAGCGGGTAGTAAGCCCTCTTGAATCCACGTGATCTTTAATTTTTTCCATCCCAACTTTTTTTTCACGCGTACGTGCGCGAACAATAAAAAAAAAAGGGACTTGGACGCGTCTTTCGATAAACCATGGCAACTGCAGGTCGAGGGTCATTTCGTGGCGGTCGTCAACGACTTGGTTCAACAAGAGCGAACAAGGCTAATTCACTACCAAACCAAAACCTCACTAACGAGCCTTCGAATATAGACCAGCGTTTCGAAGACATAAAGATCCGCGATGAGATTGATGCAAGACTGGGATTCGAACGATACCAGGAAGGCCCTGAGAAACTAGGATGGCTTATCAACATGCATGCTGTAAGCGTGAAATCCAATGGCCCTACCTCTCTTCTACTGACCTCTAACCACTCATCGCTTCACCTTATAGACTATTGTAAAGGATTCAGAATGGCCAGGAGGTCGAGCAGCCGTTGATTACTATTTCATTGCTGATTCTGGCGAAACCTTCAAAACCACTTTACTCTACGATCCATATTTTTATATCGGCTGCAAGGTGTGTAGTGCTTTTGTCACTTTCTAAATTACTGACCAAACCATTCACCATTTGCGTTTCATAGCCTGGTACAGAAACAGAGGTGGAGGAATACTTACGGCGAAGGTTCGAGAATGTGATTGAAAAGATTACTAGAGTGAGGAAAGAGGATCTCAAGCAGGTATAGGTCGTTCTCATGCTATGCTACTCATCTATATATCTCGTTTATTCACCGTCGTCATACAGCCAAACCACTTGTTGGGCCAGAAGCGTACTTATTTACAGCTCATCTTTCGAAATGTGTCGGATTTACTGTCTGTCCGAAAAATAATATTACCCACCGTCAAGAAGAATCAAAAGAACCTTGATGCTATTGATACCTATGCCGACATTGTCAAGTAAGGAGTGGTGTTTGAGGAGTGCCTGAGCCATAGCGTAGCGCTAACCGATCACCTTCACATAGTGAAACCAATAACATTGACTATGAACACACGACAAATTTGGCCGCATTGTCATCACGGCGAAATCCGCATGAAACACTTGAAAACATCATCGATATCCGAGAATATGATATACCTTACTACCTTCGTGTGGCCATTGATATGGGTAAGTTATCCTGTCGCTCGGATGATGCATTTGTGTTGTCCACAAAGCTTTCTCCTAATGCCTTGCTTTTTATTTAAAGACATCCGTGTCGGTCTTTGGTACACTGTCCAAGCCATGCCCGATAACACAATCCAGATACAACGTCGCCCTGATTTAGTCAATCGTGCCGAACCTGTTATCCTGGCGTTTGACATCGAAACAACAAAGCTTCCGCTCAAATTTCCAGATTCTGCTATCGATTCGATCATGATGATTTCATACATGATTGACGGTCAAGTAAGTAGTTGTTTTTATGGTGAGGCGGTAAAGCGTTGTTCTAAAGCATTGTGCACTTAAGGGTTACTTGATCACAAATCGAGAGATTGTGAGTCAAGATATTGAAGATTTCGAATACACCCCCAAGCCTGAATACGACGGCCCTTTTATCATTTTCAATGAAGAAGACGAGGTATGTCTTTACATTGAATGAACGGAGCGCTTACATGCGCTATGATGGATTTATCGGTTCAGGCGGATTAATTATCGTATCATATAGCCTGCACTTTTACGTCGGTTCTTTGAGCATATTCAAGATGCACAGCCGACCGTCTTTGTCACCTATAACGGTGATTCCTTCGATTGGCCATTCGTTGAAGCGCGAGCGAACTTTCATGGTATCAACATGTATGAGGTTAGTATTTCAACCTACCTACCTTACATCTCGCCTTTCTATTCTGAACGAAACCTTGCTAACATTTCTCCCTACAGGAAATCGGCTTTTATAAAGATGAGGAAGACGAATACAAATCAAAGCACGCCTTGCATATGGATGCTTTCAGATGGGTCAAGCGTGACTCTTACCTACCTCAAGGAAGTCAAGGTTTGAAAGCCGTCACTACAGCGAAACTGGGATACAATCCTCTTGAACTTGATCCCGAAGATATGACAAGGTTTGCTTCCTTCATCGTTATTTTTTGCTAAATCCCTTGTGAACCCTCCTATTCAACCTTTCATTCTCCTCTTAGGTTCGCTAATGAGCAGCCCCAAACTTTGGCCCAATACTCAGTATCCGATGCAGTGGCCACATATTACCTCTACATGAAATATGTGCATCCATTCATCTTTTCACTTTGCAATATTATTCCACTTACGCCGGACGAAGTCTTGCGAAAAGGAAGTGGTACTCTTTGTGAGATTCTACTTATGGTAAGCATGCGCCCTCAACGATCAATTTTTCTGTAGTCTATTCCCTTCTAACTCCTCATACCATAGGTTGAAGCATACAAGGCAAATGTCATCATGCCCAACAAACACATGGATGAAACGGGCAAAATGTTTGATGGCCATCTACTAGAGAGTGAAACATACGTCGGTGGACACGTAGAAGCTTTAGAGGCAGGTGTGTTCAGAAGCGATCTGCCAACTCATTTTAGAATTGCTCCGGAAGCGGCCCAAGAGGTACTGTAACGAGAAAATTGCGTTGTCACATCCATGCGTCCATACTCATTCAAAGCTATGTTTCATGTCGATCATTTTGTCTATACTCAACTTAGCTTATAGATCAGATTGATGATGCCCTCAAATTTACGATTCAAGTAGAAGAAAAGCTAAAGTTGGAGGACGTGGAGAATTACGACGAGGTCCGAGATAGCATTACGGCGTTGCTGGAAGACTTACGAGATAATCCTATGCGACACGAGGAGCCACTCATCTATCATTTGGATGTTGCAGCCATGTACCCCAATATCATTCTTACGAATCGACTGCAACCCGATGCCATGATTGAAGAATCTGCGTGCGCATCTTGCGATTTCAATCGGCCGGGTAAAACATGCGATCGTCGTATGACTTGGTCATGGCGCGGCGAGTACTTTCCTGCCAAACGCAACGAGTACAACATGATCAAAAACCAACTGAGTATTGAAACCTTCCCAGCAAGACGACCCGGCGACCCGGCAAGACCTTGGTATCAACTCAGCGAAACGGAGCAATCTACATTGCTGGAAAAGCGCTTAACGGAGTACTGCCGAAAAGTCTACCGAAAGGTTCGAGAAACACGCATCGTTGAACGAGAATCCATCATTTGTCAACGAGAGAATCCATTTTACATCGAGACTGTCAAGGCTTTCCGTGATCGTCGCTACGAATACAAGGGTTTGCACAAGACTTGGAAAAAGAATCTGGATGTCGCCGCTTCAGAGGGTAGTCTGCCCAAGACGGTTGAGGCCAAAAAGATGATTGTTTTGTACGATTCCTTGCAGTTGGCTCACAAGTGTATTTTGAACTCTTTCTACGGTTATGTCATGCGTAAAGGTGCTCGCTGGCATTCGCTGGAGATGGCTGGTATTGTCTGTTTGACGGGTGCCAAAATTATTCAGATGGCCAGACAGCTTGTCGAACGCATTGGTCGACCGCTTGAACTGGATACCGATGGTATTTGGTGTATTTTACCTAAATCGTTTCCGGAAAAATTCACGTTCAAGACAAAGAATGGCAAGAAGATTGGAATCAATTACCCTTGTTCTATGTTGAACCATCTTGTCCACGCCAAATTCACCAACGATCAATACCAGACTCTAGTGGATAAGGATAAATACGAATACTCAGTCCACAGTGAGAACAGTATTTTCTTCGAAGTCGATGGTCCCTATCGAGCTATGATCTTGCCCTCATCCAAAGAGGAGGATAAACTTCTGAAGAAGCGATATGCCGTTTTTGACCATGATGGCTCACTTGCTGAACTCAAGGGATTCGAAGTCAAGCGTCGTGGTGAACTCAAGCTCATCAAGATCTTCCAGTCGCAAATCTTCAAGGTCTTTTTGGAAGGTACATCTTTGGATGAGTGCTATGCTGCTGTAGCCTGTGTCGCCAACCAATGGCTGGATGTTCTGTTTAGCAAAGCGGTGAATCTACAGGATGAGGAGTTATTCGAACTGATTTCAGAAAACCGAAGTATGTCCAAGACACTTGAAGATTATGGCTCACAAAAGTCCACTTCTATTAGCACCGCTCGACGTTTGGCCGAATTCTTGGGTGACCAGATGGTCAAGGATAAAGGTCTCGCCTGTAAATTCATTATTTCATCTCGACCGTTTGGTATTCCCGTCTCTGAACGTGCCATTCCCGTTGCCATTTTCTCTGCTGAACCTAGCATCAAGAAGCACTTTTTGCGAAAGTGGCTCAAGGACAACAGTCTCACTAGCTTTGACATTCGCGATATCCTGGACTGGCCTTATTATGTGGAACGTTTTGGTTCCGTCATCCAAAAACTCATCACCATTCCTGCTGCCATGCAAAAGGTCACCAACCCTGTTCCTCGTGTACGCCATCCTGACTGGCTGTTTAAGCGAGTTGCTCAAAAAGATGACAAGTTTAAACAAAACCGAATCACCGACATGTTTGCCCCGGCTACTGGAAAGTCGGTGATTGAAGAAGCTGTTGCTCGTGACATTGAAGATCTTGGTGTGCAGCGAAACCCTCTTTTAGAACAAGATGGCAAGGTGGTGCCTAAAGTCATCAAGCAACGCAAACGCAAATCGAAATCCAATAACGAGGATAGATTTGATCCCACCGGATCCGATAACGATGTACCAGACACGATGCCGGACATGCATGAAAATTATTCAGACTGGCTGCAATTCCAGAAAAGCAAGTGGAAGAAACAGCGTGTGGCTAGAATCAAGCGACGAGAAACAGGTGAAGATGATTCAACGCAAGGCCGATCAGAAAATTCAGCAAGTGGCTATTTCCGTCGACAGGCTGGATCACTTGTTTCCAGCCCTTGGCATATTCTTCAGATCGTGGAAAGCGACACTTTGGGAGAGTACCGCATGTGGGTTGTGATCCAACGCAGCCTCTATTGCATCAACCTATCTGTTCCGCGCATCTTTTATGTCAACAGCCATGATAATCAACCCACTGAAAGTTTGATGAGCAACTCCGTGTTCAGCATTGAACCTCGGGTCAGAACACTACCAAGGTCACATCAATGCTTGAATCTGTTTGAAATGACCATGCCAGAGTCGGTATTCCGGGCCGAACAAAAGAAATTTGCCTCTTTCTTCAATCATCCTTCTACCGAAGGTGTCTATGAAACGCAAATCCCACTATTGACCAGAGCTATTCTCAAGCTGGGATGTGTAAGCAAGGTCGATCGAACCGGCAGTGGTGGTTTACGAAAGATGGAGGATCGCTTTTCGTTACTGGATTTCGTTCAAGACGAAACCCTCTCCAAAGATTACCTCGGACAGCCTAAAACCTTCAACTACCTCTACTTGTATCATGCTCATGCCGACTCTCGTCATATGTTTGCTCTGGTGGGAACCGCTTTACCCCAGTCTCGCTGTTTCATCATTGGTACCAATCGAGAACACGCTCAGATGCCAAATCTCAATCAGCTGTATAAACAACGGTTTACTGAACACCAACGTGGTCAAGAAACTCAAACCAACGAGACCATCGATTACAAGGAAGACATGGATTTTGAAACCACTTATCATTCTTCTGAAAAAGATGCTCTCAAGGCTATACAAAAGGAATTAGTCAAGTACCAGTCTTTGAAGCGTGGTCCTACCATCATTGCCATCTCTTCACCACGATCCACCACCCAACTTGTGCAACAAATTCGCATTATGAGTGAATTCCCTTACGTATCGATGCAATCTTATATTGAAGACAAGCGTCTGCCATCCATTGACTGGCTGCGTCCAACAGCGGCACGTATGATCAATCAATATTTGAATCTTGGTTCATGGCTTACCGAGAAGTTGTTGCAAGCTCGGTACGCAAGTATACCCTTTTGTAACATTGAAAACGACCCGTATCTCTACCTGGCCGACATTGCCTTTGCTCGACGACTAATGAAGAACGACATGGTCTTATGGTGGTCCCCTTCATCCAAACCTGATCTTGGCGGACGTGAGGAAGACGAAAATCTGTACGCGGTTGACGAGTTGGTCAACCCTGAAATCAACCACCCTGGCTCGTATTCCAACGTGTGCTTTGAGTTGGATATATTGCGGCTTTGTTTGAACACGCTGATGGAAGCTCCCATCATCAACGAACTGGAAGGCAGTAATGGTGGTATCGGATTTGACAACGTTGCCCATACGCTTGACGAATACAATTCCGGTAAAGTCAATACCACCGTGTCGTTTGGAGACGGCTCATTGTCTGCCAAGACGTTCTCCATGCTTCGTGGTATGGTGCAAACATGGTTTCATGAAGCTTTGGAACACAACAATCGATTTGCCGAAATGATGATTGACACGCTTCACCGCTGGCTCACAAGTCCCAGTTCCAGCATGTACGATCCATGTCTATACGGTTTGGTGCATGGCATGATGAAGAAGGTGTTCATGCAGTTGGTGGCAGAGTTCAAGCGACTTGGGTCTCAAATCGTCTTTGCTAACTTTAACAAGATCATCGTCGTCACTCCCAAGGAATCCATGGACAGTGGTCTGCCTTACTGTAATTATCTCCTGAAGGCGGTGCAAGGCAAGCAAGTATTTGAAGTGCTGGATATTGTGTTATCCAACTATTGGGATCAGCTTTTATGGATGGATGAAATGAATTATGGTGGCATTTTGCGCGAAAAAGACGATGTCCTGGAAGCCAGGGAGAGCAATGCTGTGGTGACCATGCAATGGAATATACAAGACTATCTACCTCTTGGCACGCAAGATGTTTTCCAACGCATCATTGCAAGTTATGTCTACACCACGTACAACAACCGAGTCAAGCGTATCAAAGAGACGAGCCATGATCCCTATGCGCATCGCGGACAAGAACCTGTGGACGGGGATGCACAGATGAACCATGGCAACAGTGTCGAAGCTGAGCTCACTCGACACTATGTTAGTCAAGACCTCACGCGGCGACTTCTAAAGCAGTTGGGTGAGATCATCAAAGAACAAGTCAATATGTCTGTGGATCCGGATATCCAGGCACGTTTGTCGTTCCCTCGATTTGCTGGGTCTCACCTTCATCTGGACAATGCTGCCTTGGAGCTGGTCAAATCGGTGTGTGCTGTTTTGGCCCTGGATAAGCGAATCGAAAGCGAGGTCCGGGTGATGAAGAGGAATGCCCTCAGCTTGATTGGCTCTGTGCCTGAGTTCAGTGACAAGGCGCAATTCCAAAACCCTTGTGAATACTTCAAACTGGCTCAAGTCATCTGCAGTTACTGCAACTATACCACCGACCTTGACTTCTGTCGCGACCGTGATCTCTTGCCTGAAAACGACCAAGTCAAGCCATGGCGATGCAAAGGCTGTGGTACGGAGTACGACAAGAGCTTTATTGAAGAGACATTGATCGGTGAGGTTCAACGACGATTGATGGCCTTCCAGCTGCAAGATCTACAGTGCTCCAAGTGCCACCGAGTCAAACAGGAGAATCTTCTCAAAAACTGTGGTTCATGTGGAGGCAACTTTGTGCAAACCCAAAGGAAATCGGATTTAATTAGCAAATTGACTGTGTTCCGTAACATTGCTAGGGAGCAAAAGTTACGGCTGCTAGTAGAGATTGTCGACTGGACACTGGCCAATTGTTAATAGCTGTTATCGTCTTTTAGAATAGTGTATAGTATTTGATAAAACAAGGAATTGTGTTTCTGTACCAAGGGTTGTATTTATTAAGAAGAATCTGTCGACCATAGGCTTTTATAACCGCGTACAACCCGTACGGTTTGCTATGCTTTTCAACTACGCTATCGGGTATCTGTGTATACGAGGGGTTAACGGCCTCTATTTATATTCACTTCGTTTTGTTAAAAATGTTTGCCACTAGACGAGCTGGGACCCCGACGGAAGAAAACAAGGAATCAGCAGATATGTGGCCTGGTCATTCTTGCAACTACATTCGCGATTGAGGGTACTGAACCACCATCAAGAATAGTACGAATGAGCCGCTTAAGAACGAGGTTCATGGAAGTGGCAGAATGGAAAAAAATTTATACCCGGTAGCTAGTGGCTTAGAAAAATTCTTTTGGCAGTCCTAGGCAGTGGACGGAGTTAAACTCTGCACAATGCATGCCATTGAGCTCCATTGCCTTGCTCGCCATCCATCCCATCACTCGCGCTGTACAAATAACTACTAGGCTTTATGATTTTACACGGTCGTCGTGTGGCTTTCACTCTAATAAAAAGAAAAGAACAACCAATTTCTATATTTCACCTTCTTGCTCCTCATCGTCATCTTGATACTTGTACTCATGTTCCTCTTCACGAGTTTTGACTGCAGGCACAAAAGCATTTTCGGTGGTAGGCTGTGCAAACGATTGGTAGCCTCCTTGTGCACCTTCGACGCGATTCTTATCGTCAAAGCTGCCAAATCCAGGTCGGTCACTGAATCGATCATATTCGTCTTCATCTTCATCCGTTTGCTGTATAATGGTGGTTTGTGGAAAGCTTGACCACGCTTGAGATGATGATTCTTCCGTCTATGAACGTCATGAGGTCAGCTTACCCTTTCATCATGTTAGTTCTAAACACTCTTTCTCACCTCTTGTGCATCATCATTATCATTGCGAATGCGCAGACGTTCAAATCCACCACTAGTATCTGTGTTGTCTCCAGGTGGGCTAAAACGAAAGATGGGGTCGTCAGAACTCTATTTTCACTTTCAAGCATCCCTCACCAACACCTTACCTCATCCAATGATCACCACTCTCGCCAATCTCTTCGTCTTCATCGTCATATCCACCTTTGGCGTGATGCATATACCGGGCAAACTACAAAAAAAACCAATCAAGGTTTTAATACCAGTATATCCCGGTGGTAGAGTCTAAAGAAATTGTCACAAACCATTAAACTTACTTCGTCCTGTGCACCAACTAATGCATCCTCATCATCCTCTTCTTCTTCACTAATGCTATAGGTTGCACCAGCATTAGGTCGATCTCCACCAAGTGGCAAAGTGTCCCTCTCGCGAGTCTCGGCAAGGACTTCAATATAAAAATTATCCCATTTTTGGAGATCGACATCGTCTCTGACAGTCGCTTCCACTTCGCTGTAGTTATCCATGAGCTTGGAGATCTCGTCGGCAATAAAAGTAAGATGACCCATGTACCCCAAGCGCATGCCCTTTGGAACCGATCTATCGATGAAATTATACCCAAAACGAGGTCAGATAAATATGTTAACATCACCAGGCTAGATAATACCATCCATCCACTTACGTCTCACGTTCATTCAATTCGTATGCTTCGATGATGCGGTTGGTCAATTTACCGTCTTTAAGCACAGAGAGCGCCAATTGACGGTTGTATCCAAATTCCATGCTACCGTTGAAAATCTGGTGAAGCATGTCGTAGACAACATAGTGAAGAAAGTTGTTCCATGGGAATCCAAAGAAAATGTCCTAAACAAACAAGTCAGGCAAAAAGTCGGCATGATATGAGTTGAAAAGTTTCACATGCCACTTACCAAACAGGTAGGAAGCACTCTATGCTTAATAAACTGTAATTTCAAGTAATCTGCAATATACACTTGGTCATCTTCCTTTGCAGTTGGCTCAGCAGCGTCGGCTTCTTCAGGTTCCTCGTCAGTAGCGATTGTGTTGATGTAATTTGCTCTTGCGAGGTGGTGCTTCAATAGGGGTTTGTTGAGATGCGCCATATTGGAGCAATGCAATAGTTCCGCAAACAGTTCGCATATCTTTAAACGCTCAAATCCCAGTGGCATGCGATCGCCTATGGTAGTGGGTAGGGTTGAAGACTAAAATAAAAGGATGAGTTTCGTTCTACTCGTAGCTTACACCTCATCGGACTTTTTCTTTCGTGTTGTGCGTCAAGCTTACCACGGATTTGGGATTTATGAGAAGGTTGTTGAAGTCACCAACACGGTCGGCTAAGACTTGCATCATCTCTTTAAGGGTCACGGGTGGTTCAGATACACCTTCATCTGCAGAATACATGGCTATTTGATCCAGTTCTGCGTCGCTGTTATTATGCCTTATAAGATCTATGATGATGGCCACGCCGTTGATGAGAGATGATGTGGAATTGGAAGCATCTTTGTCCAACATGTAATTAACCAATTGTGTCATTTTTGATTCGCTGTATCGTTTGAAATGAGTGAATGAGATCGAATGGAGGCTAGTTACTAAGAATAGCCTACCTTGTCAATGTAGTAATAAGGACATTGGTTCCAATGCTTGGGGATTCGGGAATGCTCGTTTGTGACATTCGTATTATTTCCGAGATGACTTGTTGTGCTATGGAGTGCTCCTAAACATGGAAAAAGCTAATGAGAACCCAAAAACTGGTAAATGTTAGATGAAAGGCCGGCCTTACATCAGGATCAAGATTGGGATCCAGTTTGCTGATCAAATTATCCAGTAGACCTTGTTCATGCAACCAATTAATGGAGCTATTATCTTCCGGTAGCACCTCTTCCATCCGAATTAAAGTCAACAGAAGATCAGTGATAGCTGGCGTTTCCAAGTGGGTCATAATCTTTTGGAAAACATTGGGGACGGACTGTACAAATGCAAGCATCTACATACCACCAAAAGTGGTTAGCAAACATATGGAAGCGATTGAACGAGGTAATAAATTGACATACTGGCTCTGATCGTTTGGCAAGCAATGAACAGTTAACCTTTGCAAAGTTGGCTGCAAGGTCAAACGGCATACCGGTGGCTCCTCTGGTCATGGCTGGTTTATCTAAGAAGTCCCAAAGGCCCTTCAAAAGATCCACATGATCGATCAACAGGCTGTCTAATATTTGAGGAATATCACTTGATAATATTTCACTTGCAATGAGCGGATAGCTGGTTGCCAAAGATGAAATTAGATGTTGATGATCGGACATGCACTTTTGAGTTGGATGCCAGTCAGTGCGTATTTCTTAAAATATATTACCTCCATTGTTCACGATCCAGTGATTCCGCCGTCAGGTATTGTAGAAGCTGGGAGAGGTTCTGCCGCTGACACAAACTACGTAAAACAATTCGATGCGATGTTATCAGTCAGCATGTCGCGGGGTTATGCGGGCATCATGGAGGTCACTGCCACCCTTTGCAAAAAATAAAGACTCACAAGTCAATCAATCGTTGATTGTGTGTCTTGACTTCTTGAATGACATCGCCTTCATTGAGGATTTCTTGCAATTCAACATCTTCTTTATCAAGTATTGCATCGATCGCCGATGGGTTATTAAAGCCGAAACGCCAAAACATGGTCAACGGCTAAAGAGACGAAAAAAAAACGTTAGATGTTCCATTTTATATTTTTTTTTATTTTTAAAAACTGGATGGAACCTCCTTAACGGTGGACCATTCTCAATCAATGCTATTATTATTTTTCTCTAGAAACTATTTCCCTTGGCTATGCACGCTTGTGCTTTGCTCTACTCTCTTTGCCTTTGGCCGAAAGGTTGTCAACGAGAGTTTTTGGGTCACTAAAAACTCAACCAGGTTGAACGCTTCACTGGAGCATTTTAAATCACCGCTGACCCCCAATTTTTTTTTTTTTCTTCAATCGACACAAGCAAGCTGTCAAGCGAAATCATGAAGCCCATGGCCATGAAAGCAAGAACAAGCGTCTTCGAAATATATAGAATGGCGCAGAGGAGCTACACCAATCAGCTCATATGCACAAGAGCCGCTTCTTCAATGGCTCACAAACGTCCAACACAGGAGAAGCGGAAGCTGGTATTCGACAATCGATCGCCTTCATTACAAGATTTTCTCGTTCAGGCAAATGCATCGCAATCACTCGAGCCATTATCAGGCTCGGCTGTATCCCCTGATCAAATACCTTATCTCAATGTCATTGGCCCAAGCTTGGGTCGTGGTCGAAAATTTTACATAGAAGTTTATGGATGTCAGGTACGATATGGTGTTACAAATGGCCTGGATATCACCTCTAGTCTAATGACTTTTCAACTGCAGATGAATTTCAATGATACGGAGATTCTCAACAGCATCCTCACTAATTCCGGTTATGTGAGAACATCAACCATAGAGGACGCCAATGTTGTGTTTTTAGTGACAGTAAGTTGAAGGGTTTGCACACCAAATGTCCATCACTTGCTGATACACATTATTCTATAGTGTGCAATTCGAGAAAATGCAGAAACTCGTATTTGGGAACGATTGAAGTTCTTGCGGCATTACCGAACAAAAGTGAACAAGGACCCACCGCCCATGGTTGGCGTATTAGGATGCATGGCAGAGCGATTGAAATCAAAGCTACTCGAACAAGACAGGCTGGTTGATATTGTGTGCGGTCCAGATGCTTATCGTTCTATTCCCCATCTTATCTCGCTGGCCGAGACCAAGGACGGAGTGGCCAATGTCATGCTCTCTGCCGATGAGACATATGCCGATGTGATGCCCATGCGCTTGGATAAGGATAGCGTCAGTGGCTGGGTGTCTGTAATGCGTGGCTGTAACAACATGTGTAGTTTCTGCATTGTTCCCTTTACAAGAGGTGAGTGTTATGCAATGCATCACGTGTAGGGTGAGCTTTTAGGAGGAAAAAGATGCTAAAAAAAATGCTACTGCACTAGGTAACGAGCGAAGTCGACCCATCGAAACCATTCTTAATGAGGTCAGATATCTCAACGAACAAGGTGTCAAAGAAGTTACACTGCTTGGCCAAAATGTCAATTGTAAGTGGGAGTGCACTGGCTAAATTGTTTCAAACCTGAAATACTCGACTAACTGGTCCTCTGTTGCTCCTTTTTACGTCACATCACGATGCAGCTTATAGAGACACATCGGATACAACAGTATATGGCACCGACATCGGTTCACAACTGAGTAATTCCGGATTTAACACCATCTACAAACGTAAAGCTGGAGGAGTTCGGTTCACTGAGCTATTGGACCGTGTCAGCTTAATTAATCCAGAAATGCGTATCCGGTTTACATCGCCACATCCAAAAGACTTTCCGGTGGATCTATTACATTTAATTTCTGAGCGACCTAATATTTGTAACTCGGTCCACATGCCCATCCAATCTGGCAGCACCAGCATGATCGGTCGTATGCGCCGTGGCTACTCGCGTGAAGCCTACTTAGAGCTCGTGGACACTATGCGGAAAATTATACCCAACGTCTGGATTAGCAGTGATTTTATTACCGGATTTTGCGATGAAACAGAAGAAGAGCATCGGGACACTGTGACGTTGATGGAAGAGGTCGGATATGACATGGCCTTCATGTTTGCCTACTCTATGCGGGAGAAAACGCATGCCCATCGGAAATATACTGACAATGTGCCTGACGACGTCAAAGCCCGTAGGTTGAATGAGATCATTCAGACCTTCCACAGGGTTGCGCAAGGCAAAACCAAACTTTTGATAGGATCAGAACAGCATGTGCTTGTAGACTCGGATGTTCCCAAAGTGAAGAACGGTGTTACCACTGTGTTCAGCGGCCGTACCGATGGTGGCCATAAGGTCTTTTTGGAAGGAGATGGCAGTGGAATTCAAAAGGGCGACTATGTAACCGTTAAGATCCGAGATGCCTCTAGCGTTAGTCTTCGCGGTCAAGTTGTGAAGAAGCAATCCGTTGCGGAGTTTGCACGTTCCCAGAGGGACTGAAGTCATACAATCAAAATAAAAAATGTCTAAATTTCTTGCCCTAGTCTAACAGAACTCATAGAGTTCAGCGTGCAATGTTCAAGCCAGCCGATATAAGAGCTTTGCATAGGCAATTACTTCGAGCTGGATCCATGGCAACATGGCCATCGCCCAAGAACAAACGCATAGTATGGAATAAGATCCGCGCAGGGTTTGACGAGCACCGACATGAACAAGATGTAGACAATCTCAAGATTATAGTTGACAACGGTAAGGACAGTCCCACCGTTGCTTGCTTTCCAGGCGGCGTAGTAAGCACTGACAATCCAAATTACTCGTAGCCTCCAATACGGTTTTGTTTCTGATAGCCGCTGGACGGCACCATGGTGTGGAGCATCAAATTGTAAAAAATCTAACGTCACTGCATTACTTTCGCTCTCAATACAACGAAAGGTAAGATGTAGTTGATGACATGATATAGGTTGCATTGAAACTAACGCACGCGTACAGACCACCGTTCTATAACAAGAAATTGCCACCCGACATTCGCGAACTGCACAATCATGCATACGATGAATTGGATATGACACTGACCATGCTCAATCAATCTCTCGGTCTCAGTCTACGACCATAGCGATCAAACCAAGCGAGTGCAGTGTAATTTGAAACAGTAGATTTATAATCTACATTCTCTTGTATATTAAAATCATTCAGTGTATTCTTTTTGCTCTATGATATTGTAAATACAATCGTTTTGGGTCTATGAGTGTCGTAAATGCATTATTCGCTTCATTGGCGAAACCTTCTAATAGCCTTTAATCTCCTTGATGACAGCTCGTTCACGATCCTGACTCATATCGCCATAGCCTATGACACGCATGGAGAAGGTCCCGTTACCAGCCGTCAAGCTGCGTAAAGCGCTGGAATAGCCAATCATGGAACTGAGTGGGACGTGGGCTTTGATGACTCTTTTCTGTGTCGCATGTTCATGATGATGAACTCCACCCGACATGGCAGAATCAGGCGGTGCGTAGATGGCACTATGTATTTCTTGTTGAACGGTATCCGACTTGGCGGATTCTAGCCCGATGACATGCCCACGACGCGTGCCGCTCAAGTCACCAACGACTGAACCAATTTGGTCTTCAGTGACTTCAATATTGACTTCCATCATGGGTTCTAGAAGCGCAGGGCTAGCTTGTTTGACTGCATCGTACACAGCTTGAGACACACATGCAGCAATAGCACCTGGCGTGGTGTCGGCACCGAACAGGCGGATATTGTCCGCTCGGACTTGCAGGCGGGTAAGTGGGAATGAAAGCAAAGCACCTCGAGAGAGGCCAGACTGGAGACCAGTTTGGACAGCATCTTTGATTTCTTCTTCACTGATGGAGTTATTTTGATTTGCAGTAGGTTGCGATTCGTCTTCTGTTGCGTCTGTGACTTCATCAGCACTAGCTTGAATCAAACATCCACTCTCCTTGGTCCATCCTTCCTCAATAGCGGCATCCATGTCAGCTTCTTCATCAAGCGGACGCAAAGCAACCCTGCATGCAGCTCGGACACGTTTTCCCAGCAGTTCCTTGTCATACATATGGTCTACAACAGCCTCACCCTGACAGGTTTCGCGATAACTGATACGCATCTTGCCCATCTCAGCCTTGCATTTGAATTCGTTCAAAAGCCTATCCTTTACAATCTCAAGGTGAAGTTCTCCCATACCACTGATCAGCGTTTGACCACTCTCACTGTCGGTCCATACATGCAACGATGGATCCTCTCGCAGTAACTTTCGCAGAGCCTCATCAATTGGCTTTTCTTCAGATACTGAAGCCGGTTCAATGGCCATGAAAAATACTGGGCTAGGAATATCAATTCTGCTAAGTTGGAGTCTGGACTTGATAGCTGCTGCGTCGTTGCCTTGGACAATGGTATCACCAGTACGGGTATCTCGTAAACCGACAATGACGCCAATGTTACCAGCCGATATGAACGGAATTTCCTCGACGTCTTTCGCATACATTTGCAGTAATCGATTAACACGCTCCTTGGTGTTGGTAGTGGTATTGAAGATGGTCGATCGGTCGTTCAACTTTCCAGAATACACTCGTACAAAGACTAATGCACCTCGACGAGGATCATGAGACACTTTGAAGGCCAGCGCTACAAGTTTTCCAGTTTCTTTCAATGCAATCTCCGTCTTGGCGCCATTGTTGAGGGTGGCAATCGCATTGGGTCGATCCAATGGACTGGGGAGGTAGTCGACCACGGCATCCATAACAGGCTGCACACCGATATTTTTAAAAGCGGCACCGCAGAGCACAGGAACCGCGGTGCCTTGAATGGTGACTCGTCGAATGGATTTTTTAATATCGTTTGCCGAAACTTTCATGTGATCGCCGTCCGCTTCGTCAAAGAAGATTTCGACAATGTTCTCGTCTAGTTCGGCAAGAGATTCTACCAAAGCCGTACGCCCGCGCACGGCCTCTTCATAAATGGGGCCTTCCGTCAAAGGAGTTCGTTGAATGGTAGACCCTTTGCTTGATTCATCCCACTGCAGTAATTCCATAGTAACGAGATCAGCTACACTGGCCATACCTGTGGATGATTCATCCATCGGGCCAGGAATTTGCACGACCAAAGGCCGTGCACCAAGTTTGCTTCGAATTTCACGTACAGTGCGACCAAAGGCAGCTCCCATGCGATCCATCTTGTTGACAAAGGCAATACGGGGAACGTTATATCGATCCGCTTGATGCCATACCGTCTGTGTCTGCGCTTCTACGCCAGCGACACCATCCAAAATCGTCACAGCACCATCCAGCACACGCACAGAACGTTCTACTTCGATAGTAAAATCTACGTGACCTGGTGTATCGATCAAGTTAATGCGATGTCCACGCCAACCAAAAGTAATGGCTGCGCTGTTGATGGTAATGCCTCGTTCTCGCTCCGCGGCTAGATAATCCATGACGGTATCACCATCGTCGACGTCTACACAATGCAAGGAGAGAATTTCAGTATACTGAAGGTCAACCTATGTCATAAGCATGAGCCTGACCGCAACAAAAAACTATCACTCACCTCCAATCTTTCGCGTTACACCTGCATAATGTAACATGCGTTCGGTGGTGGTTGTTTTACCTAACGTACAAAGTGCAGGCATTTTAAGACGCTGTTTTCTCTGACGAGCCATAATAAATTCATAGACAACCCACCGGCATCGATATGAGCAATGATACCAATATTTCTTGTTTTTGCTACAGTGAAATCTATACTCGAAAAAGTCGTCAGTCTCGAATTCACCGCTCTGCCACGACTAGAAAATTCAATAGATGCCAACAATCTTACCATCGGTAGCAGTAGAGTACCAGCGCCCTTTTAAAGGAAAGGTGGGCTTTAATGTTAGGGCTTGTACTCGGTAACGACATGCAATGGTACACCGTAGCATATCGAACCAGTGGAGGAAGAAGGGTGGAAGCTAAGCCACCGGCTGCAGTGTGAATTTCCATTGTTCCTCTTTTTTACTAAAAATCAAATTGAGAGGAGAGATAATTTCTTTCTAGTTATAATCTCACTTTATATTAATAGTTATAATTATGAGAGGGCCGGCAAGTATGTCAAAATCTATATTACTGTTTATTGCACCGTTATTCCTGAACCAAATAGCAGAACGGCTCCAGCCAGAGCGGCATGAAGAGCGTACATGGAGGAACCTTTGGCGTCGGCTCCACTCGTTGGTGCCGCCGGTCGTTTTGCAATGGCTGAATTATTGAAGAAGTTGGCTGCTCCATTATTTTCATCCGTCGGGGCCTTCTCTGTGCCGCATGGGAAGCTGAAGTCACACTGTTGATGGCATACTTGGTTCATATGGTTTGCTTTTCCCAAATGTTCACAATTTCGTGTGCAATTTTGGCGATCCAATAGACACAGATTAAGCGGTATGGGAAACCCATAGCTTGCTATTTTTTGATGCTCGTCATTGCACTTGCAGCTCCAATGCAAGGTATCCACATTGCATGTTACCTCTTTGACTCTATTATTGCACGAACCACTACAAGTTGACTTAGTCTTGTTACATAGATTTTCCCTCATTTCCTGTGGTAATGATTCCACCGATACCGCCGCTGGATGGGGTTGGGGAGAGAGTATATTTTTTTGGGTTAATGTTTAGCAAAAACGCAACTTTTAAGGAGCAGGAAACAAAACCCAGGAATTTGTCTTATGTACTGACCAGCATTTAGCGCAAACAAGCAGGTCGTCGCTACCAAAATGGATCGAATTATCATGCTACCTTGGCCCGTGGAAAAGCAAGGTCAGAGGACGTACGAAAAAAGTAAATGGTAGAAAGAGAAGCCTGTATAATCAAAAAACGATAAGAGGATGTTATATTCCAATCCTTTGACGGGAAAACCCCATGTCCTCGGTCAATTAAGTACAACCAGTTCGAACGAAAATTTTATCTTTCGCAGAATTTTCTCTGATACGCTATTTACCACCACCGGTGGCTACCGCTCCATTGCCAATGCAACACTTGAGAATACAGTAAACCGTTGATAATTTATGAGATTCAGCATATTTCATCGACAACAAAACAGAACAAAAATCTTTCCTTTCATGCTGTGAACAAGGACAAATATTTGGCTATTCATTATTACTATAATGTAAATGTAGTGTATTTTGTATTAAATGATTCAGACTGTAATATATTCGAACAAGCGACCAATGAAAGGAAGAAGAAAAAATGCAAAACTTTAAAAAAAAAATGTGACAAGAAGGATCTAGCGTGCTTCACGAAGAAGGTAAGGTAAAATGACAACACATGCAGTGTACAATACAGTGAAGGATTTCCAGATATTATAGGGCACATCTGCCCAGGAACCTTGCTTGAAGTTGAGATGGATGGAATAGAGGGCAACGGAGAAGAAGTGATACACCAGGACCATAGGTCGCTGGATAAGACCAGACAACAGACCAACTGGACCGTTGACACACTCTCCACCAAGTTGGAAGTACCCAAAGCAACCTCGCTGCAGAATTTCCAAATCTTCGTCTAGAATCAAAGTGTTAATCAACCTATATGGACTACAACCAAAGCAACAACCAAATACACTCACTGTCACCAGCGGAGAACAAAGCGTACAGAGCCATGGCGAGAACGTTGATGGCGACACAATAATTCTTTCTTCTCCAGTAGAAAGTCTGCATGCTACTACTTATCAGCTCCTGCTGAGTTAACGATGGGATATTTTCCTTTGACAGTAAGTCAGCAAGCGATACCACATCGCTCAATCCCACTGTCATGCCTCCTCCTGTAAGTGGGTGTCGAACATTCATGGCATCTCCAAGGACAATCATACCAGCACTCTTGTTAGGAGAAGGTGGAAGCCATCCATTTGGCATAGACCTCAATCGTTCGGTTTCCAATGCTTCCATGAACTTGGTCTTTATATCTTCTGGTAGCTCTGGTGCCACCACTGTCTGCAAATAACGCTTTAGATCTCCGTTGGAGACACTAGGAAGTTTTCCTGGGACATCAATGAGAATGCGGGTATCGTGGGTGCTGATCTGGTAGAGCAGTACAGGGGATGGCTTTGCAAGCACAACATGCCCATGTTGAGGGTAGGGCAAGACAAGGTCCTTCAAAACGAACCTAGAAAATTGAGCCGTGAATATACGTTTCCTCAATGCAACATGAAGTGAGGAAACCAAACGACTGAAAAGTATCTTACCCAACAAAATTAGATCGAACATCGGGAGTGAGGTCAGTAATCTCTTTGCGGAATTTTGAAAACAGTCCGTCGGCCACGATGGTGAGCGGAGCATAGGCTCTGATCTCGGTGCGATCTGTGGTGAGAGCTACAACACCAACTACAGTATCCTCTTCTTCCTCTTTGATGAGAGTGGTGACGGTCGCTTCTAAAACAGTAACACTGTAACGGAATTAGTGCAACTGGTTCTCTAGAGTTAAGAAAAGAAACTCACTTACTTCTTTGTACTTTTGGCAGCTTTGCGAAGGTTGTTGATGAATCGACCATGATGGAAAGACTTTCCAACAGACTTTTGCTGAGTTGTCTCGTCGACCGGGTAAGGAATGTGTACAACCTCTTTGTTTCTGATGACACCATAGCCATAGCAAGGAATGCCATCTATTCCTTCAATACAGTCTGAACAAAAAGAGATGATCAATGAATAAGGCGGGATGACACACCATGGTCAAACCATCCAACCCAATTTACCTTCCATTCCAAGTTGACGCAAAGCATTGACACCTCCTGGTTGTAGTAACTCTCCCACAATCCGGTCAGGTTGATTCAGGTCTCGTTCAATAAGGAGTACCTTTCGACCATCAGTACCGAATGCTCTGGCAGCGGCACACCCAACCACTCCAGCGCCAATGACAATGATATCGTATTCCGACGCGGATTCAAGTTGGTTGGAAACGGCCATTGAATGGGAACGAAGGTGTTAATAGGAAGATGTTAGAAGTCAACCAGCTTCCCTTTTTTTTTTTTGGTCTTTAACTCAATCGGGAAGCGGTATAAAAATTATCAAGTTGAAATAATCACGTGTACTGCAATCGGTTATTGTGTCCGTTGGGAGGAAACAATTGTCAGTCGATATTTAGTAAACCAGACCTCGTACGATATTGGCTGGCGTGCTGTTATAATTATATCTAACTAACCTTCCACAGTGCTCTATGGATCCCATTTAATTGTTCAGACTGCTTGAAAGGAAGGTACAGGGCAGGCTATCATTTCATATAATAGGTGAGAGATGTCAATGCGAGGCACAACGCTGCAAGTAGTATCTGGCACCAACAACTGCCAGCTATGGAGCAATCACTTCATAATAACCGTCAGCCAACGCTATCGCACACCACGACTATGTTCAAAAGTAATTTAAACTTTATGTGAGGAATAAATGTCCCAAAAATTTCCATATGTCTATTTTCCTTAAATTCCTTTCTCTTCATTACCGGCTTGTAAATGATAAAGAGGAGAAAAAAACATTTAACTCCAAGTGAGTGATAAGCAAAGGATCTGGCCAGATTGTTCATTTGGCGACCACATATCGTGATAAAAACTTGGGGATTATGCTTATTTTTCATTACTGCGTCTCACAAAAGAGTTGCATGGTATCCATGAAGTTGTCATTTCTAAAGATACCACTTCCCAAGGAGACTACGTCCTTCAATCTATATTTTTGCTTCACGTACTCTGATGTTTTTGAGTTCGATGGCCACCACCGAAACAAACTCACAAGACTCCTTTGACCTCATGATTTCAGTCAGCCAGTCACAGGCGCAGCTTATCGCACCATGAAAAAAAAAGGCTGGCATTTTTGTTTTCGTGTTTCCTACCATTGACGGCCCTCATCCAATAGTATAATTGCAGTAGGAGATAATGGAAGTAACCGAAGCTATTCGAAACCAGATTGATGGTGAGCCTTCATTTCTTCCAAATTTAGCATTAGACATGGGGAATGTCAGTTAGTGGCAACCATCGTAGTATTTGCCCCTGCGACCTCCTGTGCTATCGCAGTTTTAAGCTCGTTCGATCCACCTTTCACCAATTCAAAGCGAATAGCTCAGCTCAAACTTCTTGAAAACTTTTCTCATCATCTATGTCCAGTGTGTGGAGTGAACTGATAGCTGACCGATTATCCCTTTTTCCTCTATTTCACTTTTTCCTTTGTCATCCATCTTTTCCTGTCTCCATTGTTGTTTATACTTGCCAGAGCTGAGGAGAGAGAAGGCTATGCGATTCGACTCGTTGATCCTTGATCTACAAACCGAAATCCGATCCAAGAATACCCAAATGAAAGACACCTGGCGTCAATTTGAAGAAGCTGTGGTGGCTTATGAGAAACTGTCATCCATCAGCGCCGATATTCCTGAATCTGTGGATGAAGACGAAGATGAAAACGAGGGACCGTTGCTCCGAGAACGTTCAGCTAGTAAAATAGCATCAGATGACGAAGACGATTATTACGAAAAGTCAGGGTTGTCGATCCAGGACTTGGAAGCCGCCGGTTATGAATATTCTATGCCCCAGCCTAAGTCGACCGAACCATCAGATTCCTACAATAACAACTATATGGACAAGTCACTGGTCGATAGAAGTCGCTCTGCCACCACAGAAGGCGAATCTCCTCAAAGCACGTTGCCATTTCCAACCTCCGCAGGCACCTACACAGCAGCAACCGTGGTCATTCCTGAGAAAAAACCAGCCGTCACTGAAAACAAGCGTACTTCCATGAGCAGCATTGCTTCTTCTAAAGCCCTCCTCCATGACGGACCAAAGAGAAAAGCCCAAGCAAAGTGTAAACGACTACAGTATATTGTTAAAGCCCTGGAGGCGTCTATTGCGGAATCCCAATACAAACTTGTATATACACGTGAAGACTACCAACGATCCCTTCAAGCTCTTGACGACCTTGAGGATGACTTGTGCAGCATTTCTACCAGGTTTGAGGAAAATGAAAAGATGTCCTTGGGCCACTTTTTCACTGCTCTGCAAACCAAGCAAGATCAATCGATTGTCGAGGTATACAAAGATTTGAAGGAATACAAGACACGAAATAACGATCAAATTCATCGAGGACAAAAGCGCAAGCGCCCTGTGGACCAAGATGTCACCCTACTTTCGATTGGTGAAGAAGATGAATTGCCTCTTGCCAAAGTCAGTCGAACGGAAGCCAAAGGCAAACCTGTTCTCAAGACCCTGCTGGCAGTCGGCACCCTTACAGCCATTGCAGCTGCGACTGGCTATGCAAATGGATATCTTCCTGCTTCTCTTTAATTAGTATTAGTTATGTTTTTTTTTTTCATATTGTAACAACGTTTCATTTAAGCTATTCGTTCGTGTATTGTTTGTTATTAGAGGATTCGAAACCAACTGGGCCAAAATCTTTGTTGGCTGGATTTCCTATTTGTGTGACCGAGAAGTCCCAATTGTCAGTCCATTTTTGGGAGCTGCCTCTATGACGTCGCTGTCGGAGTCTGTGGGACCTGCTTGGCAATATTTTGGACCCGACTTGAACCCAATTATTATCTGGAAAGTGTTCCCCCAATCAAATAATTATCGCATTCATTGGTTTTTTGCCATTTGCCAATTAGCCAAACATTTACACTTGAACATTCATAAACAACTCGTGGTGTTCAACTGCTTTCAGTTAAGCCTTTGTTACAGAATTTCCACATTGCCCAAAAAGAATCCTGGAATCAGCAGTCCAGTAGCTTCATACCTTCCTCAGCAACTATCACGACTTGCCAACCCCATACTGGTAGTCTAGACTTAAGGATTCACTATCACAAAAAAATTATTGGCCCACTTGCTCTATCGGTAAATTCGAATAGCCGGATAAATATAGCTACTTGGCTGGATTACAAAGAAAAAAAAAAATATTCAAACTACCCTTCTTTCAACAACACCATGGTGAGAAGGTCTGCCAGAAACAACACCTCAACCGACACCGTTACTCTATCCACCGTTGCAAAACCGACTGAACAAAATGCTGCTACCTTGGGTACGTAAAATACTTTTTCTACAGTCCATTTGCTTATTTAATATAGAAACCAAGGGAAGGGATCACCATGCACATTACAGCCGCCCCCCCCAACATCCATCGCACAACAGCAATTCATTACATCAACATCCATTGTATTCAACCACACGCATTTAAAGAATCAACATCATTCCCATGTCAGTCTCCCCCACTCGCTCATGGTCTATCGACCAACGCTGAGTTCAAGATTATCTGCAACAACAATGAGAGATCCAATTTTTAGGGAGCCTTATACCGATCTAATATCCTCTCCATCCACGCACATTGCCCTGTCAACTACTAGCGCGAACTATCCAATTTTTTTTTCTTCCCTCCTTTCTTCCAATTAGCACTTCAAGGTGTTTATTGTATCGTGCTAACCTTCCCAATCCAATTGCATTACAGACGAAGCTGTCAAAAGCCCTGATCTACCAGTAACAACCAAACTGGATCAAGAACCTAATCCATTCGAGCAAAGCTTCTCTGGAGCATCCTCCAGGAGCAATAACCAAGAGGCCGAAGGAGCAAAGGCCGCACCGAAACTGGTTTTGCCACCGGCGGCTTCCATTGCCAGCCCAAGCCCTAATGTGCTTTCCAAAGGCATCTTCCCAAAAGACATGGCTGAACAATTTGCTTGGGACTCACTAAGATCAGGACCTCTTTCACCTTCCATGTTGCAACGACCTGCTGATTCTACTTTTTCAGCAGTGGACGGTGAACAACTCGGTACCAATAATAGAATTGGCTCTATTTCAAATGTGCCTGGAGCATTTTCTTTTCAAGGCATGACACCCAATTCACTTTATGGGACTAGTACTAATCCTCAACAGCCAGCTGCTCAGTATCAAGGTAAGGATCCATTTTCACGATATTTCACTTTGGCAACCCATAGCAAATTTGGCTCTCCCCCCCTTCCTGTATTTAAACAAAACCTATCTTGCTTTTGCCCCCCATTCTATCCTTGTACGAGCCTTTTTTTTTTTATCCTTTCTGTCATCGCTCGCTTTTTCTCTATCTCTCTCTTTCACATTTACAACCGGTTGCCACCACCCCATCATGGCACTCTTAGTTAACGATATCCTCCCATTTATGCACACAGACATGAACGGTAATCTCTTTACATCCAACACCATGCCTGGCCAAGCCGCCTCAGATATGTACATGATGCAACGACAAAATATGATGAACATGGGCATGGCGGGAATGGACCAAAACAACTATGGTCAATCGACTTCACCGCCTCACAAACGGGCTAGACGAAAAACGCTCGATGACACCACAGAAGATAGTACCAGCCAAACCAGTGAACAATCTCACTCCAATACCAATAAATCTCGAAGAAAGGCTTCTAAGGATACCGATGACGATGAAAGAAGGAAGAACTTTTTGGAGAGAAATAGACAAGGTGAGTAGATACCCCCTCTCGCACACAGCCACCACCTGGACTAAACCTTTTTCCTTCCCAGCTGCTCTCAAGTGTCGCCAGCGCAAGAAGCAATGGCTCAATAACCTTCAAGCCAAGGTGGAATACTTGACCAATGATAACGAACAGTTGCAACTGCAGGCCAATGCGCTGAGAGAAGAAATCATCAACCTCAAGACGCTGCTGATAGCTCACAAGGATTGTGCGGTTGCACAGCAAAATGGTATGGTTGGATTAAACCTGTTACAACAACAGCGTCCACCACCGGCTGGTACGAACGCTATGGCTATGTCCATGGCTCCCACAGCCCCACTTAATGCTGCTCCCGGTGCTATGCGATACTGAGCTTATTGTAGAAACTAACCATCTATTGACGAACCAACCAACCCACCCACTCACCATTCACATCCCATCTATTCTTTTATTTTTTGGGTAGCACCCCATGACATATAATCCCAACATGTTTTGCTTTGTTCGTTTCTGTATCATTTTCTTTGCTTGCTCCAATCTACTTTCATTGTACACGCCCTTTTTTTTTTGTATTACATGCAGTCAGTATAAAGTGGAAACGCTCCGTTTTCAAAACCGCAGAACATGTGGGTTAGCGGGACTTCAAATCAGTCCATTTGATGATTAGCTGAGGGGAAATTTGAAAGCGCTTTGAAGATGACACATTCTGAATTACTGACTGACGCGGGGTGCGATGTTGTATTTAAAATATAAACCCCTCAGTTTTTCCCCACACTGTCTTTTTCTTCCTCTCTTCACCATGGTAGGCTCCACTTCCGTACTAAAAGCTATACCACAAGATATCCTCAATCGACTATGGACGGCCAAAGAAACTCGTGTATCGGTAAGGGTTGATGCAATGGATTTGGACGTCTTTGCATGACAGGTGGCTCATTCTTTTTTTTTTTTGTGGGCAGTTGAAGCATTTGTACATTCTCGGAAAACAAGTGAATAAAACTCGTCAAACCCCTTCGCCAGCTATCAAGATCCCTTCAGAATTCCTTTGCTCAGAACTCCCTATACGCTACGGCCATATGCTCAAGATGTTGCACGCACATCCTCTTGCCACCACGTCGCCAGCCATGCAAACAGTAGCCAACCGCTACGTATCCGATACGCAACTTCTGACTCGCCTTTCCGTACCTTCTACCGAGATGGAGTCCAGTCAGTTTCTAGAGGTGCTCCGTACTTTACGGCGTCGGCAATGTGGCAGTCTGTTACGTCTCAGGCACGGTCTATTGACAGAAACCCAAGGCGACGAACGGGCCCAAGATGCAGTACAAGGGTTCTTGGATCAATGCAACGGCCTTGGAGTGGGTGTGAATCTCTTGATCGGTAAATATTATTTTTTTTGGGAAATGCATCTTGGAACCCTTTGATGATAATCATATTAATCTCCGCTTGGTTCATCTTTGTGTCAGGTGAACATCTGTGTCTACATGACAAGGGCCATAACTTGGTGCAGCAAATCGATCCCGTCAAAGTGGCCCAAAATGCCATACAAGAAGCTCAACGCTACTGTGCTGAGACGCATAACGTGACAGCCCCTCAAGTCCAACTGGTATGCAAGTACCCGAATCTGTCTACCACCTATGTCCCGGCCCACCTTCACCGCATTTTATTCGAGCTGTTGACCAATTCGTTGACCGCGACCATCAAGCACCAAAAAACCGCTCCTGTGAAATTGACGCTCGTGAAAGGTCATGAGGATGTGACCATTCGATTATCCGATGAAGGTGGCGGTATTTCTGCTCGTGAGATGCACAGTGCATGGCGATACCATATCAATCCCCACCACAAAGCTCTTCTAGACCACGACCAAGACGACGCCCAAGTGGAGTTTGACTCCAAACGAGGTCTTCGATTTGCCCGTCTGCTTGCCCGCTACTTTGGTGGTGATTTGAACTTGATTTCAATGGAGGGTTACGGCACGGATGCTTTCCTGGCCCTCAGCCGGGACGATGCTGTCATGGAAAACTACCCTGTCTCCAACCTAACCGAAACCGAACTTTACTAGATCTCATGTGTGGACCCCATGTTTCACACGCCACAGTTGCACGCATCCAAACCTGAAAAAAAAAAAAAACGGATCTCAACTCATCTGCCTGTAAATAGCTATCTCTCTAGATTTTGTATATAACTCTCTTGATCCTATAAGGTTCGTTAATAAATCCTGAACATAGTCAAAGAAATGCAATGCATGGAATAAGTTGAAGTTGGTAGATCCTTGAGGGTCACCATTGCTTCGTCGACCCGGAATTGTCCGTCAAGCACGATCCTTTGGAAGGCCAGGTGTTGATTATAGGCTTGCTTCCGACCTCATCCGATGTCACATCTGCTGTTCTCAGGCATGTATTCGACTCTGCATAATAATGCCAGCAAGCATGAAAAAAAAAATGGGTTGATAGAGATTAGCTGGCCACACCTCAGGCAATAAAGTCAACTTCATCTAGCCATAGAGCGCTGTGCCATCCATCGCTCTCAATCCAAGCAGGGCCAGTTTCCCACGCTGTGACGTTCTCATGTAGAATGCATAATAACCCAAATATCCTGAATGACAAACAAAACTCCTTCGATGTTTATTTCTAATGAAACGTCCCACATTGACGCATCATAAGCCAAGTCTACAATTACACACGTCTAATATTCACTCTAAGCCTCCATCTCGTCGGCATCAACCTCAGCGTTGCCAGCAGGTTCGTCAGCAGCAGCTTCATTTTGGCCGGTGGGTTTTTGGCCGCCAGCTTCTTTTTTGCCCACTCTCAAAGAAGGATAAGAGTGGGGTTCAGAATCAGTGAAGAACAAGTACATGGCCTCATAGGGACGGAGGAGAAGGGCACCAGCTTCAGTGCAGAGGTCTTCGGGAGGAGGAGCAGATTGACTGGAGTTGGCCCGGACAATCCATTGAACGTCCTTCCAGGCACCGGAATCCGACGTATGAACGACAGGCGTGATATGGTCATCAATGTACGATTCATCATGGTGACCCATGTTGCGGGTGGTGTTCTTGGGGTTGCCAAGCACAGCAAAGGATCCGTCCTTCAGGTTGTAGAACACAGGGTATCGGCTTTCACTATTGACTTCCGTCTTGGTCAAGTTCATAGGGGCAAATGACATGGTAGCGACTTCAATGGCATTGTCAACGTTGGGTTGGTCGTACAAAGTAGCCGTGGTTTGGACATTGTACCATTTGAGATGCACGGGGTGCGTGGGCACACACTCGTGGTATCGGATACCCTTGGCATAGTAAGCACCTATCAAGTTGGCGGTGGCCGGGGGATCAATGTTCAATCCAGCAAGACTGTTGCGGTTGACAGTATGGCCGGGAGGAAACAAGTTGTCAGCTGCCACGAGGGAGGCGATGGCAGACAAGCTGGCAATGGATTTGAAGAGCATGCTGCGTGATATAATAAATATTCACAGTATGTTGAACGAGAGTTTCAACCCATGGTGGGTAACCAATCGCTTTAAATAATGGAGGCCATCCATTTTTGTCCTTCTCATTGTTTGGACTGGCGGTTCTATTGGCGAACATTGCGCCAAACTTTGCTGTTAATCTTAATGAAAATGTGCATCAACCGTCAGAATGCTAAATAACAACAAGGATGTAAACACATCGTTAGATACCTCATCGCTCTGTTTATTGTTGGCTTCCCAACTTATCTTCCTTCCTGTATTGTCGCCATCGGTGGCGTGAGCTATTTCAATGGCGACCAAGCAGAGCAGATTGAAAACATGATCATTAAAGAATCGACATTCTGAATGCGGGGTGGGTCATTTTTATTAAGTATGAATATGAAGTATTTAATTCCCTCCATCAAGCGATGATGCAGCATGCATTATAGGTAATATTACAGTGATAGATAGGTGTGAGTGAATGCAAGGCGAGGAGTTGAAGAAAAAATAAATGAAGTAGAGCTAGCTTTTTTTTTTTTTCACTACTCCTTGCTCGGAAATAATTACTGGGAGTATGCTGGGCTGTTTTCTATGAAATGGTTATTTTCCTGATGTCCCGGACCGACCTTTCTCAATGAACGCGCCTAATGGGCGGCAGCTACTGTGCCAGGTTGGTTTTTGTCATCCACAGTGGAGGGGTCATCCAGATTCATAGAGGTGTTATCTTTTTCAGCAGATTCTTCCTTTTCACCATGAGCAAACTCTTGTTCAGTGGACTCTTCTTTTTCAGAGGAAGTATCTTCCACTTCATTTTCAATTCTTGAATCAAGGACAACCAGTGTCTCTGGCTGTTGGGCTTTGATGGAAGGGCGTCTTCGCAGTTCATGATGTTCAATGAACAGACTGATGAAGAATGCAACGCCAGCAAAGGGGACGATCAAAATTCGCATCTTATCCAAGGCATAAACAAAGGCTTCTTGGACTTCAGTTCGCGTGGCGGCGGGTAAGGTCTTGACCAGGGTGAAATCTTGAGCCAAAGCGGTGGCCGATATGTTAAGATTGAGGGTCGCCAATTGGGTAGCAAGGACGTTTTGGTAATAACTGCCAAAGATAGCGATACCAAACACACCACCAACGGTACGGAAGAAACTAGTGATGGCGGTGATGACAGCAATGCTAAATAAAACAGAAGATTGAGGTCAGCAGCTGAAAAAAAGCAATACTTTAAAAAAAGGCGCCATATGGCAAGGACTTACTCTCTGGCTGGGACGGAACTTTGAGCGCAAAGGAGAAGGGTTTGCATGGTAAGACCACATCCAACTCCCATCACCAGTAAATAACCAATCAATTCGCCACGGTTGGAATCAATCTTCAATAAAGACAATAAGCCACCACCAACACATTGGATGGCAAGACCGATCCATACCAGGGGACGGACATGGCCAGTGTAAGTTGCAATAAGACCAGAACCAGTAGAGCAAACCACGACCGCCAAGATGAGTGGGAGCATTTCAAGACCACTTGATGTCGCGCTGTCGCCTCTTGCCACTTGGAAATAAATGGGTGTGTAATAAATGGCACCTCCAAAGAAATTCATACCAAAGAAGAATTGGACAGCACAAATGGCCATGGCAGAACGCTGCTTCAAGATGCGTCCAGGCAACAGAGGTTCCTTTGCGTAGAATCCTTCAATGGCAATGAGACAAATGAGTAGAAATCCTCCTACACAGAAAAGGGCAATGACCACTGGACTGTTCCATGCATACTGGTTGCCACCCCATTGCAATGGCAACAAAATTAAGATGGTAGAAGCAATCAAGAAGACGCATCCAATGTAATCGATTCTTGCCAACTTGTGTTTCATAGAGTCCTTGGGACGAGGCATATGAAGGAAGACGATGATGATGAAGATCGTAGCTGCACCAAAGGGTATATTGACATAAAAGCCTAATGGTAGATGAATTAGCCGGAGTTCGCATAATGGAAGTGGACAATGAAAATAAAAAGGGGGGGGGGATCAAAAGAATTTGACGGTGTTGAAAATTCGAGCGCCATCCTTATCTCATTTGCTTCAGCCATAACCGACTGATCGGACGCACACCGACTGAACCATAGAATACTTACACCATCGCCAAGAAGCATGATCGGTAAATGCTCCTCCAATAAGGGGTCCAATGACGGAAGCAATACCGAAACTGGCGCCGATAATGCCTTGGTATTTGCCACGATCGCGGAGTGATACAAGATCCGAAACGATGATCATCACACTGCTAATCATACCACCACTATAAAATAAGAAAGGCACCATTACTGATTCCATTCCAAGTGTCATCACAAGGTATACTTGTTGTACTTACGCTCCAATACCTTGAACAGCTATATACCATCATCACAAAGAACGTTAATGGCTGTTTTGCCTGTACGACCCCATCCATATTCCCACACCCATTGACGCTTACATACCTCGAAAAACAATCAACATGGTCATGCTTTGAGCAGCTCCAGACACAATACTTCCGATCAAGAAAACCGTAACACCGAACAAGAAGACAGGCTTTCGACCGAAGATGTCTGCAAATTTACCATACAAGGGTTGGAAGCATGTGTTTGTAAGCATATATGCGACACCAACCTTCAAGAAACAGATGTGAGTTAATAGATGGAACAATACACACGTTCTTTTCATGGCACAAGCTTACCCATCCAATCTCGTAAGCTGAATTAAAGTCTGAAGAAATTCTAGGTAATGCTGTAGATACAATGGTTTGATCCAGAGATGCTAACAGAACACAAAGGGCAAGGCTGAAAAATGGGAACACTTAGTATACATCGTAGATATGCAATAGGTTGACAGACATTTACCCAACATAAATCAAGTAGAACCTCCATCCCGTGGGACGTTCCCAGTTTTCTAATGGATTGACTCGGTCTGGAGGAGGAGATCCTTTGACAGGCGCTTTTGTTTGCGATTCGACTTCTGTCGGGCTAATGCTTTCTTTCTCTGATGTCATTCGATCCAGTATATATGTGTGTGAATGGAAAAACAAAGCTAAAGCGCGCACTATGATCCGATCTTTATATAAGAGGGAAAAAAAAATTATTTCATCGGGTTAATGTTGAGCCCACGGTAAATTGAATCACCGTGGTGGTGTTTTCAAGCCCATTCGGGCGATTGAGCCGAATTGACGGCCATTCTACCTGCTTGTGCTGTGGGCCATACTGCGGAGAAACCAATACCCTGGCTGCTATCCTGCTGATCTTCTTCAAGTGAAGTGTCCATGCTTTGGAGCTGCCAAGCTTTCAAAGTGCAGCAGTACCTGGGCCTGTTCCAGGACGGACCTCAGAATCCATCATCACCCTGGTCGGTTGAGATTTGTACGCATTAAAGTGACTTCTCGAGTGTCACCCACGCTACGTAATGTATTCTAGAAAAATCGCACATTTACATTGAATATTCCAAGAACTTGGGTGACCAATGCGGCAAGATCCCCCCCCCAATTCAGAGTTTACCGAAATCCCGCACTTGACGGACGTGAACGGCACACTTCTCTCAAATCTTTTGATGATAAAGCTTGCCGTGGCATGGTTGCCGGTCAATAAATGCCCCACAAAGAATGGTGGATTAACGCCAGATTTGTCGCTATTACTAAGAGAATTGCCGATTTGGGTAAATTACAGGCCAACGCGTGCTGGGTTGTCCGAATGGAACCTTCCCGCCTGCTCGGATCGACGAGACTTCTTCAATATTGACTTGCGGTCGCTTCTTTTACAACCGTTAGTCGGACCCCAATGTGTTCGGTAGGATGGATGCCAAGCTGAAGGTAGCTGGGCAAATTGGCTGAGTTGGTGAAAAACGTGCAGGGCGCCATTTGAAAACGTAGGCTAAATCTGGCATCCCTACTGCTAAGCTCTTACGCTATTGTCATGGTCGGTCTCAAGCTATTGTCCCTGCTACTGGCTCCTCTTGCCGCCATCGCCCATGAGGCAGCCAACAGTCACGGTGGTCAATTCGTACTGACTCCATCTTCGGGATTCTCGGTGGGTTATAACATCTCATGTCAAAGTCCAGCTACAACACTCACTAAACCATGGGACGAACATTTCTAGATCGACACTCTGTTAGCTGATCCCCATAAATACGATGAGAAAAACGCCCATGTTAAGCACTTTAGCGGTGGCGACACTTTGGCGTATGTTACGCCGTGGAACAACCACGGATATGACGTTGTCAAGCAGTTCAAGGGAAAGTTTGACTTGTAAGTGCCTACGGTATGACCCAGACAATGGAAGCCAACAACTAACCCCATATTACAGTGTTTCTCCTGTCTGGTATTACGTTGAGCGAGGGTAAGTTGTTTGCTACAGCCGGCAGCCTAGCCCTACGCTAACCCTAACCTCATAGATCCAACGGCGAGTTTGTGTTGAACGGCGGTCATGATGTTGACAGAGGTGTAAGTCACCTTCGTATTTATTTTTTTATATTTTACACAGCCTACAGATCTTCCATGCTTACCTGACATCCTGCTTTTAGTGGATGGATGAAGTTAGAGATATAGTCGATAATCGTAAAGTCGGTAAAATTGTTCCTCGATTTCAATTCCGAGGCTGGACACGCGAACATCTTCAAGAATTTGTCAAGAGTCCTCAAGAGGCCGGTAAACTCGCACATATGATTTCTCACGAAGTAGAGTAAGTTTACTAGGGGAGATCTAGCATTCACATCGATTGAGACTGATTTGACATTGGATTTCAAGGAAGCAAGCCTTTGATGGTGTTGTACTTGAATGCGGATACCCGTCTTTTTTCGCCACGTTCCTTCAGAAGCTTAGCGTGGAACTGCATCAAATCAATAGAGTCCTCATCTCGGTCCTCCCGCCGGTTCGTGACGATGTCTCAAAGGAAATCATGTCACCGGATGCATTCAAGGTTTTGGCTCAGTTTGTGGATCGCTTCAGTTTGATGAGCTACGATTACTCCAGCGGTAGTTACGCAGGTGGCCCGTCATCCCCCATTGACTGGATTGAAGATAACATTGAACACTTGACAAATGAGCAGAACCGCCATCAACTCCTCGTTGGTATCAACATGTTTGGCATGGCTTACCAGCAAGGCGAAACCCCTCAACCAAAGGTCATGAACTCCGTTATTGAGCTGCTTCGCGAGATGCATGAACAAGGCTCCAGCCTTGATTTGGTCTGGGACAAGGAAGCAGAAGAACACTGGGTAGCCATTAGTGAGGATGATGGATTGACTGAGGGTCCTACTGTGTGGTTCCCCACTCCAAAGGTAAGTTGATCAAGACGAAGAGTGAGGTACATGTGAGTGTACTTATACTTGGATCCCTGCAGTACATCAAGAACAGAATTCATTTGGCTGAAGATTGGGGTGTTGGCTTGTCACTTTGGGAAGTCGGTCAAGGCTTAGATTCATTTGTGAGTCTCGTTTTCATTGTTTCTTAATGTCATGCCATTGGTCTAATTTTACATCCTTTTGCGCAGTATGATGCTTTCTAAGCAAACACAGTTCATATGACGGTATAGCTTTAAAAAAACATGGTATTTTAAAAGCAAGAAAATACTTGAATTAAACAGCATTTGATTGATGATGTACGATAGCGTTGTTATATTATTCACATTGTCAAAAATATTTCAACTTTTTGATAAAAAAAAATCTACAATTGAGGGTGGTCGACGACTTTTAAAAAAGACGTATATTAAAAACAGACTTGGAATGCTTTTTTGCTGTATGAGAGGGTGGTGTTCAACCACAGTAAACCGTTGGTTGAACCATTAAGGCTATCTTTTCTTGAACCCAAATTTTTTCCGCTCGTAAAAGAGATCTAATGGATGAAAGGTGAATGTTTAGAATAGAAGACTGAAAATGGATAGACTGTCTCATAAAAAGGCTTACCTGTCTTGGAAGACCCAAGATTAATAATCTTTGGACATCCTTCTCGGTCTTTCTCCAACCGCGTGCAGCCTACGCAGTAGTATGCGTCTGACACGCCTTGACCTCCGCAAATGACACATCGACCTTGGAATGAACCTATTGACAATCGGTTAGTACCAGCGTTGGTGTTTAAGTAAAAATAAAAAGGATAAGAAATTCGTACCAAAGTTGCATTCATCGCAGATTCGAACAAGTGTAGCTGGTCGCACGTAACTGATCGAAATTACAGGTTAGGATCTGCGGGATCAGCGAGGAACAACAACTCTTTGGCAAACTTACCTGTCGCAAATGACGCATTTACCGTCGCATTTCTCGCAGAGACGACCAATGGCAATGCCTGGTTGCTTGCGGCAAAAAATCAAATCAGGATGATGCTTGGCCATGAGTTAACAGTTTGTCAGCTACTCCCACTGTCTGCATTGGATTTTTAAGGATTGGGTTTAGTTATCAAGACATCACGTGCCTTACCCTTTTTTTTTTTTATCAATCTTTCCGTGACAAGTTCCTGGAGAAGAGTCAAAAAGCTTCGGAAAGAAAAGTCCTCGTTAATGACCACCACTTGCCATCCACCCTTCTAAAATGAACACCAACGAAATACCAGAAGTCGATCTCCTTAATACAACCTCCACCGACAATACCACCTCTTCTAACAATAGTACCACCATGTCCAAGTCACACACAGGTAAAAACTCAGTAAACCCACTACATGGCCTGGAATGCACACACTCATATAGCCCTCGCTGGCAATAGATACTCGGACGAAAGTGACAACGTTTGAAGAAATACAGAAGCAATTGAAGAAGACATTGGACCACGTTGAGCAAAAGAATTTGAGAAGTAGCTTTGAGACTCTCAGTCTCGCTACGTCTGGCGTTGTGGATAATTGCGAACAGCTCGGTAAATGCACCGTTCGCATGGATGCCGTTCGTCTATTTCCAGCTGACACCTAGGAATGTTTAATAGGTTTGACGTCAGACGATCACCCATACAACGCTATTGACCGAGAGCAGTTTTGGACCGGCCTGAACAATTGCTGGCTGTACGCACTTGCCCAACGAAACGACGCGGGAAGTGAAATAGAGAGACTCAGCAATGAATATCTTTTTGAATTAAGAGATAAGCTGGTTACGTGGGCTGACAAACTGGAGCCTTTCGGATTGGTTGATTACGAGATGGGCCTGTGGGAAGCTGAGATTTTGGAAGCCGTCGACGCTAATCTGGCTTTGCAATATGCCGCCGCACAAGCCGCTATGGCCACGCAAGTCGCTATTCAGCCCAACGTTCAGCAGCTAAGCAAAAATGCCATGTGTATTCTACCACCCACCGCTAATTCCGATTGCTTTGAATCCGCCCGAGAGTTCATGCGGATGAAGAAAAAATCCACCGCCTCTCGGACAGACTGTATATCACCACGCCAGAGAGACTCCCCATTACCATCCATCATTATACCTGACGACGATATCGATGATATGGACTCGGACTTCTCTTCACCAAGTCAGTTAGTCGCCACCCTCGATATGGTCGACTCCGATGTAAGACTGGACAGCGTCTTCTCCGTCAGCATCAAAGATGAAATGATGGATGCCTAAACATGACGCCACGGTGCAAGTCACCACATTACCTAATCCTCAACCCCCTCCTCATTGTATCTTTTTCAACTTTTGCTTGATCCTTATTGAAAGTTATCTGTGTACATATTACGTAAAAAAAACCATCTCCCCCGTCCCTTCCTTATTTTTACTTTAGAGCTGAACCGTAAATAAAAGTTAAACTCACTTGAATAGTCTAAATATACATGGTAACATAATGCAATCTATCAATAGTACTCTATGTCATGATTGAACCTGTCTACAATCCAAGATCGTCTGCTACATCCATTTCATCTGAATTGGCTTGGGTGTCATCATTTTCCTCCGCCACCTCCTCCTCGTCTTCTTCTTCAATATCCGGAAGTGGGAAGGTTAGAATAGCAGCTACACCCGTAAGCTGATTAAGTTCTATAATATGCAACGCATTGTTAACCTTATGTTTGGCTCGGCATATTTGTCAATAATAACTTACGTTCGCCAGAGACATGGAGTGTGGAGAACACAAGGACTTGGCCACCAGATGCACGGACTCCCTCCACCAGTTCAATATACTTTCTTCGCGTAGCAATATCTGCCGACCGGAACAGAGCATCTGTAACCATCAGTGTTCCAATCGCGCCTCTCTCGTTGGCTTTGGCAACATGCTTGAAGCCATAAAACGCTCGGTCGGGGTCGTTGTTAAGCATGACGTAAAATTTATCAAGTGCTGCCACTTCTCTAGCAGCTTTCGTATCAGCAAGTTTGGCCTTGACGGAATCATCTTGCATCACCTCTTGAAGCGAATGTTTGTGCCCGCTGGAACAGTGCACCAGCAAAAACTTGGGCCGATTTTCCATCAACATCTTATTGTCAGTCTTGACAGCTTGATCAAATATATAGTGATATAATTGGTCCTATACCATAGCAGTCAGCATCACTCCACACCTTCAATACAAGAGCATTTAATCCACCCTACCTTTACAAATCCAGGACTGGCTATGATAATGCCTTTGACAACATCAAAGTTGACATGCCGCAGTAAGGCTTGATAGACTTGGTCGTAAAATCTGCCTAGGCCCTACAACACCATGTTGGAAGTAAGATAAATATAGTCGGACGACTTTTAGACTATGAAAGTAGACCGCAGTAACTGACCTTTTCGTAGTTGGTGACCGATCCCTTTCGCTTGCGTGGAATGGGTGTTTCAATTCGTTGCCTCACGATGGTCATATGCTGTGTTACCAAGCATACGTTGGCCAAACCCTCTTGACAGACAATAGCAGCTACATCAGCTTGTTTGGTGATATCACAAGCATCCTCCACACGCTCCAGAGCAATAGTATCCCATTCATTTTTGAACAGCGTAAAATTACGATTGAGTTCCAAATCTATGGTATGGTAGCTGTTCATCTGCATTATAACTTGAGTCAGCAAAGGTACCTACGAGCAAATCCCATAGGGAGTTCCTTACCTTAACATATTGGCTTTCGCTGGAGACTCGCCCGTTAATACGTAGCAGTCCAGCTTGGGGATCAAAGTCTACTGTCTCCACGACTATAGTAAGCGTCAATCGCACTCTTTGACTTGAGCTAGAGCCAGTTGCACTCTCTGACTGTATCCGTCTGTATAGCCATGTCAGTGGCAGTTTTGTACATGCACTCTGCTCGTAATGTACTCACCTTATAGTGGTTGCTTTGAGCTGATCTTCGGTTTGTATCAAGTTGTAGACATGCCACATATCCTCCAGTTCTTCGGGGTACAGCGTTACGTATCCCGACTTGTCCTTCTCTATGGACTTTTTTATGAGCTAGTAGCGCCATGGTCAGTACAGAAATGTATAACGATAGTACGTCACAATGCGTTACCTTCATCGGGGGTAGAGTGGGGTTAAAAGAGTGAGGAAAAGCAACGACGAAAAACTGTGACTTTTGAATTTTTATGCTGCTGGTTGGAGTGAGCTTTCCATTGACCCTTTAACATTCATGGACCGCTGTAAGCCAGTGGACTTGTCATCATCACAGCGACCGGTATTTCTACCAAATGAACGACTGTTAGCTTCCCAAGGGCCGGTTGGTCTCTATGATGGGTATGTGCAAGCCATAGCGTTTGGAATTGGCTCATGTTTACTGAATGGGGTGCCTTTTTAGCAAGGAGAAGTCTGTGCAGCACCAAGAAGGTGTGGGCTATCTCACGTCACATCGAGTGATATATGTAGATTCAAAAGATCCCCGAAAGAACTCTGTCCAACTCGAACTTGCATCGATCAAGAGCATTGATACCTACGTACGTCACATGGCAATACCAACTCTTACCACCGTCGTATCTATCTAACCTATTGTGTGTTCGTAGGCAGGATTTTTGAGCAGATCCCCCAAAATAACTTTATACCTGGACAACTCTCGTCCTTCTTTTCCATCTTCATCCGCGGATTCTGAAAGTTCCAGCAGTTTACCTACCAAGGTTTTGGGTACATGGCACTGTCCCATCTGCTCGTTCCAAAACACAGAGGACCTAGAAAAATGTCAGCTGTGTGGTGTGCCAAAGCCAGCTAATATTCAGGTCATAACACCCATTTCCACCACTTCTAGTCCAAAATCTGTGGAAGCAGACGCCAATGCTTGTCCAATCTGTACCTTCATCAATCACCCTAGTATGGTGCGTTGCGAAATGTGCGATAGTGAGATTGGCAAGACTCCGACACCCTCTACTTTATCCGAGCCTGGCAACGCATCACCTATCAGCATTACCCCACCGCCTGAGGATGGTAAAGGAGATGAACCCTATATTAAAATAGCCTTCCGAGCTGGCGGATACACGACCTGGCTACCTAATTTGAAATCGGCCTTGGCCACCAAGGCTTGGGAGCAGGTATGCTACAGATATACATGAATCTCGGGTTCATGTCATCCGCTAACAAAGTACTTTAGAAGGTAGAGCCTGAGGTGGAGAGACCTGTGGCAAGCTCTCGAGGAGTTGGCATCAGTAAGTATCGCATGGCACACAGATTCAGTTGAGCTTTCGCTTATCATTCGTGTTGGGAACAGGTGCTATTCAAGAACGCATTGAGAAAACTAGGCTGGATGCCGCCGAGACGCTTACAGATGCGTTCAAAGATTTGGACGGCTTAATGGCGAAGGCTGCTGAAATGGTCAAGCTGGCCGAATCCATAACCACCAAGATAAGTAAAGAACCTCAAGGCTCGGGTACCTCGGAGAACGATACCTTGGCTTTGAACACTTATTTGATGGAGCTTGGAATATCCAATCCAGTCACAAGGTTAGTCTCGAAGGCATAGCTTATGGAAATCATCTCTGCGCAAGTTGATTAACCTGTGCTGTTCATAGGGATTCTACTGGGTCAAGTTATCATCAAGAGTTGGCGCGAGAACTGGCAGACTTCTTAGTACCAATTCTGGAGCGTCAAGGTGGCATGAAATCTCTCGCTGATGTATATTGTTTATTTAACCGTGCGCGTGGTGTTGGTGAGTTTGCTATCTCTCTTCACTGCATGGATATCAACTTGTGCTGATGTGTTTCTTGTCGTAGCTCTCATATCCCCTGAAGATTTGTACAAATCTAGTTGCCAATTCGATACCCTTCACTTACCCGTCCGCTTGAAACGATATGAAAGTGGTTTGCTGGTCATTCAGTCTCTCAACCTCAGCGATGACAGGGTAGCGCAACGTATTGCGAATCACGTCAAGCAGTATGGACCGTTGACTGCCATGAGAATTGCTGAACTGGAAAATTTGGCACTTCCAGTCGCCGTAGAACAACTATATGTAAGTTTTTGCATCATTCTTAGTGCTCGCAAAGTACCGTTAATGCTGACTTCATGTTCGGTAGATGACAGAGGCTAAAGGACTACTTTGTAGAGACGCCAGCTCGGCGGGTATCACCTTTTTCGAAAATCTGTTTTTGCAAAATCAACAAGTCGCCAGCCAATAAGACTTTTTCCCAAACATCACCATTTGCTCATCAAATTGTACAAATACAAAAAGCTTAAACCATTCATTGTAAACTGTCTTTTATTTTGTGCATTTATACGTAACGAGTCATGCTATTTTATACGAAAAGGTCATACCTGCTAAAGAATGCATAAGTTAGCTATGGATTCATAAAAACAAAGTATGAAATACAGCAGCAAGGTGGTGTTCGATATCTCAGCATCAAAAGTTGTCCTCATTCCGTGATCGGAAGTCTAACATATATAAGTGAAAACATCCTTGAGCGAACACCTTTCCTCGCTGCTCTGTGTGGAAGAACAGTATGCTTACCATTTCGCCATAGTACGAAACATGAGTATGCGCGTCAAAACTGGAAAACCTGTTGAGTGACAGAGCAGTTGTTAGTGATATGCGTCCAAGATGAACGTAATATCGTGGGGGGGGGGATTATCTCATGAACAGGCTGTGCCCACAACAAAGCAACTGCTCAACCGTACGAAACAGTTCATGAGATGGTGGATGGATCTCGGCTTACTTTTTGACTATCTGCGACACGGAGATCCGTCGCAAAAAGCTTCGAAAGAGCCTTTGGGGAAGGGAAGGCAGTAATTATAATACAGTTACTTACGTTTACGTGTTAAAGAGCATAATGCTACGTTTGTTCATAGCCGAAAAAATTTATACCGTCAACACTGGCTGTGACGTTGAAATTGTGTCGGAGATCATAATGCGAAACGACATACATTTTGTCGTCCAGGCCATGGAAGCTGAAGGACTGATCCAGAGGCTTTACCTGAAGAATTACCAAGGATATTGTAAAAGTAGTAACTACCGAAGAGTTTTATGTCGAAACCTTCAGATAAATATGTTCACTTCTCCTTCGCATATTGCCAAAACACATTCAACAAAACCATTGTATAACACGTCATCAAAACTCCAATGAAAAGATCACAACAGAAAAATGTTATGTGTTTATTCAAGAGAGTGAAATAATTTCCAACAGCTTCAAGATGTCGTTAAATATTCCTTCTTTCTCTAATTTTCAGTGCTGGTTTGTATAGTGTACTGATTGGGGAGGTCTTTTCCTGCGGTTATGCTGTCTTTAGCCTCCAGAAACTCTTTGGCAGTATTGATATGTGGCCAGGGTTTGTTTGGTATGTCTTTCCCGAGAAATGGACAAAGCTTCTCCCATCCGTCTACTCCAGTTTCAAAAATAAGCAGTCGATCGGCAGGAACAGTTCGTCTGACCTCTTCTTCATGCTCGTTGAATAGTTTTATAATAGCCTCTTTATCCTCAAATTTTCCTTGGAAATCTCCATACCAGACATTCTTACTGATCATTTTTGAAGCTACCTTGACATGATCAGGAGCATCGGCTGGTGGTTTCTCTTTCTCAAAGGTGTAAATGGTTTTTTTGGCACTCTCATACCATTTTTCCGGGTCCCGGGTGGTATGGACGACTTTGGCATCAGGGTACTTCTGCATCAACTCTTTATAGAAGCCGCAAGTAGGGTAGTCTACAGCAGCATTGAAGTTCTTATATGCTACGTCCCAATCCACAACTTCACCGTCATAGGCTCTCTCAAACAGAGTCGCATCATTTTTCGGGTTTGTCATGATGACAATCATGTGATGGACGTCGTATCTGATATTAAATTGCGTCAATGTGGGCTGAACGTTATTTATCAAATTGTCATACAATGGACTTACCCCAGGTCTATCAATGCTTCACGCATAGCTGCGGTACCTGTTCGACTCCATCCGGAACCTATAATCTCAAGAGGAGCCATTTAAATCTGTTAAGGGAATAGATGTAGAGAACTAAATAAAATACATTCTTTCCCTGTCCCGCACCTTTATATACTTTAGCTCGCGTTTCCCATGCTTATCATTTTGAATCATTCTCTAAGCCTGAGAACCCCTCTGTTTGTATCACGCTACGCTGTGATCTCCAATTGAAACATATGAGCCGAGCCCACATATTGACGTGTCGGTAAAAGTATATGGCTTAGGCGACCAAAGCACAAATTATGACCGAAGCATTGAACACGTAACCCCGGTTTCGTTAAGGCGGCCCTCTTGGTAGACCATGTTTGCAGGATTTAGAAGACTGTAAGCTTAAATTATACTTCACTTGTGAGGCTCTTCTACAGCACAGTAAATGGCTTATATTGAGCTTTTCTGCCAAGTTAGATATGCATGAATGCACAGCAATTGGGAGGTAACACTCAATCATGCGCCCACGTTATAGAAAAATTTCGGGCTAGATTTTGTTGAGCATGCCAAGCCACGCCTGCAGGCCTTAGTCTGATATATGAATTTAAAAACAACAGTCGACTGGAATTGATTCGACATCATAGATCTTTGATACAATATTCATCGAGGTCTAATATGAATAAGCACACAGGATACGATGAGTAATACATCAAAGACAGAGAAAAGTCGTACGTAAGATGGTAGCCACAGCCCCAATATGTCGCTTAATACTTTTACCGCAGATCTACATATTTCGCCAATCATGCAAAGAACAACATGAGCTTACTCCAAGAAATGTGAGCTCTAGCAAAAGTGGCATCTATAAATGCTCTGATCCCTGCTTCTTTGTTCTTTGGTATTGTCAGTAGCCGCAGCAGTTGTAATTCAAGGCCAGGCAGCTGAAAGCAAGCCTGAATGAAATCTGAGCAGTACCCCCATTACAGCAATATGTTTTGTAGAAGATGTATGTGTTCAAGTAATTAACGGGCTAGATTAATTCGCTTCCTTTTCAAAAGAAATTTGCCTCATTAACTTGAAGTCTCAGCTTCTCAATTTTTTCATTCTCACTGCTTTTTATAGGCGAGTGCTATTGAGTCGAAATAATTCAAGTGAAATTGGCATGTTGCAATAGAGAGAAAAGTAGATCGGATTGCTCTCCAGCTAACTTAATATTACGGTGTCCCAGAAAACTTTGAGAAACTGCTTCTACAACGATGGCATGTCAAAAGCAACCGAAATAATGCTCTTTCTGTGGTGTAAATGAACAGGTACTGTTTATACGATGAAATTGAGTGGATGCCAGGTTTAAAGAAAGTCGTACAGTATATCCGAGCCATGTTTATTTTGGGAGGAATAGGGGTATTCAGGACAGGGGCAAACACAAAACACAAACAGCCTTTAAGACATTTGCTTTTTCCTAGATTCTGCAGACTATGGATGACTTCCAGGATACTCTATCTCTTAAACCGTATACATCATATCTAAAGTGGAATGATAGCGAAATAATGCGACCTTCACCACATGTACATGAGCTTTCTCAGGAATGAGATGTCGCGTACCTTTCAAGCTGCATAACATAGCAATGTAAGAAAAGACAAGTCGAACTTCTCATCTGTAGAAAGACGTTTCAGTGTACATTGCCTAGTACCATGGTGCAGTGTATAGTGATGTTTGTTCTGAGGTTTCTGACGGAACTCTACATGCTAACAAAACCTCCCTTTTTAGTAAAACAAATGTGGAGTGAATTAGAGAGTCCGTGCATATCGGAGTGGAGAACGCGAAAGTTACACTTCTACGGAGCAAAGAAGATCATGAACTATCTAATCGAAAACATCACTTCGAGCGCTGACTGTACACTCAACAGCTTGTCTGGCTCTGAACCATCGCAAAATTCATGCATCCACCTCATCGATAGTGTCTACGTCAATGAGAACAGTCATGATATGACGTGGATTTCCACCATTTGAAAGACTATAAAAGACCGCCATGTTAGCTGTCGCTTGTTCCTTAATTCTTGCCACCGCACTCGCGCGAATGGTGCTTATGCAGGACTTGCCACCCTGTCCAGCACGCCCCTTGGCTCGATCCTAATTCAGGCGTCTTACCGCTTACTGGCAACATGGTCGCTAGCCTGTCTTAGTTTTGTTTAGACCTCCCTGTATGGGATGCGCTGGAGGACGCTCCAGTTGCTGAACTTGGGGACCGCTAAACAAGAGGGGAACCTTTTTTTTT